TTCGAGACGGAAATAATGAGAGGACAGTAGAACACTCGCCGGCACTTCAAAAAGATTTCTATACTGTAAATTATCCTGGAGGTTGTTGTTATCTTCGGGTGGTTAAAGATGATTATAAGATGTTATGTTGCTTAGGGATTTGCTGACATCTAATGTCTTTTTTTCCCCTTTGTCTTTTTTGAGTTAATACAAGATCTGAGAAGGATGTGACCTTGAGTAATACCTTTATTTCCATTACCTTTTCATAACCAACTCCTCTTCCATGACCCATCCCTCTGCAAAACATATGCTCCCCTCCCTCACTGTTATTAATCTAACCTGAATCATTCTATTCTTCTCTATGGGAACATACCCAGTAATAGCAGTGAATCATACACTTTTGCTTCTCTAGTCTCTAATGGATTTGACAAAATGCCAAATCTGATATAACAGAAGAACAGGAATTCAAGACAGAAAGAGCTCTTTAGGATCCTGTGCTGTCTATTACCTTCAATGTTAGCTACAGATTACTTTTCTAGTTATCTGGTGGTAGAAAGGGTTTTATTATGCTAATAATGTGGACCTTACCCATATCTCCATGCTCTGTCAGTGGCTCTCAAGTTTTTCCTGACCATAGCCCTCTGACTTTGTTTCCTTCCTGTGATTCCTGCTCTCCCCATTCTACTGACTGGACCCCTAGTACTGTGCCATGACTCCATTTATATAATTTTCAGACCCCATTTATATAATTTTCAACCTTTCAGGCATGCCTAACAGTTAAGGCATCTCGAGATTGAAGGGAAAATTTTTCTTGGTTAACTTGATTTAAGAGTATTAAACAATTTACTCACAAAGGTTACCTCTTGATAAAGTCTTTAACCCCTCTATAACTGAATCAATTATACATCTTAGAAATTCATGAGATGTTTAGGTAATATCATTCATTTGCCCAGGGAAATTTGAGATGATAGCACCAAAACACATTCTTCATCATGAATAAGTCTACAAGATGAGACTTGAATTTGTGGTAACATAAAGCAAGTTTCAACTTATATGAAGATGTTTTGAAATATTAAAAGTCAGCTAAGTTGATAGTTTTCTGGTGTTATAAATCTATATTAAATTTAATTTTACTCATCCTAATGGACACTATAAATTATTTTAGTCATGTGGATTTGTATAATTCCTCACCCATGTGGGTTTTTTTTTGGGGGGGGTTTCTGTACCAGGGTCCACTCCCAGTGGTATAATGTCAACTGAGTGAGGTGTTCAGTGCTAAGTGCAGAGGATGTGCTGCTGGTCAGGTCCTGTCATGCCCAGGATCATTAGGGTCACTAAGGCAGTGCCCAGGGCACCTCCAGGGTCACAATGCATGGTACTGGGGAATTGAACTAGATACAATGCAAAGCATGTGCCCTAACCCCTGTACTATGTCTTAGAAACAGGGTTTTAAATATGGCTTAAAAATGAATATTTTAATTGTTTAAAAGGATTCCTTGGGGTTTTAGATATGTCTACATAATTTTATTTTTCAATTTAAAAATGACGACAGAATGGAGTTTAATAAGGCTGAGTTTATTTTGAAGAGTGTTAACATACTGAGACTGGGAAGATAGCTCAAAGGGCTAGAGCACAATGTTGGCATTCTGAGACCCCAGGATAATGCTGGTCAGATTTCTCTTCTAGTACCATGGTAGCTACTCCTGAGCACCATCCCTAGGTAGCCCCTGAGCACCACCAGCTGTGGTTCCCCCCTCATACCTCAAACAAAATACAATTCTAAAAGTGTTAAAGCCAAAATTTAAAACATGAATCTACTAAAATGAATTTTTCAAGTGTAGCCTTAAAGCATATGTTTGTATGAAGAAAATATTCACCATCCCTTAAAAATTTTTACTACCTTATAAACCGTTTTAGATCTATGCCATCATCCCATGAACAATAAACAAAGACAAAAAGAGCACTATACCACTCCCAGATTAATAACAAAGGGGTGAACAACAGCAACTGGGTACTGAAGAAATTTAATGACAAGAGAGAAAGCCTGCCTTAGGCAGCTATTAATGACTGTTTTCATTAAATCCCATTGCTTAAATTATTCCCTATGGCATAGTAAGGAATTCTAGTCTTTCAGCTTCCTTAAGTAGCAATTTTCCTCTCTCAAGAAGCAATTTTCCCTGCCTGAACAGTTTCATATAAACAGTTTCATATAAACACAAGTCCTGTGTGAGAAATATCAAACTCCATAGAGATCAATAGATAGAGTTCAGGTACCTAATTAGGACAGAAAGATTTGCTAGGCTTTATTTAAAAATAAAGTCTCTAGAGGCTATAGCCCAGATTTCTCACACTAAACATAGAGTGGAAGGTGTATTTTCCATTTCGATCTATGATAGAATAAAACACAAATCTAGTATGGTATGATCATCCAACTCTAACACATGAAGTCAGAGATGCTGGTCAACCAAAAGAACTTGCCGTGGTGTCAAGTTCGGGTTTTGATTTCCCACAAAGTATAGTCTTTAGCCCCACCCCAGCAGGGAATCAAGAACAGACCCTGAGCAACTACTGGGTGTGGCCCCCTAAACCAATAACCTCTAGCCCCAATAAAGCAAACACAAGATTTTTTTCAAAAATCTCAGAAACACAGATTTCTGAGCATTCTATAATTCTTTGAAAATCTGGCCCAATCTCTCATTCTAATATACCAGTTTACATAATAAGCAAGTCAGAACACTTGCAAGACAAGATGGTGTTTTCCTTTAGGTAGCTAGCAAAATCACAGCTCTAAGCTCAGTTTGTAATGATAAAAGGAATCTGGAGCAGCTGATTTCTGAGAATTGTAAAAACAACCCAACCTTTATGCCTCAAGGTAGAAGAGAATATGCAGAATCTGCATTGTGCTTGGAGTGCAAGGACAAATCATCCTGCTTTTTTTTTCAAGGTAAGTAACCAAATCCACCAGAAGAGTAAAGGGAGAAATCAACGTACTGGTGCAGACCTCTGGCTCTGTGAGATGAATAACACCTCTATCACAAAATCACCTGCTCCCTCATTTTGCAAATTTCCTGAGGTTTTTTTTTTTCCCTCCCTTGGGGGAGGGGGTATAGTATTGGCAGAAATCCTACATTTGCTGCTACTTTTGGTTCAAAAGGTGCTTCACAGATTTGAGGATCTTTAAAAAAAATTGTTCTCCTTTTGGGGGATGGAAGGAAAAGCATTGTTGTGGATTCCTTTAAACTTGGGATTGTATCTCTTGGATTAAACTTTTTATTCATCTGTAATTTGTTTTGGAACTACATCATGCATTATTCAGGAAGTAACGCCGGTTACATGTAGGTACTCCTAGCCTGGAGTTTAGGACATTGCTAATGTTCCCAGGACCATTCAGTGCCAGGATCTAGAAAGAAAACATTCAAATGTGAAATCAGTCAGAGGGAAAGGTGCAGACTTGGAATAATTCCTCTCATATGTGGGATATGCAGAATCTTCCCAAGGGAATAGCAAATGGCATTTGCCATCTGGCAAAGGCGATAGAAAAGAGCAAGAGATCTGGTCTTCAGTGGGAAGCATGCCTACTGTAGAGGATGAAGATGGGGAGGGAGGTGGCGGAATAAATTGGGGAAAGGAACACTAGGAATATCGAGGACAGATGTCTGCCACAGAGGTAAGCTGGGGGACAGGAGGGAAACTGGGAACACTGGTGGAGGGTAGTGGACAATGGTGAAGGGATTGGCGTTGGAACACTGTATACCTGAAATTCAATCACAAATATATTTGTAACTTTCTAATTCACGGTGATTCAATAAGAACAAATCTTAAAAACTTAAAAAAAAAAAACCCAAACCTTTGGGCGATGAATATAATCGCATCAGGGAAAGAACAATTGTTGACTATTTCCTAGATGGAATGTATTGTTTTCCCAAGCCTATCCCGACTTCTTGGATGCTCAGTCCGTGGAAGAAAACTATTACCCCCATTTCACGGACAAGGAAACGGACACACAGAGCCCGGAAATAACGGGCTGGATTTGAACCAAGGTGACGAGACCCGATCGCTTATGTGCCAAGTCGCTGCATTTGTGGGGTCTCCAGGGTCTTCCACCCGACCGTTCCTCTGGCCCAGCGCCCTTGCTTAGAGGCCATTCTCCCGACTGGACACACCGGCCCTCGCAAATCCCCGCTTCCCGGTTGACTCAGAAATGACTCAACGGGCCCGTCCCCCAAACGGGCGCGCCACCCGCGTCAACTCCGCGGTTGCCCGGCAACGCCACTTTTCGCCACAGGAAACAAGTTTAACAATATCTTAGACGACGGCGGCCGCAGTAACGCCGCAGGGGCCACATCTGCCCTCCCTGAGCTCGGGGCCCACAACACGGTCTGGGCGTGATCGCGGCCCCCCGGGCTCGGGTTCTCTCAGTACCGGGGCCCGGCTCAGGAAAGTCTCGAATTTGAGGCTGAATGCGGTCGGCATCCTGGGATGAGAGGCCAGAAAGGTGCCTCACGGCCTGTCCTGACGCAGCCCTGGCGTGGGCGCGTTCCCACTTATCCGTAACCAGAACCACACACAGGCGACTCCGCGGCCTTGGAGGCGCGTCGTGGATGAGGCTCGCGCTGGCTGTGGTAAGCCCAGACCTCAGGCGGAGCGTCTCTACCACAGAAGACCACGCTGTAGCTGGTGGCAGAGAGCCGAGACGCAGCCGGAAGAACAGCCCGCCCCCTGGAGCTCAGGCGCAGGCGCCCCCGCGCGCTGGGCGGAGCAGAACCCTGACTGCCCGTCCATCTGGCCAATCGCGCTCCTCTGTCGCCTCGCGTCTGGCCCCGCCCTTTCTCTTCCCTTCGCGGGAGGGAGCAGCTCTCGGCCGCGCGCGCGCAGTCCCGTCGCGCTCGGAGATGGGCGTGGCCGACCAGCCCGCGTCAATTAATCCGACCAATCGCGCTTCTCTTCTGCCTCCTCGCGGCCGGGCTTCCGGGGCGGGACTCGGCTGCGCGCGCTTTTTCGCTTCTGGGTATGGCGGATCCTGCTGGCGTTCTGGGCGGCTAGTGCTCGTCTGCGAGCAGGACTTCGTCGGGGGTCGCGTTCCCTTTCTGCTGTCAGGGACTCTTTCAGCCCACCTCAGGCCTCCTCTCTCGAGGCGTCATGTGGGTTCTCGGCAATGGCGGGGAGGACGGGAGGACTCCTCCCTCTGGCTTCTTCCTTTGTTGGCTGACACACCCTTTTTGACACTCCCTGTGAGGGACTCTGGGCTCTTTCGGCCGAACGGTCTGGCATGATTTTTCGTCACCCCACCCCCCACTCCCACCCCCACACTTCTGTGTTTCTAATTCCTAAAGCCACACAGGGTTTTGGTTAGGACGAGTCTGATGATGCCTGTTAAGATTGCGAATATATTTCTTTTTATTGTGAAGCGGGCATGATGGACTCGACTCCCGACTCCGCCGTTGCCCTCGGTTCCCGCCCGATTTCAAGGGTGTTCTGCAGATGTTAAGGGTGTTCTGGTGGACTGAAACCAAACGGGAGCCTTGTTTCGGGGACTGGAAACTGCAGGAAAGAGCAATAGGCTGAGCCCCAGTGATGGCCAAGGACGGGACTGACTGACGACTGTTGCATTTTTCTTGCCAAATTCTCTAAATCAGTTCGAGGAGTAGCTCTAGGTGCGGGACAGGTGGTTCTCATTGGTTGGTTGCATGTGTTTTTTTGTGTGTGCGTTTTAGAGCTAAGCTGGGATTTCGCGGTCAAGATGGAAAGCCCGTCCGCTTCAGCTGTGGCTTTACCCTGCAACTCGCCGTCCTGCACCAGTAGCCAAGTATGGGAACTCGGTTCTTTACTGCCCTAGTGTTAGTGATGGTTTGAAGTCTGAAAGTCGCCCCTCACTAACGTGTAGCATGAATAACCAAGTATTTATTTGAACTTTACACACATACCTTTGTTATGCAACTCCCCTCACCCCCACCCAAATTCTCGCCTTGGGTTACTTCTATTCCTTTGGACTCTGAATATCAATCAAGGTGCAAACGAAGAAGGGAGCAATGGCCATGATCTAGGCTTTAACCTTGGTTCTTAAATCGGATTTATCAGGGGGAGTAGGTTTGTGATCACTGGTATCCGTTTTTCAATCCAGTTCTTGGCTGGATGGTCGATTTGCTAAAGGATGGGACTGGATTGCTTGAGATAAGTGGAGACGGCCATCTAGTGGTGTCTGCCTGAGAAGCGACAGGCCTTATTTCAGGATTTATTGACATCACTTGTGATTTCTCCTAATTAGCGCGTTTTTTACTGTTCTGTCCCCTTTTTTTTTCAGCGTGTGCCTGGGACACTGAGGGAACGGTTACAGAAAACAAGGTCTTCATTCAGTTCCTCTCACTGCGTGGTTAAACGTCTTCGAGTCGACGATGATGAGGAGGAGTCAAACCTTGCCGACAGACCGGCATCTTCAACAGAGGAGAGTCATTCTGAATGTGAACGTTTTGAGCACGTAGACAGCGACTTTGAAAGAAGTGTCCTTTTGGAAAGTAGTTCCAAGAATACCACTGCATGTGAATCTAAATCATTTGACAGTGGACCATGCAGTGATCTCCAGAATGACTCTGCGAATGAGAATCTTCATAAAGAAGGATTAAATGAAGAAAAGACAAATTTGGTGAAACAGATTCAGGAGAAAGAAGAACTTCTTCGAAGGCTAAAATTAGTCAAAATGTATAGATCAAAGGTGAGAAGAATTTCATAATCATTGCAAAATTTAATGTTTAGAAGGATGGAAAAGTAATTTTAAATAGTTTATTTCATCATAAATAGTTATTCAAGGATCCTGAAACTTAATTTTCAGCAACTTCAGCTCAGTCATGTATGTCATAGATTTAATAGAAGAGTTCTCTAAACTAACATTCTTTAATTTTGGTAGGGAAGCACACCTGACGGGGTTCATGGGACCATTGGGATGCTGAGAATCAGACCAGGTCTCCTGCATGCTAGGCATGTGCCCTGCTCGCTGTACTATTGCTCCAACTCCATGAACCAGTGTTCTTCAACCTTTTACACTTGCCCATGGCACCTTTCTGGCATATTGGCCCCCACACTAGCAAGTAGAACCAAAGAGATAGATTAGAAGTTTTCAACCTCTCTTTTCCCCGTGGTTGAGGACAACTGCTTTAAATTACAGATACAATTTGCAAAATCCCAGTTTCCATTTAATGTGTAGTTGGACTTTTCTCCCCTTTTCTCATTTCCTTTTCTCATTTCCAGCCTGTATTGCTGTTAGAAGTATGAAATATTAGGTGGTAAGTACCAGTTAGAAGGGACAGCAGATGAATAGGAGAGGTAAAAGTGGGCAGTGAATACAATTAAGAGCTGTTTTTAGCAATGGTCTTATGTTCACCTCAAATTATGGGCCAAAGCTATAATACAGAGGGTAGGGTGTTTGCCTTCCACAAGACTGACCAGAGTCCCTGAGCACTGCCAGGAGTAATTCCTGAGTGCAGAGCCAGGAGTAAGCCCTGAGCATTGCTGGGTGTGACGCAGAAAGCCAAAACAATTATTCAAGATTTCCAGTTATTTTCTTTTGAGAACACAAATAGATTTCAAGCAAGATGGCTTGAATTAAGTAGAATGTGGATGCTTGAAGAAGATAAATGTTAAGTAGATATATATATTCATGTGCTCTCTTCCCTAGCATTGTGAAATAATTGATGGAATAGTGTTCTTATTTGCTCCCGAATCCTTGGGATTTTTCTAAACATAACTAGTTGTTCTATTAGTGAATGTGAAAATATTTTAATTTTAATTTTAATTTTTTTTTTAAATACAGCTGTGATAAATGGATTTTTAACCCCCCCCTCCTTTTTTTTCTGTTGTGGCCATGCCCAGTGATACTCAGGGGCTACCTTGCTGGGAGTTAGGGGGTTGCTCCTGGTAGGCATGCGTGCTGGAAATTGAATTGGGGGCTCCCACATGCAAAGTATGCATTCAGCACTTTTAGCCATCACCTGGCTCCCAAAATAAATATATATTTGTGGTGGTGGTGGGAAATGGTCCCAATCAGTGCTCAGGGGCCTGGGGGCCATTCCTGATCCAACTGGACTGGGTGGTTAAATGCTATGACTTGAAGATGCATTATAGCTTTGCATTTGTTCCTGACCACTGACCTGCCTGGTCCTTGAAAAATTTATTTTTAAAAATTTGCATTGTTTCTCACTGAAGTTTTTTACCTAGTTGATAATTTGAACCCTTTCTGAAGGTAAAGATGGCTCAGAGCTTGAACCAACAACAAAATAGCCATAAAACTCAATTTAGATAATTGACACATTCTACTTTTGTGTAGTTCCATTCTTGTTCATGTATGTTCTCTTTAAACCTACTCAATGACTAATTAAAGAAATTTTAATGAGTATGTTATAATGGACTGTTTGCTAGCTGTTGACATAAATTTGTTTTTTCCCCCCATTCCAGAATGACCTATCTCAGTTACAGTTGTTAATAAAGAAGTGGAGAAGCTGTAGCCAGCGCTTGCTCTATGAGTTGCAGTCGGCTCTGTCTGAGGAGAACAAGAAACTAAGCCTTACTCAGTTGATAGACCACTATGGGTTAGATGATAAGTTATTACACTATAACAGAAATGAAGAAGAATTTATCGAAGTTTAATTCATTTTTATCTCCAGAGTATCATTGCTAGCATCTGGTTCTAACACATTTTAAAGAAAACTTACCTTGGTGAACCAGCATTAAGGGTGCTTGGATATAAATACAAACTAAGATCCAAAATTAAGGTTTAGTACGGAATAAATTTGTGAGAAACTAGAGAGTAAAGTGAAAAAAATTTGAATCACGTTTTAAAAAATAATTTTGGTAATTCTGGAAATATGTTTTGATCTTCTGTTGTGAAAAGTTTTATTTTAAATGTTAAAAAAATCTGGTGATGTCTAAACCTAAGTTGCTCTAAAATGCCTGCCTCTCCTAAGTTTATGATTCTTGTTTCCATCTGTTACCACCTGTTTTCATCTAGGTGATTCAGCAGGTAATTAAACTCATCTTCAAAATTATATTTGCCCTTGACTCTTCAGATGTGTTATTTGTAGTTCTCATTTAGTAAAATGACCATTTGGTGGTGGGGGGGGGGTGTGTGTGTGGAGGGGGACTTTGTGCCATGAGGTACTCAAGGACCTCTCCAGGCAGTACACTCAGGGTCACTTTTGGCAATGTTCTAGGGACCATATGCAGTGCCAGGGATTGAGCCAGGGTTGGTTGTGTGTAAGATAAGTGCTTTAATCCTGCACTGTCTCTCCAACCATGAAATGGCTATTTCTTATAAAACCACATCCTTATCTTCTCGACATCACAAAATACATATATCTGCCTATCTAGTTTTATCTGTAAAACATTAAATTTAGGTGTTTTATTTATTTTTAAACTGCATTCACAATGTTTCCTCTCCCAGAAACCCACTCTCAGTGCACTTGGATTTGGCTCTCATGTACCATAATCTGTCATCCTAGATATAGATAAGATCCAAATTGGCCCAGGTCCTGAAAATGTGGAATTGGGCTCAGGTCTCTTGTGGGAGCTGTTGTATGTAAATATGGAAGCAGAAAACACATCATCAAAACTGTTGATAAGGGTGGCTTGTGCTCATAGAGTGAAAGGCAAGAGATGACAGCTGGACAGAAAATTGAGTCAAAGTTTCTTGATCTAAGTTTCTAGATTTTGAGAACTTTCTGGTTTTCTGCTCTTGTGTCAGCTAAGGGTGAGGCCAACTTTCTTACTGAATGGTAAATAGCTACTATGCAGTCCACCATTCCCCAAGTGTACTCTATATTCAACTCAGTCCCTTCTCAATGATGTTCAGCATATGAAGAATATTCTAGCGTATGTCTGTTATTACCTATGCCAGTAACTCCTCTGCATAAACTAAATCTACACAGCAACTTCCATTTTAATAGACTCATGTGAACCCAAGAGGACTGTCCCAGACCTTCCCTGGGTCTCCCTGGTCCTGGCATTCCTCTGTGATTACCACTGGGGAACTCTATTTTGTGGGTGTCAACTTCCATCACTTTTCCTCAGCCAGACTATGTGTGGCAGAGGAAGCAGTTTCTCAGGTGATGTTATTGGCATTCTTGTGAGTAAATGTATGGTGCCATCTAGATCTGAGACTGCAGCTACAATGCTGACTAGGCCATCCTTGGAGTCACCCTTCAGTGTCCACTTGGGGAAACTATAGCTTGGAACAGCTGGACAGAGAGGATGAGTGCGTCAGTAATGGGAATTTCCAAGGCATTCACTGGGTGTAGGAACCAACAATACAAAGGGCACTCCCCAAACAGGAGGTGAGTCAGAACATGGATGGGGTTTACGGGAAAAAGCATAGGGAGGCCACGAAGCAGTGGATTTTAAAAATGATTTCTGTTGAATGTTACCATTTAATGGGATTCATTTACTAAAACCCACTAAATAACATCTTTAATACAGGGCCAAGAGAGATAGTTGAATAGACTGGAGCAGATACTTTGCATGCAGGAGGTCCATGTCTATCCCTAGTACCATATGGTTCCTCAGCGCAGAGATGGGAGGAGTCTCTGAGCCCAGCTGGGGTGGTCCCAATCACCACTCCTCCCCGCAGAGACGCTGTTCCCTGTCCATCTTTGCCCCCCAACCTGAGTCATCTGTGGTTTATGGACCCTGGGCATGTACTAGTTAGATAAGTTATCCCTGCCTCTTAGCTCTTTCTGCTTTCTGATTATGCCCTACACAAGGTTTTGTAAAACTACCAGATCACATATGCCACCCTCCCCAAATGTAACCTATAGTTAACACATTTTGAGTTTTTGTGAGATGACCAGTGAGAGGTCTTATTTGGCCTCATCTTTCTCATTGCTATTTATTCAGAAGTGAAAGAAACTAGCAGCATGGACAATATTGAGAAGGTTGCTGCATGACCTCTGTGCCCTTCCAAAGTGAGACAGGCAGGTAGATAGGAAAGGGGCCCCATGGCAATGGAATTCCTGGGAAGTAATAAAACCAATAGTCCCAAGGCTCTCAGGACCCACCTTGTGGGCATAGGAATTAAGGCTTGATAAGACCTTCATCTTGCACCAGCAGCAGATCCAGAGAAGGCTGTACCTGTTCTTAGAGAAGCTCCAGCAGGAACAAAAGGCCAGGGAAAGGAATTTCAAAGACCATCAACTACTCTTAGCTCTACCCACTTGGCAATCACCCCAGCAACAGACTCTTACCTAGGTAGAAAGCCCCACATGATGCAGCTTGGAGGAAGTCAATTTGAAAAAAGCACATACATGCTACTGAGCCCAGGTGCTGCCTGTGCCCATGTGTTGTGGCTGAGCATATGTGGTGCCCAAGCACATGTGTCAGACGCATCTCCCCTCGAGATGTGTACTTTTCATACTTTCATAGCTAATACTGTGATGTGTATTGGGACTCTCCACTTTTGGAGAAGCCCATGTTCTCTTGCACACATTTCTCTCTCCCTCACCTTCCCTTCCTCAAAAGCCTCCAGATAAAATGTTTTTACTTCACTGCTTGTCTCCTCATGTAATTCTTATCTGTGAGAATGGTGAAGGACCCAAAAGGCATGGGTAAGACCTAGGACTGATTTTCTTTTCTTGCAAACAAATCCTCATTCCAGTCTGAGCCCATGGCTTACAGAGAAGTTGGGTGGTAGGGATTAATTCCTATGCTGTGCAGATCAAGTGGATGTCAGGTGTGGCTAGATAGCTACCGAGAGGAGGACTTGAGGTCCAAGCTGTATATGGGCTCATCACAGACTTTGTCAGTCCTAGACTTCCCAGCTGGTCCCAAGGTGGCAGAGGTGGACTGGGAGAAAGTGGCAGATACCCTTCTCGAGGCTGCCATCTCTCTCCGCACTTATTTTAGCCACCTGGGGACCCCGCTGCATTAGAAACACCTGCCAACTCCTCAAATGAAAGACCATCTCCAGTTGAAAAGTGCTGCTATACTTTACTATTCAGCTTGAGGGCAAGAGATTTCCTGCAAACTTCCACTTTATACAAACCTTTATAGAAAGTTGATGTAAAGTGGAGGAGTCAAGGTACATTGTCAGAGCCATCCAAAGTAACCACCAAGAAACAGAAAGTCACATATATAGTTCAGTTTAAAATATGGGTATCCACAGAGCATTATTTAGTGAAATTTATGACTCTACTCGCAGATAATATTGTTGCTAAAATTTTTTATCACCAAGAAATCTTAGTATTTCTATAGTTGACTCGAGCTAACATTTATCGAGGAAACCTAACACATACCAAATATCCTCCAATACAGCTTTTACATACCGTTATAGGAAACAGGATCTGTTAGCTTTAGAAGGAAATACCCTAATCATGGCTTGATTCTGAATTGCCCCTCCTAATGAAGCATAAAACTCACTTTTGCTCATTATCAATAGGAAGGGCACTAAATTGCATTTGAAGTACTACACTTTGCCGATCTATGGATTTTGTTCCCTTATTTAAAGTATACAAAATGGGTTACTAAAACTTTGCTTTAATTGTTTGACAAATTCAGTTAATTTGCTAGCATGCTTTCAGCACTCCAACAAATATGCCATAATAACAGACTACTAGTTCATTATAAAAGAATATTAACTTGCAAACAGCCACCTAGAAAAGAGGGATCTGCAGTAAGGACAGGAGTAGTCACAATCTTCTTTAAGCTTACCATTCTCTTCCAATCTCCACAAATCTAACCTGGAAATGTTCAGTGTTGTCCTTTTAGATTTTAATGGAGATTTCATTACATAGGCTTGTTTGATTAATTCATTGGTTATTGGCAACAGATTCATTTTCTGGCCCCACTTTGCTCCCCAGAGGTCAGGTAGGTGAGACAAAATTCTGACCCTTTAAACCACATAATTGGTTCTCCTGGCAACAATATGGACATCTCCACATCCAGAGCTGCAATCAGAAAATATTGTTAACAAAAGAAATCTATCAATTTTATCAAAGGAAATTTCAGGGATTTTAGATTCTTTGTGCCTGAAATGGGGATTAAGATAAAAATCTATGTCAGCTGAATCCATGAGTTACATGGAAGAAAAGGTAAGCAGAACCCTCCATGACAATGAAGCTAAAAGCCTCTTTGAGGATGAAACACCACTGACCAAGCAAGTAGAAACAAACATAAACAAATGGAACTACATTAAACTAAGAAGCTTCTGCATCTCAAAAGAAATAGTGATCAAAATACAGAGAGAGCCCACAGAATGGGAAAATATATTTACCCAATACCCATCTGATTGGAGCGATAGCACAGCGGATAGGGCGTTCGCCTTACAAGCGGCCAACATGGCCGACCCGAGTTCGATTCCTCCGCCCCTCTCGGAGAGCCCAGCAAGCTACCGAGAGTATTCGATATGCCAGACACAGTAACAACAAAGTCTCCAATGGAGACGTTACTGGGCCCGCTCGAGCAAATCGACGATCAACGGGAGGGCCTTTACCTTTACCTTTTACCCATCTGATAAGAGGTTAATATCCAGGATATATGACACTAGTAGAATTGTACAAGAAAAAAACCCTCTGACACCATCAAAAAATGGGGAGCAGAAATGAACAGAAGCTTCCTCAAAAAATAAATACAAATGGCCAAAAGACGGGCTGGAGCAACAGCACAGCGGGTAGAGCGTTTGCCTTGCAAGTGACCAACATGGCTGACCCGAGTTCAATTCCTCCACCCCTCTCAGAGAGCCCGGCAAGCTACCGAGAGTATCTCGCCCGCATGGCAAAGACTGGCTAGCTCCCTGTGGCGTATTCGATATGCCAAACACAGTAACAAGTGTCACAACGGAGACGTTACTGGGCCCGCTCGAGCAAATCAATGAACAACAGGACAGTGACAGTGACAGTGGCCAAAAGACACATGAAAAAAAATGCTTTACATTGCTAATCATCAGGGAGATGCAAATCAAAACAACAATGAGATACATCTCACACCAGAGAGACTGGCACACATCAAAAAGAACAAGAACAGCCAGTGCTGGTGTGAATGTGGGGAGAAAGGGACTCTCTTTCATTGTTGGTGGGAATGCTGACTGGTCCAGCCTTTTTGGAAAACAATATGCGTATTCCTTAAAAAACTAGAAATTGAGCTTCCATTTGACCTAGAAATATCATTTCCGGGAATATATCCCAAAGGTGTGAAAAAGCACAGTAGAAGTGACATCTGCACCCGTATGTACATTGCAGCATTGTTCATAATAGCCAGAATATGGAAAAAAACCAAGTGCCTGAGAACAGAAGACTGTTTAAAGAAACTTTGCTGCATCTACACAATGGAATACTATACAGCTGCTAGGAAAGATGAAGTCATGAAATTTGATTATAAGTGAATGGTCATGGAGAGTATCATGCTAAGAGAAATGAGTCAGAGAGAGAGAGGGACAGACATAGAATGACTTCACTCATTTGTGGAATATAAAATATCATTAGACTGACATCCAAGGAAAGTAGAGACAGGGCCAAGAAGATTGCTCCATGGTTGGAAGCCTGCCTCATGAGCTGGGGGAGAGGGCAACTGGGATAGAGAAGGAACCACTAAGTCAATGATGGTCGGAGGGATTGCTTGGGATAAGATATGTGTGCTGAAAGTAGATAAAGGACCAAACATGATGGCCTCTCATTATCTGTATTGCAAACCACGATGCCTATAAGTAGAGATAGAGTAAGAGGGAACTGTCTGCCATAGAAGCAGGGGGAGGGGTATGATGCGGGGTGAGGGGGTGTGGGGGAAGGAGGGATACTGGGACATTGGTGGTGGAAAATGTACACTGGTGGAGGGATGGGTGTTCGATGACTGTATGACTGAAACTCAAATATCAAAGCTTTGTAAGTTGCTCACTGTGATTCAATAAAAAAAACTATGTCAGTATGTCTACATATTTATTTATTATTATAAATCACAACACATAATAAAAATGTTGCCTGTCAAATCTGATTGAGTAGGGCATAAAATTAGGTTCTGTTACAAAAACTATGAAATAAAGGAAATCATATTGTGCTTATGTGGAAGAAAATGTGTTGTGATCAACAAATTAATTAATGCTTGGTAAAAGTAAAGAATTCACTTTGTTTTCATTATTAGAACTGGGAATAATCTTAAACATTCTGATAACGTCTTATTATGGAAACTTATTGAAGAAAATTGGGAACTATATTAAAGTATAAAAGGTAAAAATCATTCATTATCTATTAGCTCTTCTGGAAATTTTATAAAATTAGAAATACCAGAAACATATATATAGAGAGAGAGACTTAAAACTTTCTATAGAATTACCATGAAAGTAATTTTTGATCATATTAAGGCTGAATGAATAAAACAAGATCTTCAAGATATTCTGAGTTATGATCTTGTTCATTCTTGAATATAAACAATTCATGATATTTACACATTTATTCACATAGGACATTTATTATGATTAAAGTAAAGTAAAATAATTTGTTATCAAAATATGGAACTAAGATGAGACTTTCTTAATATGAAAGAAAACAAAATTATCTTAATCAAGTGAAATTTTCTTTAAATGATTAATTGACACTGGTGTTTGCCACCAGCAATTTTACATTTGCGTAAGAGCAGGAAATGTTTTCATTCTTAATCTTTCAACTTCAGCCTCCAGTACAGAAATTTGTGCAGCCTGTTCTCTTGAAATATGTGTTAACTTTTGTTGTAGAATCAGGTTTTCATATCGTTCTTTAGCGATCTTTTCACAAGTCAGTGTAGCCCCTATTTCAAAATAAAAATGAAATGAATCAGTGATTATTTATACTTTGAAATGCAGAGTGCAGCACTCAGAATCAATTGAACATATGAGATAATGCTGACAATTTTAGAACAGTTGTATAAATTTTTAGCAATATTGATTAGTGTTAAAAAAAACCCCTAGGGTTAAGTAAAAATATCTTACCCATTGCATTACAGATGTCTTTTCTCTCTGAAACAGCCACTAACTCTTCTCGTAAATTGCAGCTTAGCTGATAATTTGCTATGTCCTTTTGATTGCTAAACTTTCCCAGTTTCATAAGAATTTTTTTGCAATTTTCCACGTTCTTTTTGTGGGTCTAAAATTTTTGTTTTCATGATAAACAACAAAAACAATTAAGATATTTTATAGACATTATTTTCTTTTCCATATATTCACCTGACACTCCCCTGTAGACATTCTTAAAAAGCAAATTCACCATTATTATTAACATATCATATTTCTAGTGCCTTGCATAATAGAAATTTAATTTAAATTATTAAATTAAACTTAAATTATTTGTTGAAGGATAGAATGGTGCAATAGATCTCCCTATCTCTTGGGGATTGGGTTCCAAGATCCTGTGAATGTTTACAATTGTACTGACTCATATAACTATCTATGTATGCATATAATATTGCACCCACATACGCAACCTGTGATTAAATTTTATGAGGCACAGCAATATACAACAATAACATAATAAAATACAACAATGATAACAACATACTCAAATAAAAGTCATATGAATGTGTTCTCTCCTCAAAATATTTAATATAAAGGTTTTTGATCAATGGTTGACTGGATAACAAATATGGGAGCATAATACCACAAACAAGGTGGACTATTCTATACTAATGCCACATTTTAGAAAAAGTCTTGAGTATTCTTAGAATGGAAAGAAGATGCTGGGGAGATAGCTCAAAGGGCTGGGTTTGACTGCTATCATGACATAATTGCGAGAATACTGCTAAGAGTAGCCTCAGAGCATCAATGCACCACCCCTCCAAAAAAAATAAATGAAAGCAATATTTTTGTTTGTTTCTGGACCACAGCCTGTGTTGCTCAGGGCTCAGTGCTCCTGGGTCTGCCCTCAGGAATCACTCCTGGGGGGACTCAGGGGACCCTATGGGGTATCAAGGATCAAGCTCAGGTCAGCCATGTGCAATGCAAATGAGAGAATTTAAAAAAAAAAGTCACAAAGCTTGGGAATACTTTAATTCCATCTTATATTTGCTATATAATAAAAACTGAGCATTATACAGGTATGAGAAAATAATGCCTTTATAATGGAAAGGGAAGTCTAACAATGCTTCATTACATAAATCACAACCTAAAGTGAAATAGAAAATTCATACTTATATAGATCATAAGATATTTGATGGTAATTGCACATCAATATTAAAAGAAACATTTGAGTCTACTACACGTTACGGTTACACTATCCAGGAGCCTCAAATCACGATTTGTGAATCAATGAGATAAAGATTTTATTAGGTTCTATTTGAATTCATGATTTGAAACACTATTATTCATTCAAATGATTCACAACTGTTGAAATGATAATGATCAATATCTGGTGAGCCTACCTTTTCTAAAACATTAATGGTCTGCTCCATTATTCCAATCTGAAAGTTAATCAGCGACTCATAGTTTGGTTCATTTAGGAACTTAGAGAGAGAAAAAAACAATACAAGTAAGGATATTTTTCTCTATTTCTCTCAACATATAAATATTAAATTGTATTTCTTTTAAAACTTCACAGTGAGTATGATTTGGTGTTACATCATATATTTACTTATATTTAGCCTTTGCTATACTATGGTAAACACTAATAATCACACTGTACTGCACTGTCCTCCCATTGTTCATCGTTTTGCTCAAGCAGGCCCAGTAACGTCTTCATTGTGAGACTTGTTGTTACTGTGTTTGGCATATCGAATACGTCACGGGTAGCTTGCCAGGCTTTGCCATGCGGGCGAGATACTCTCGGTAGCTTGCCCACTCTCCGAGAGGGGCGGAGGAATTCAACCCGGGTCGCCTGGCCAGCCAGATGCAAGGCAAACACCCTACCACTGTGCTATCACTCCAGTCCAATAATCACAAATGATGTCTGGAATTTATTTCCTCATTTATTAATTCAACTCACCTGATATTTATTGCTTCATTTGAGCCCTGAATTAAGCACTCTAGTTAAAGAGAGAGAGAGAGGGAGGTACTAAGATAAAAGATACCCTAACTTTCAAGAGAGGAGAACATGTAGATGTGATTAGCAGCCTAAAGATATAAAAAGTGAAATGTAAATTCAAATGATTGAGATGAGACATTGTTTCTCTGGACTGCGAAAAACAAAAAGCTTTATTGAAGAGGTGCATTTAAATTACAGCTTGAAGAATAGACTCTGAGATATGGAAAAATAGGAGAAAAGATAAACCAGAAAGAAGAATCAATGTTAACAAAGACACTGAGGTAGAATTCTAGAAAATAATAAAGTTTGATTTGAAAATACTGATGTCTAGAGTAGAATACTAGAAATGAAATGAATGTCCAGTTAAGGTCTTAATTCATTTTCCAGATATGAAGTAGCAGTTTAAAGTGTATGAATAGATGAAAACGACCACTCTTTGCAGCTCCACGACTAGTCTCTGAAGAGATGCCAAACCAAGTTGATGAAACTCACTCATACACCAGACTTTGGGCTGAAAACTCTGGGACTTCCTCAGGAGTCTGTGACCTGCCAAAGTCCCAGCAGCTGCACCCATACCCTACAGCCACCATTACACAATTACCCCATTTACTGCCTCACGACTTATCTCAGAAGCTGACAAAATTTCCAGGTAGACTCATACTTAGGCTGCAAACTCTGGGGCCGTCTCCCTCACCTGCTCTGTCCAAATACTGCCAGAAGCCCTAGAAGCCACACCCATATGCCACAGCTGCCACCAGTTAAATGGCCCAGGTTCACTACTAATCTAGAGAGAAATGCCAAGCTGATGAAATAAAGGTGCTCCTTTATTAAAATAAAGGTGCAAACCATGACAAAGATAGCATGGTTCGCTCCTTTGTTAATCTAAAAGATAGCATGGTTAGCTCCTTTATTAATTAAAATTAGAGAATGAGGGAGCAAACAAACATGGTACACAAGTCTTGGGAGCAAATGAAACAGGAAGATCAAAGACCTTGAAGTCTGAATGAGGGGCTGGAAAAAGGAGAAACAAGCAACTCAAGAGAATCTTTTGGGAGGCAGGAAATACAAAATAGAGCCTGAGGGAGGTCAAGATCTGAGACTTTAGATTAGAATCTAAAACGTATTGGGATTCGAAAAGGTTAGTCTTTTAGATGTTAGAAAAATTGGTCAATCAAAGGAGAGGGCACGGAAGGAAACAAACAGTTGAGGGCAGAATCTTGAAGAATTGCAGTATTAAAGAATTAGAAGCAAAAGATAAAGCAGTGAAAGGGTAGTCTAACATGTGATAAGAAAAGTAAGAGAAAACAGAATGATGAAAGTCTAAGGAATGAGAAAGATGCTCAAATGCTATAGGGGATTCAAGGATCTGATATTGGAGAAGGGGACCACAGGATTTGACAACTGGAAAATCTATAGTTCTGTAGGAAAGATCTGTATTATTGAGTGGGTCCTGAAGAACTAAAAAGTACAAACATAAACTGTTGGAAGAAAGAATTTATATACACATTATGAGATACCACTGGTTTTGAATAATATATTTTATATCACAAGGACTTTCTATTAAGTCTGAACGAATGGATCAATACATTGTGAATGAAGTTAAAAGTATTAGGAGTTGGGGGGCTGGAGTGATAGCACAGCGGGTAGGGCATTTGCCTTGCACACAGCCGACCCGGGTTTGATTCCTAGCATCCCATATGGTCCCCTGTGCACTGCCAGGAGTAATTCCTGAGTGCAGAGACAGGAGTAACCCCTGAGCACCGCCAGGTGTGACCCAAAAAGCAAAAAAAAAAAAGAAAGTATTAGGAGTTGGGATGAGATTATGAGAAGACCATCAACAGTGAAAGGCTTTCCTATGACAATACCCAGATTAAATCTTATGTTGCAGTACTCCAGAAAAATAAATCTGTTTGGAATAATTACATAAAAGTTCCTCCTGAAAGCTATTCGGGGCTTGCTCTTCAAGCCCATGTTCTCCCTTAAACACGTATCTTGCTTGCTTGTCTCTGTTTCTTTGCTTGCTTGTTTTCACTATAGAGAAGCACACGTTCTCGCTTGAACACATATTTCTCCTCTTTCTATCCTCTGACAAATTTCTAAGCAACTTTCATTCAATAAACCAACCATGAAAAAAGAAGGAAAAAGTATATAAGTTATGCTGGAAGAATTTACCTTTTGACGGTCTCTTGAAAAAAATAGCATCTGAATATCCCAAGCCTTCTGATTTAGATCTTCCATTTCCATCTCCATTTTCTTATGTTCCCACTCAATCTGAAATATTCCTTTGTGAAAGTCTTTACTTTCCATCATGCTAGCAACTTTCTTCTGTCCTTGTGTCTTTAAGAAAGGTATTTTACAATATTAGCATAACACAGTTCTCCATTCAGAATATGAAATTTTTGATGAAGAACACTATTCTAAGACCACACTGGAATCACATTCTTGTTTAAAAAGTCACAGACATTTGACAGGGATGCACAAAGGAATCCTTATTTACATTGGTGGGATTGTCATCTGGTTTAGCCTCTATAGTATCAAAAAAGTATTAGGAGTTGGAGACTTCTCAAAATATAACAAACAAAACTTCCATGTGACCCAGCAATTATACTCCTTGGCATCTATTTCAAGAACATAAAAATATTCATTGAAGTACTGTTTATGGTAGCCAAGATCTGAAAACAACCTGTTCCCAGCAATAGATGAGCAGATAGATTGTGGTGTATTTATACAACGAAATACTTCTCAGCCATAAGGACAGATGAATATTTGCACTTCACTGTAACTTGTACATAAGTGGAGGCTGTACATAAGTGTCATGCTAAATGAAGTGAATCAGAGTAAATACATGTACCAGATGTGTAGTGTAAAGAAAGAAAGTGAGGTTAACTAAAATAAACTCTGTGATACTACCAATAGAATTAAGAAAACCAAATGCTGGAGGGGTGGAGCAAGAAGGGAATTAGGGACAGTGGTAGAGGGATTTGGGTTTATGATAGTGGGTATGGTACAAAGTATTGTAAGTTTAAAATATTAATATTGATGCTACTATAACTAATCATTTTCAAAATAAACTATGATGTTTTTAAAATAAGGGGGTAAACATTTAAAAATTGTTCCTTGAGCAAAATCTGACTTCTAATAACGCCTGCATTTGAACAGCATGGTTAATTTCCTTTATAAGTCAGTGACTAGGAGGAACTCCTTTACCATCATCGATTGATCTGTTAGTTTGCATGAATTTGTAGCCTAATCACTGTCCTGTCTGCTGATGCTATAAATAAAGGACTATATTGCTGCTAGGTTCATTAGTATTGGTTAGTGTGGACTGTGGAGTGAAAATAAAGGAAATAGTTAAACATTAGAAGGAATAAGAATGTATAAAATAAATTTGATAAGTAATATACAGATTAATTTTATACCTAGATCTTTTGCACCTCACTTTAAATCTCCTACATGAAGTTCAGAAATATTTTCATGAACCTCGTTGTTATTGATAACTCCACTATGTCTCTAACATAAATGTCTGACAGACTTCTATTAGATGACAGTCTCTTATAAAATCAAGATATCATTCCAGGGGTAAACTCAGGAAAAAATAAAAATCTCTTAAAAATGAAAATGAATATACATCAAAATGTATACATGCAGCTAAACTGTCACCTAGAGAGAAATTAATAACAGTACATGTTTATAATAGAAAATAAGTGAGGTGTGAAAATCACTGCTCTAAGCTTATTTAAGATTACCATCAGGTGAGTAGTACACTGAATGTATCAAATGATGGCATAATAAATAGAACAAACATTTAATCCCACAATCCTGAACTCCTTGTTTTCAGTCTTTTCTATAATTTAAAAAAGTACCTGAATCTTGGGCTGGGATCTGGACACATTTGAAAAGTTCCTTGTGTGATTTCAATGTGTGATTAGTGAAGAAACATCGATTGATTGAACTGAATGTGAATGATTTATCATAGAAATAGAATCATGAAAATACTGAGTAGAGCAGGTGTTTATTTCCTCTTAAAAATGATAATTACCCGAATCACTGAATTCAACTCTTCAATTATGTTCTTGTTGATGAGAATTGCATCAGAATACTCCATAAGAAACTGGAAATTCTCCAGTTCTATTTGTCCTTGCTTAAGGAGAATTTGTATCGTCAAATTCAACTGGTATTTCACTTTTTCTTCTTGTAATCTAAGATGAAAAATTAGAGTAAGTAGTAATAATAGTTTGCACTTCCAATTTTACCTACTATTTGAGAATATAAAATTCAAGTTTAATATTCTTTGTGCTTAAGGAAAAAGCATGCTAGAAACTAATGCAGAAAAGTTTCCCAATGTTGAGCTTCCCTACAAGTCCCTTAAATTAGACTTTGTTTTGTTGTCATGGAATTAACAAATGAGTTGCTCAAAGAATAATATGCACAGAAATACACTCATAAGTTTTTACTATATGATTTAAAAATGTTAATTTTGGTTATGATTTTAAAAATGAAGAAAATAAGAGATACTACTAAATATTCAAGTTTTAGACTATTATGTATTAACTTGTGGTAACATATCAACAATGTTTAATCTGTATGTTACTTATCAAATTTATTTTTAGGCGATTCACATTTCTTCTACCAATGAAGATTTCAAGGTGATATTTTTGGGAAAAACTGATCATGGTGGAAGTAAATATGCCCCAAAGTGGAAAAGGGACTTAAAATGGCAGTACCCCAATCACTCAGAAACAATATGAGCTCCTCCAAAGAAAAAGAAGGAAGGTTATTAGCTCATTAGGTGTCTATATGAACATTTCTTGAATCTCTGGTTAGCTTTCCACATGAGTTTGCTTACATGTAGCTTAAGCCCCAAAGTCCTTAATGGCAGAAACAAATTCTTATATGAAAGGACAGGTTGAAAAAATACTAAGATTTCCATGGCCTCCCAGCTAGTTCATTTGCATCAAGAGCAGTGGAGTATGGGCAAAGTTACACTCCAAAATAAGTTCTGAAATTTAAAAATGCACTTTTACAAAGGGAAGTTAAAAAGCTTGAGAGAAGTAAGTCTGTGCAGAAACATGACATCAAATGGAAATTCTGTCCCCTCTCCCTTCCCATGATCACAACACAGAAGGAAACCCTGGCTAAGACTTGTACTACATGCATAGTCATGGAAGGTTCACACTACAGGATGAGTTCATGGTACACTTTCTCAATGTCCTGTTGCACTTTCTCATCTTCTTCAGTTCTCTTCCGGAGGAAAGCTGTCATTTCCACTAAGCCAGCTGCTTTCTGCTTTACCTGAAGAAATCAGGTAAATATCAACAAATATCTCAGAGCAAAAGAAACTTTAGAAATGAAGTAAACTAAGTTTAGAAAACTTTAACAAGTGTTTCTTTCTAGGAGAGAAAAAAGAAAAAAATAACCTCTGCTATTATGCAATGTGAGTCTAAATTTTACACAGTACTTGCCATAAGTGATTTAAAAAATTATCAGGCTTGCTTCTTGATAAAGTCTTCAATATGCAATCAATCCAAAAGGACTCTATCTTATTTTTAAATTGGTTCTTTAAATTTTATCATCTTAGATGAAATGAACTGGGAAGATGCTCAATGGGCTGAGCATGTGTTTTGCCTGGGAGAGGCCTTTTGACCTTCCAGAATTATATGGCTCCCTTAGCACTGCTAAGAGCGACACCAGGCACTGAGCCAGTAGCAGCCCCAGAGCACTGACAGATACAGCCATAAAGCAAAACAAAGAAAGATGCATACATTCAGATCATCATAATCATAAATACTTAATTTTAGTAAGCATATGCTAGCCAGATGCACATGGCATTACATTTAAGGAATAGTGGGGAGAGGAAGCAGAGTGCACGATGCATCAGGAAGGGTCCTCTTTACAATCGAATACACTAGCAAATTCAAAAAAGTTGCATCTGGTAAAACACAGCTCTTATCTAAAAAGAGACAGGAATACTCAAGTTCAGGTCAGAGGAAAAGAACAGTTATTTATATAATAGTGCTGTCCAGGAGACATAAAATGTAAATCATAAATGTGCTGCATAACTAATTTAAAATTTTCTAGAAGTCACATTATGAAATGTGAGATAAAATTAGTTTTATTTAATATGGTATAATAAAAGTATTTTAGTCCATATTGAATATAAAAAATATTAAGACACTTTCAAACCCTTCTTCCCTACTTCTGAATTTGAGTCTTTTCTACTTGTAGTACGTCTCAGAATCAGACACATTTATTTTAAGTAAATATTAAATACACATGACTAGTAATCACCATATTAGACATGCGCGTATAAATTTAGGCTTATCCATTTATATTTATATTTAGCTCTCAATAGCACCAAGATTAATATTTTATTTTATCATCATAAACATTAGCATTTCTTACTACTATGCAAGCAGAAAAACCTGAATAATTGGTTTTTAAAAAAATAATAACCTCTGTAAACTATATTCTCAACATTAGTACATTAAATGAGTAAAATAAAAGAAATGTTGTTTACTTTCTGTTCATTTTCCACTTTTGTTCGTCGAACCATGCAAAAATGCGACCATACTTCGAAGTCCAAGCCTTCTGGCATATTATTAAAATTGTCCAAATCATCCATGGCTTTCATTAACAGGGCAAAGCTTTCCTGAGCCAATTTCCCAGATCCTGGTCGATCTCCAAAAGGGTTATTAGTAATTACTTCTAGATGTGGTTTCAATTTGTGAACCCTGTATTACCAATAAAAACCATCAAACTTTCATATTTGCACAACACACAATCAATGCGAAGAAAAAGATCCTTAGTACAAGTTACAAGTATGACATTGGATAAGAGTTCCTTTGATACAAGGTGGCTGGGAGACGCATTATTCCAATTTTGATATATTCCCATATTCTAGAGATCCCTAACATAAACATGACTGACTATACAGTCATCTCTAATTATTGTCAGCACTGGTAGCATTACCTCTACTAGAAAACCTCTCATGTATTTTAGGCAGGCAAGTTAATAATACCCAAGGAGTGAGACTCTTCCTGTTCCATACCTCCCCTTTTGGCATCATCTTTGCAGGTAAAGGGGATATGTTCAGATACATTTCCAACAGGAGAAGTCCCTGTGTCTACCTGCATTAATAGATTCATTTTGTTGCCTTGGACTGTGACTTACAAGGGAAGGGAGGAAAGAAAGATCTGTTCCAGGCGCTTGTTATTAAAATGCTTTACAGTAAACCTGAAGCCACTACTGCTATTTGTTTTCGTTAGATGAACGTGAATTTTGGGGAGGAACTCTTGGTTGGAGACCTTGTGCCTGACAGATGCTTGAGTTAGGACTTGAAGTTAATTCTGTCTGACAGGAAAGCATGTGATTTTTCCACTTGCTACCTCCCAATATGTGGACGTCTTTCCAATTGTTTTTAGTCCACAAGGGACTAAAACATACACTTGGTTTATTATAGTCTATTCTTTTAAAGCAAAAGAAACCAAATATGAGGCATGTTTTATGTTGAATCTTTCCACCAAGGTTGTATGTAAACCTATCAAAGGCCAGAGAACAAGTGTACATCTCAGATACCAATGGGCCTATGCACCTATGACAAAAAATTGTGTCAACTGGTAAATATTTGGAAGTTAGAAAAATGTAACTATAATGACAGCCTCAATTAAAAACATATATTTTAGAACTCTCTTGATAATGAATTATTAAAACTTTTTAATTGAATCACTGTGAGATAGACCATTACAAAGCTGTTCATGATTGGATTTCATTCATGCAGTATTCCAATACCCATTCCTCCACCAGTGTACATTTCCCAGCACCAGTGTCCTCAGATTCCCTCCATCCCCCCTCTACCCCTTACCCTCTGCCTGCCTCTATGACAGGTTCTTTTCTTCTCTCTCTATCTCTGTCTCTCTTTCGCTCTCTCTCTCTCTCATTTTACATTGTGGTTTGCAATATTGATACTGAAAGGTTGTCAAGATAATGGATTTTTTTTACATCATTATTGAACACAATCACACTGATGTGTGTGTTCTGAGGAAATTTGTGGTCAAATATGTTTGAAAAACACTGTTTCTCACACTTGAAGATATGAAGGACAAGACAAGTTCTGAGATATTTTCCCATAAAAGTAAACTTTAATTTGTTTTAGCCCAGTATTGTCCCCAAACTATTTTAGACTGGAAGACTTTCACAGGTAATTCCAAAGTCACAATGCAAGGGATTCATATTTGCCATGTCATATCTTGTGGAGAAAGTGTATGTAAACTGGGGGGCCTCCCATAACATAAGAGGAACTACTTTCATGTATAAAATAGAACTATGGCATCATGCTTAACTATTTTTCAATAATGAAATTATTCTTTGTTGCTTATTGTAAGCAATGTGAAAGCACTATACAAGAAATACTGAGTTACAATTAAGACATTTGAATATTTCCACATAAAAATGTTGCATTAATTATTCCCACCATAATTGGGATAAAAGGCTAAAATCCAATACCAATCTTCTTCATTTGCAAACTTTAAAAAAAATCAGAGACTTTGCTTTTTTGTCTCTAGGTTTCTCTTCGCTTGCTTGCTCTTTCAAGCTTGTGTTTTCTCTTAAACAAGTATTCCTTCTTTCCCCCAACCCCACTTCCACCTTTTTAAGTAAGTTTTGTTCAATAAAAACTATCTTACCTAGAAATAAAAATCAGAAACATGATATTGAAATAGAGACAAAACAAACCTTGGTCTTCGTTTAAAAAGTTTGAGGAGCATTTCCACATGATGACCAGAAATTTCAGAAAATTCCTTTTTAAAGCTACGTTCCAGAACCTAAAGACAAACATAGTATTGCTGGGTTTATAACTTTGTTCAGAAACCTTTTATATTCTGCCCTGCTCTTCAAAATACAGGCTTCGGTAGTAACACTTTAATTTTGTAAATCTGTGAAAACTTGATTCAAAAAGTAAACTTGCTAAGAAGGTGAGTACTCACTGTACGAACATTTCTTGGAGATTTAAGGTTGAATCAGAAGCACCTTAGAGGAAAGTATTATCTCATGTAACAGGGGTTCAGAGTGGGGATTAAAGAGATAGTGCAAAGGGTAGGGAACTTGTCTTGTATGTGGCAGTTCTGGGTTTAATCCTGGGATCATCACCAGAGCCACACTGAGAATGATCTCTGAGTGCAGAACCAGGATAAGCCTTGAGCATCGATAGGTGTGGTTCCAAGACAAAACCAACAAAAAAACTAAAAACATTCAGAATGGAAGATTCTCAAAACAACATTTATCTAGAAAATAGTTAGGGTACTGTACTATTTCATTCTACCCCCTTCCATTTATTTCTTACCCATATAGGCTTCTTTGTTTTTCTTGCCTATTCTTTTTATTGTTGTTGTTGTTTGTAATTTTTTAATGGGAAGAAAAACAATAAAATACTAAATAAAACTGAAGATAAATAAAATTTTGACTATACAGTGCAATGGAGCGATAGCACAGCGGTAGGGCGTTTGCCTTGCACGCAGCCAACATGGCCGACCCGAGTTCGATTCCTCTGCCCCTCTCAGAGAGCCCGGCAAGCTACCGAGAGTATTCGATATGCCAGACACAGTAACAACAAAGTCTCCAATGGAGACGTTACTGGGCCCGCTCGAGCAAATCGACGATCAACGGGAGGGCCTTTACTTTACAGTGCAATATGGAATATTAAAAAATTCCAAGAACATGATCATGAGGAAAAATAAAACTGAAGAACATGTGTAACATAAACCCATTGACATCAAGTTCAAAAGCAAGCATATTAACTTATGGTTATTAGGTTTCACTGACATTAGTGCCTTTATCTAAAGAAAACAAACAGTAGTCTAAACCTACAGTAGCATAGCACTATAGCACTGTAGCACTGTTGCACTGTCCTCCCATTGTTCGTAGATTTGCTCGAGCGGGCCCAGTAACATTGTGAAACTTGTTACTGTGTTTAGCATATCGAATATGTCATGGGTAGCTTGCCAGGCTTTGTCGTGCAGGCAAGATACTCTCGGTAGTTTGCCGGGCTCTCCGAGAGAGGTGGAGGAATCGAACCTGGGCCGCGTGCAAGGCAAACGCCTTACCTGCTGTGCTATTGCTCCAGCCCTACAATAGCATAGCATTTCCATTATTATGCTATTAGTGATCTCTAGAACTGTGACAGGATGCTTAATTGTTTAGGGGTTTACAACTCCATTTACTGTCTCTTATAATTTGTAGGTACCATCAGATTAAAGTTCTCCAGGTGATCTTCACAAAACTCCAACTATTAGGCATCCTACCTCTTTTCAGACGAGTCCCACACTCTAAAACGCAAAGGGTGTCCTGACACTACTGATTCTAGGGATTAAGGAGTTGTAGCTGGTGCTAAATGAGAGATCCAACCCTACAGTGGATAGAATTGAAGGTCTTGCCTATTCTTGATGAGAACTTTCTAAATTGATATCATAACTAATGGGGTCAACAACAACTTAAATTTCAAAAGTCCTAAAGTCTAGGAGCTTTCTTAATTTTTTTATGGTTTGAGAAAGCTTAAACCAGATATATTTACAAGAATTAATTTTACACAGTGATTTTAAAAAATACACATAACATATAATCAAATCCATCCATAAAAGAATTAGAATAGAAAAAAAATCTGTGAGGAAATGAAATGACAGATCTTCCCCCAATCCAGGCAGCAGCAACTGTCACACTGGTGGGTAGGTAAGAAAATGGCTCTCACTTTGTCCTCTGCCACTAAGTTGTCATATTGCTCCTTGTACATTTCGAGGTTTTCTTTAGCTTTCAGGATGGCCTCTGAAGTCTGGCTCTATAACAACAGCAAGAATAAACAATTGGAACTGGATACTATTCAGGGTAAATAAACAAACAAGCAAAATACTGGATGCTAAAAAAAGAACAAGGGGTTTCCTAGTATAAGATAAATTGTTAGTGAAGGATCAAGTTACAGATAAGAGCACTTTAGAAGAAAGTAAACCAGTTGCAAACTGAAGGAATAAGCATTCACTGGGTCACCTGTCCCGAGTCTAGGCCAGCTCTGCCTGGTTGTGTTAGTGCCTATGAAGCTCCTGACTTTCTTGTAGGGCGGTGTGGACGGTAACAATGCACAGGTTTGGGAGTTGTAGGGAGCTGGGTTCTGAGAGACTAAATGATAAAGGCAATGGCCAGATCTTCCATGGTAACAGAACTCTGCCACTACCACTGCTGCAACCAGCCAGGAAGCCAAGCCACTCTGTCCCTACAAATGCAGCCCAAATTGTCAGGGTTTGATCTTTTGATTTGGTATGAGTTCCCAATTTTCCCACTATTTCCAACTTAGGACCAACCAGAAACAGTCAAATATGTTCCACAAATCAATCCTATAGATCACCCAGATTCTGATTATTTTGTCTCCAGCTTCCCCACGAAAATAGCTTGCAGTTAGGGAAGAACTAAAGCCCTCCTTCCAATTCACTTTTCAGTCCCCTGCCAGCTGTCTGGGGTCTTCCAAACGCCAACAAAGAGACCCGTTTTTTACTACACCAAGTTCTGAATAGTGTCTACATGTTTTCACTGGATGGCATCTTTATTTCTGCAGCCTAATTCCTGCTATTTTTCATGCTGTTGGGTGACTTAGGTACATTATCAATCTCTCTGAGGGGGTATCATATCTCATATCTCAATATTCAATTCTCCACAGGGCTGATATGAGGAGGGGTGTATGTAGAAGGTGCTTTGTATATGCTAGTTAAAAAACTTTGGGAAAAAAAAAAGTTGTGGGGCCAGAGCCTGGGTAGGGCACTTGTTTGCAAGCTGTTGACCCAGATTTGATCCACAGCATCCCATATGGTCCCCTGAGCACATCCTGGAGTGTTCCCTGAGCACGGAGCCAGGAGTAAGCCCTGAGTAACACAGGGTGTGGCCTCACCCCCAACCCCCCAAAAGAAAAAAAGGTGTGTCCCATATATAATACTTTTAAAGTCATTCAAACTTTATTAATATTACTAATAAAAGATAGAATCTTTTGACATTTGTTGTTATGACCTCCAATAAAACACATTTAACCAAGCTCCCAGTTATTAGATTCTTTTTCTAGTGACAAAATAACAGCCTTTTTTGTTTCCCTATAAGCTAACTTATTACATGTTTAGTGAAATTTATAGTGCCAGATAGTCCAGAGAGAGCCACATTCTTGAGGAGGAGCTTAAAAAATAGCCTAAAAGGTTATTTTCTCAAGGTCTGATGGTTAATCAAAGGTTAGGTAAACAGGTTATTTCAGCCACAAAGTTTTATGATTTTAGTTTATAAACGCTGTCACAAGAAAGTTCCATGGTTCTTTTGAAGAAATGGTTTCAGAGGCAGAATCACATAACTTTAGCAAAAGATTGGAGTCGGTGCTTCACCTGACCCTGCAGCAAAGTCCCAGAGAGGGCATAAGGGACACACAGAACTGAGCAGGGATGGGAGATGGAGCATTAGAACTAGGGAAGAGAATTCTCAGACAAGAAGCACATGTGTCAGATTGTCAAGAACGCTTGTACTCACTATCAGGTTTTATACCTACTTTCTCCTCCTGTTTCCTTGAAAGATAGTTATTTAGGTATTCTTCTCTGGAGCATAGTTCTTCATCCAACAGTAAGGAAAAAAGCAGGTTATTTATTTTCAATTCCTCCTGTAAAAATATTTTTTAAAAGGGGATCAATATTCATATCCAAGAGAAAATTTTCTGTTACAGATTATAGACTTGGCAAGTTTATGAAACTCAAGTTTCAAAAGCAAGTTTATGACATACAAGTGAAATTTCTTTTGAGAAAAAATATAAACCATCTCAAAAACTACTTATCTTTTCACTGTAAAACACATGCAGAAAAACACACAAATGTATAGCTTAATGAGTTAAGACAAAGGCAAACATCCTTGCCTTGATCAACCAATTCAATAAATAGAACTTCCCTCCTGCTAAAACCCCCTATGTGTGTCCCCATCAACATGTTGACCCTCCCCCTTCAAATAGTCACTGTCAGGACTTCTACAGTGGTCAATTCCTTCTGTTTCTTCATAGTTTTATTATCTGTACTTTTTGTTTTGGTTTTGGGCCACATTTGGTGGTGCTCAGGGCTTACTTCTGGCTCTGCGCTCAGGAATCACTCCGGGAAGGGCTGGGGGGACCATGTGGGGAGTCAGGGATCAAATCCAGATAGGCTGTGTGCTAGGTAATGCCCTACCCACTGTACTATTGCTCTGGCCCCTACATCTAATATTTTTATACAAGTAATGCTATAGTACTTAGAAAAATATTGATATTTAGTATGTTTCTAGGTACTTGCACTAAAGATGTGAGAAAAACAAATGTCCTTGTGCTTTCTGCCTAACTGATTATAACAGCCCAGATTGAATGGGAAAATATGGGACAAAAATACAGGAGGTGTGTAGCTCAGAAACTAAACAGTAAGCCAGTTTTGTTCTTGAGAAGAATATAAAATAGAGTTTATAAGGGAAAAAAGTCTTCCATAATCCACAAGCCCCTTTTTATTTTTTATGTTTTCTCACAGATCTATGGAGTTATATGTAATTCCATCCAGTCTCAGCTTTATTAGCTATGTACTTATGTTGCACTTTACTGGAGCCCTTCATCCTATCTCTTTTCTGAAAATCTGTAGAAGATCAGAGGTCTATAAATCAGATAAATCATGTTTGATCTCTTTGGCAAGGTGACAAGGTGTCCTTTGATCAGGAGATGTACAATCTTTCTCTTTCTGATGTTAGCAGCTACAGATATTCACGTCCAGTTCCTTAATTCACTGAGAGTTACAGAATGGCGATATTCTACATGATCAATTTTTACTCATTAATTGGAATAATTTTGTATGGTGAGTGTCTCATCTACTATTTGGCTGTCTAGTGGTACAGTTCACATCAGAAAGTAGAATAAACTCTGGTTCATTAGTCTTTAGATCATGAACAGGTTATTATCCTCTTTAGCTGGCTACTGAGTTCTCTTGATAATACCTGGTCTTTATAGTAGTTTCTCATCATCTTCTATGACAAGATAACTTACCTAACTTTCTTTTTTTTGGGGGGGTGGAGGGTCACATCCAGTGATGCTCAGGGGCTACTCCTGGCTCTACACTCAGGAGTTACTCCTGGCGGTGCTTGGAGAACCGTATGGGATGCCAGGGATTGAACCCAGGTTGGCCGCATGCAAGGCAAACACCTTACCTGCTGTACTACAGCTCCGGCCCCACTTAGATAACTTTCATACATAACTTTCCAAACATAACTTTCAAAAAGAGCTTTACGAAGTATACTTCACAATCTATAAAATTCACTCCTTTAAAGGATTTTTTGTTTTACAGTCATGGCCCAAAAACTGGGGGGGGGGGGGGAGTAAGTGGAGGGTGGGGGAGATGCTCAAATCATCTCTTCAATGGAAACCTGAGGTTACAGACAGCTGTAGAGTTTCTTAATTTTTCCATCTTATTTCAGTTGACTTTTTTTCTTTGGTAAGACATTTGCCAATGTCTCTTTGAGAGTGGGTGCACATAAAATTTTAAGACTCCGTCTTTCTCAAAATATCCTAATTTTCTTTTTACACTATATTGATATGTAAAGACTTTATTCCTGGGTTTTCATACTTGTAGTTACGGTGTACTTCATTCATATTATCATTGCTGAATCAAACGCTCTTTTGGGTCATACAAATTATTCATTCCTTCAACATACAGTTTGAGCCAAACTCAATGCTAGTTGCTGGAAATACAGGAATGAACCAGACTAATACTGTCCCTATTGTCATGGAGTTGGAAGTCTTGGGAATATTAAACAGTGAACTCACATAAATTCAAATTCAGTTGCAGAAAATGATGTCAAAGAGCAGAGAATATACATGGAAGTTCAAGTCTAGTTTCGGGGAATTTAGTGCCCAGAGACTTGAGAGAATACAGGACAGTGGGGAACAGTGTTGGACAGAGGTGGACACAGGTAAGTTCCAGGCACTGGAGGAGGGGGAGTAGCAAGTGAGGGAGAGGGTGACACAGGCAAGATCGAAGAGCAAGTGAAGGTCAGAACTTGCTGGACTGGTGCCAGTCAGAGGCAGCTCTTCACCTGCAGAACAATGAGAAGTTGCTGGAGGGTCCCTAAAACAATAAAGTCACAGAAATGTATTTACCTGGTTCACAACCATTTCTGCCTTCACTCTCCTGTCAAAGAGTCTTTTCAAGAGTTCATCAAAATGCTGTGTGCTTTCTTGAATAGCGTTCTGAAGTTTTCTCAGCTCTGCATCTAGAGACTAAAAGAAAATCAGCAGGCAAGTTAACTGGGAAGAACATGAAATTTCCTGGGATGTCTATTTTACACAAGAGAGGAGAGTCCCACCTCCTTGGCCCCTGCCCCTGCCCCTGGGAGGCTCTGGCCCTCTATCCCTTCAGCCAGAGATGCCTTCCGTGGGATCTCCTGAAGAGATTTTGTGTCTGACATTGTGCTGGAAAGTAGGCTATAAGTCACTCACTGTGGCTAGCAATATACTGGCAGAATTAGGCCCAGTAAAACAAACCACAGCAAATTTTTCCAGAAAATTCTTTTTCTCTGATATTTCATTTCATTTTCATTTCATCATCCTGTTATTCGTCGATTGCCTCGAGCAGGCCCCAGTAACGTCTCTTTCATCCTAGCCCTGAGATTATATTCAAGGCTATTTAGGAGAATGAGACCCATCATTATTACTGGTATTTGGCATATTTGGTACGCCACGGGGAGTTTGCCAGACTCTGCCCTGTGGGCAGGCTGCATTCTCTGATATGATTTTTAAAAAGTAGCTCGCCTTTCTTATTCTTTTTCCATTTTTTCTTTTTTCCCTCCTCTCTCACTCTCTCACTCTTTTTTTCTGGGGGGGTGGGGGAGCTGGGCAAAGGGTCACACCCATCTGGGTTCAGGCTTACTCCCAGTTCATGCGTAGGGATCACTCTTGGTGGGCTCAGAGGGTCATATGTGGTAGGTGCCTTGTCTTTTTTTCTCAGTGTTTGTGCATAAGTTGTACTTGGATATATGCCAATTGTTTTGTAAACTGTCACTCAGTTTAGCTCTGTTTGATGTTTTCTCGTGTTCATACCAGATTATATGCTTACACATTCCTGGCAGGAATACTGCATAGACCACATAATAACCTTGCAATTTTACCACACCAGGAGACCAAATGTTGCTTAGTTTCCTTATTAGTTGTTACCAGGAACAACGCTTGCTTGAATAATGTCTTCCCATTTAGCTATTACAGAGCTAGGATTTTTCTATTTTTAGTTCACTTGTGAGAAAGTGCTCTGAGACTGTATTCTTGTTTCTTATCAAACTTTTACTCACCATTTTTAGTACTTATTGTGAATTTCTACATGAATCAGATATTAATTAGATGATCAAAAATATCACTGTTAGTTTAAATTGATTTTTAAAAAAGATCTTCTGTATTGGTAAATAAAGGAGACAGACCCTGGCAAGATGATGGGGAAAAGTTTACCAAAAAGCACAATGGTATGAAATATAAGAAGAAACACAACTCAATTAAGTAATAAGGAAATATTCATATAAAACAAAGCATATTTCAGGGTAGGCTAGTATGATTTTTTTGTTTTTGAATGGGAAATCTGGAGCAGGACCCCTGAGTGACCTATTCTGGGAGCTGAGCAGAGATGAATCATGAATTTATGACAAGAACAAAAAATAAGAGGCTGGACAGAGAGTACAGTGGGTAGGGCATTTGCCTTATATGCAGCCAACTTGGGTTTGATCCCCAGCACCCCATTTGGCCCCCTGAGCCCATCAGGAGTGGGCTAAGTGAAGATCCCTGAGTGAAGATCCAGGAGTAAGCCCTGAGCACCTGGGGATATGACATAAAAAACAAAAACTGAAAAACAGAAAAAGCGAACAAGTCTGATCAGATTGTGTGAACAGGAATTAGGAAGCCACAGAGACAATAGTAAGTGTTGGTATGGAAGCTGAAACAAACCATATTAATCACTGCACCAACCACTGAATATATTAAATGAAAAATGTTTCCACTCCAAAAGCAACGCAGCTTCTGGGGCTGGAGCAATAGCACAGCGGGTAGGGTGTTTGCCTTGTACGCGGCCGACCTGGGTTCGATTCCCAGCAACCCATATGGTCCCCTGAGCACTTCCAGGGGTAATTCCTGGGTGCAGAGCCAGGAGTAACCCCTGTGCATCGCCAGGTGTGACCCAAAAAGTCCAAAAAAAAGGCAATGCAGCTTATGTTTTAAAAAATAAACACCAAAAAACCTGGCCTGTGTGAATGTGCCTGGGACTCAATCATTTTTGGGCAATAGTTAGGTCAAGTCCACATGCATACGAGAGTGTCTCTCATACTTCTCCAGTGCTGCCTGTTCTTGGTCCCATTTCTGGAACATTCTTTGTGAAGCTCTTCTGGTCACAGCAGCACTGAAGTCAGTGTTGGATATTCACAGCGGTACAATAACATACCCAGCACAAGTGTCCAAATCCTGCCACCTTCGCCCAAAGGACTCTCTCTACTGCATTAGTCTCCTTGATTCTGTTCTGTTGACCTTAGTGCAGGATTTGTATCCATTGGGGACTGCCTCGTCCCTTTTTCAGTTTTTCTTCTGCCTATGAGTGAGATCACCTAACAGATGTCATTTTCTTTTGGACTCGGTTTCCTTTGTAGAACACTCTCCAATTCCATCTAAATTGCAGCAAATGGCAAGATTTCATCATTTCTCTAAGTCATGAGTAGTATTCCATGGAGTATATATACCACATTTTCTTTACTCAAATATTGGGCACTTGGGTGGTTTGGAGGTCTTGGCTATATGAAACAATGGTTTTATCACAGGGGTGCATGTGTACTTCTGAATGAATGCTTCTGTTTTGGGGGTGTAGGTGACCAGAATGGGATCACAGGGTCAGATGGATATTCTACTCTTAATTTTTTGAGCTGTCTCTAAACTGTTTTCCAAAGGGACTATCCTACACCAACAGTGTAAGAGAGTTCATCACCACATCCCTGCCAGTACTTACTAATTCTGGAGCTCTGATATAAACCATTCTTGCTGGCATGCAACTCTCCCTCATGTCTCATTATCTCATGGAAAAGTTCCACCTACTGTGGTCTCTGACTACTAGTTATCAAGATTATGCTCCTGGATAAGCAACCACTATGTGGCAAACAGCCAAAGCTCAGCCAACCAATTGGCCACATTGTCCAAGTGTCCTCCACCCACCCTTCTTTCAGAGATTCCAGGCTTCTAAGGCTCTGAGGCCTTCAAGACTTTTTTTAAAATCTATGTAAAAATACAGCCTTTTGAGGAAGGGGTTCCCCTAAGCAGTGCCCTAGGGTCAGGTGCCGCTCATAATACATGATCAACGGGGTTAGTGGGCTAAATGTTAGAGCTAAAGAGGAAGCACTGTTCAGGCTGTACCTGAAGACCACTAGGGGCACTCCACAGAGCTCGCTGCCTCAAAGGTCACACCTGGATTTTCTCAGGGAACTTCAGAGTTACACCTGGCAGTGCTGGTGGATGCCATTCAGTGGAGGGATCAAATGGTTTCCATGCATGTAAAACATATACTCCTGCCTCGGCACTCTCTCCATAGTCCTCAAAGACACCATATAATTTGTTCTTAAGATGGCCTACTTCTCCCTGTAGGACCTTCTTATTTGCTTTTTCATCTGTTTTCCAATCTTCAACCCACTCATTCTTTCTCATTCTTCCAGCATAATCCAGATGCCATTTTCTTAAGGAAGTCTTTCTGGATTCTTATCCCAGGTCTCGTGCAGAGTCTTGGAAACACAGCCCTTCTAAAGGACAGGGTTCTTCTGTCTTCTGGAGGGTATTCTCTGACTCCTGTCCAAGGAAGCAGCAGGACCTGGTATGCTCTCAGGTGGTACAGTTTTGGTCTGATTCTCAGGAGTGTGGCAGGAGGGTCTTTGCTGAACTGTGGTGCTCTGGGCACGAAGGAGGCTGACTGGTTCTCAAAATTTGGAAAACTCTACCCTCATGCAGAGCTCTGTCAGCCTTGGATCATTGGTGGGTTTGTGCAAAGAAAGAGGGACTCTGGATTCTGTGTAGGAGGGTTGTTGGTGCCAGGCAAAAGGCCAGGAAAATCCCTTCTAGTCCCCTTTCCTCTCCCCGCACCTTGGAAAAAAGGCAAATGTGGGCTCAGTTGGGGTAGGGAGGTGTGGTAAGGTTTGGGGATGAGAAGAAAGTGTGCATGAACTTGCTGTTTGCTCTCCACTGACTACTTGGGTGAGGGCTTGTTAGAAACTCTTAATTGGTGTGGGCTTGTTAGAAACTTGTCAGGAGACTCTCGCCTTCTTCCCTTTCTTCAGTGGATGAATGAAAACCTATGTTTTCAACACAGTGCTCTGGGCAACAGATACCCAGCTAAGGAGGAATGGAATACAGCTCTGAGTTCCTTTCAGGGCAATGAAGATTATGGATGTTGTCAGTATTTTCACCTTTTAACCACCTGTGTGGCACAGGTGCAGTTACATTTTCGTACTGGGTCTAATCAAAGGTGGGGTCTCACCAGGTGACAGGGATGTAGGATCAAGGAGACCAGGGCTTAAGGTAGACTATTTTATGGAGCAGAATCGTGGAGTCAAGTCTATTCATCGCAGGTTTCTAGCTTGCCCTCCTCCTTTGCATCTTTTCTGCATTCAAGACTGTTGCTCATTTTGGCCTCTTTGGTCAGTACTGTGCTCAATAAACTGTAAGGGCCTGAGAGAGGGCTACAGGGAATTAAAACAGGGACAGGTCAACAACTGGTTCAAGGAGGTTGATCATGAGATGTGGCCTATAAAACTGACAACTTCTCCTGCCTGCCTGCTTAAAATGATGATATGATTTTACTTTCATTGCAGAGGAATAAATAACATTTATTTGGTGGTATTCCATCATCTTTTACATCTCTATTAAAATTTCAAACAATTTTAATGTGGGGATATTTCTTTGAGATGGAAGGAGATAAAAATAGTGGACTTGGATTTGAACTGGACATTATTCTAATGCTGCATTGTCTCATTTTTCTCTGCAATCCTTTCCTGAGACTGAGAACAAATCAAGCAAAATATTGTTGAACTCAAATTAATGAAGACAATATACAGTAGTATCTTGAACATGCCCTAATGGGTGTGCATTAAACATTTGAAAAATAAATGAAGGACCAAATGAATGACTACATTATGGGAAATACTAAAGTCAGGAAGAACTTTAAAAATTGCTATATGTTCTTTTTTTTAACTAACAATTTGGGGGCTGGAGATATAGCAAATAGAGAGCTTGCCTTACACATAGTTGAGCAGGGCTCAATTCTGGTAACCTATATGTTCTGCCAGGAGTGATCCCTAACCACTGTCCAGGTATGATCCAAAACCCAAAAAGTAGGAAAAAAAACTATTTGATGCTTTAAATTGTCTCATCCACTTGCCTGAATTTTTGTGAGAATTGAAGCTGAAACTCTATTCTTACAGGACTAAACATGCTGAAAAAATAATTTGAAAAAATATTTTTTTAAACTTGGATTTGGTAGTTTATATTCAGTATTTGCTCTTCTAACCTTTTTGTATTTATCTCTTTCTTCATTTAACTCCTTGACTTTTTTCTCATAGTCTTTGTATTGCTTCCTTTCTTCTTCAGACCATAAGACCTCAGGTTTCAACATGAAATCAGGTTGAGGAATCACCTGAAAGATGTAAAGGAAAGTACATACATACTCTAGTTGACACAAATGCAGCAGCAAAATTTTCATTAAAAATTCAGAGCTATCATTATGGTTTTAAAAAATTATTTTAAAAGGCAATAGTTTGGGTCAGGGATGTAGCTCAGAGGTTGAGTGTGAGGTCCTAGACTCCATCCATGGCAACACACACACACACACACACACACACACACAAATACACACACTAATTTCTTGTGATTTGCATGAAGGTGGGCAACTGGGGATTTACCCAGACTCTTAGGTGTTAAAATATCTTTCAGGTAGGGTCATACTCAGTCCCAGGAACACCTACACTAGGGCTCAAGAAGGCCACATTACCTGCTGCAGCTGGAGAATCACACTTGCCGCATTGCCTCTGCCTTCGGGACAGAAAAAAGCAACCAGGTGGTGACTTGTTTGGGGCCTTTGTGCTCAGGCAGGTGGAAAGGCAAGCCTGGCTTTCAGATATCTTCGCTGCTTGGTGTGGTACTATACTTCTAAGGGACTGGGAGACTTTGCTGCTATTGAATTTCTAACACTTGGGATCGAACACATGGAGGCAACTCTTTCCATTGCAGTCCTCTTTCTTTCCCGAGGGACCCAGGACTCTCACCATTTTCAGAATGTCCTCCTTCTTCATCTCCAGGACACCTCCCATCATGTCCATGAGCGCTCGGCGTCTGGACTCCACGACCTGGACAAGAGCCATGTCAGAGAGACTGTGGATACTCTCCAGTGGCCCCAGGGACTCTTCCCACCCCTGTGACAATGGACAACTGCTGCCTTTTGGATGGGGAGGCCAAGCAGCCTTGAGGAAGGAGGAGGCTGTGGGGCTCTGAGGTTCTCTGACCGCAGCAACTGCCTTGATTCCTTTCCTTTGCGGACTACACTTATAGGACACTCTCTCCAGAAAAGGAACAGAGATCGCTAAAGACCAGGCTTAGGGACAGCTGGGGCAAAACCACGCACCGAATTCATAAGCAGGTTCTCCGCTTCCTGGACTGTAGACGTATCTGCTTTGGCTCGGTGCCATGGGGATATGTGCTTGTGCGCTGTGATCTGCAAAGAGAAAATATTTTCTGCGGCTACTCTTACAAAATCCACACCTGCTTTCCTTACCCACTCTGGGGGAATATATTAAGGTGATTTGAGGTGGGCTCTCTGTGCCTGACTTCTAACAGGGGCCTAATACTCCTTTTCTGTTCCCTCTAAGAAAGGCCATTTTCTTTCACCCCCTCCCCCCAAGTAATCAAGATGGTTTCAGGCAAGCATGTCTTCCCTCAGTGGGGGTAGAGGCAGCTGGTGGCAGCACTCTGAGGCAAGTTCCTGCACTGAGTCACAACCCCACTAGGTGAATGGCCCTCCACGAGTATTCTCTACCATTCTTTCACTTTTCAGAAATGAAACATGGTTATCTTATTTTCTCTCAACAGTGATTTGTAACCAGCTTCCTCTGAGTCAAACCCCTTTAAAGAAGGGGTCTTTACTCTAGATCCATACTGAGATAAAAAAATCTTAACGAGATAGTAGTGATCTTTATCAGCTTGACTCTCACAGGGAGAACTAACCTCCAGGAGTGCAGGCCTAGGCCCATACTGGGCTAAGGAACAACTCCCCAGGCAAATCAGGAGTCGGAACTAACAGTTCTAGTTCAGATCAGCTGCTGGTTTGAGTGTAGGAGATGCAAAGGAAAAGTTTCCAAAGGAAACAGAAATGTAGAGAACAGGAGGCTAAGAGACAGAGAGACTTTGGGACTTCCGGAAAGGCTCTGATCTTTGGTTCCTGCTTCTTTCTAGGCTTAGCGTCTACATCTTCCCTGGATCTCATGGTGTTGATGAAGCTCAGATAGAGAAGAGAGTACCAAATGAAGGGTGTTGTGAGGGCCCTCCCAGGGTGGGAGAAGCATGCTAAAAGTAGTCGATAGACCAAACATGATTGCCACTCAAAGCCTCTCTTGCAAAACACAGTACCCAAAAGAAGAGAGAGAGAACAAGGGGGAATACCCTGCCACAGAGGCAGGATGGGACGGGGTGGGGGGGGGATGAAGGTTGAGGGGGGGGGATGCTGGGACCCGTGGGGATGGATGACGGGCACTGGTGGAGGGATGGGCACTTGATCATTGTATAACTGAAACCCAAGCACAAAATTTGTAAGCCTATAACTGTACCTCATGGTTTTTCACTAATAAAAAAAGAGAAAAAAATTAAAAAAAAAAAGAAGTCCGCATTACTGCTGAGACTACAGAACTGTTCCTAGAACTTAAAATGGAGAATGCTACCTAATGCTTTTGCTTTCGGTAGACTCAACAAGAAAATGAATGAAGAAAAGCTTAGGAAATGTTATAAGAAGGGAAAGGGTGAGCCAGGTAACCAGTACCTCACTAACATCCACAACAAGTGTTCTCTCTGGCTTCTCAGTGTCATCAAACCTGGGTGTCCAGACTGATTCGTCCAGTTCCAGATCAAGAATGATTTCTTGAATCCGTATATTTTTTTCCTTCACACGTGCAATTTCAAACTCCTTTTGTTTATACGCAGCATCAAACTCTTTGTTGAAAGCAGTTTTTACCTGGTAAATAATATCCTGAAACAAGAAGATGTTACTGAAAACACACCATACAATTTTTTTTATTGAATCACAGTAAGATACAGTTACAAAGCTGTCCATGGTTGGATTTTATTTTATTATTATTTTTTAAATTTTTATTAGTGAAACACCATGAGGTACAGTTGTAGACTTACAAATTTTTGTGCTTGCGTTTCAGTTATACAATGATCAAGTACCCATCCCTCCACCAGCGCCCATCCTCCACCACCACGGGTCCCAGCATCCCTCCCACTCCCCCATCCCCCCCATCCCTCCCTGCCTTGTGGCAGGGCACTTCCTTTTGTTCTCTCTCTCCTTTTGGGTGTTGTGGTTTGCAAAAGAGGCATTGGGTGGCAATCATGTTTGGTCTATAGTCTACTTTCAGCATGCTTCTCCCATCCTGGGAGGATCTCCCAACACCCTTTATTTGGTGCTCCCTTCTCTATCTGAGCTCCCTTTTCCCCTAGCATGTGTGCCTGGCCTCCAAGTCATGGAGTGAACCTCCTGGTACTTATCTCGGCTATTCTTGGGTGTTAGTCTCCTATTTTGTTACTTTATGTTCCCCAGATGAATGCAATCTGTCTATCCCTCTCTTTCTGACTCATTTCGCTTAACATGATACTTTCCATGTAGTACCACTTGTATGTAAATTTCATGACTTCATCTTTTCTAACAGCTACATAGTACTCCATTGTGTGAATGTACATGTTTGGATTTTAGTCATACAGTCTTCCAACACCCATCCCTCCACCTCTACCAGGGTACATTTCTCACCACCAATGTTCCTAGTTTCCCTCCCACCACCCTCCCACCATCCTGTCTCTATGGCAGGCACTTCTCTCTCTCTTTCTCTCTCTCACTTTCTCTCTCTCTCTTTTGGGCATTATGGTTTGCAATACAGGCACTGAAAGGTTATTATATTTTTCCTTTACTTATTTTCAGCACACAGTTCTTATCCAGAGTGGTCATTTCCAACTCTTTGTCATAATAGTCCCGTCTCTATCCCAACTGCCTTCTCCTCCAGCACTTAAGGCAGGCTTCTAACTGTGGAGCAATCCTCCTGGCTCTAGGTTTCTATTATCCTTATGTATTAGTTTTATGTTATTTTTTTTATATCCCATTAATGAGTGCAGTCATTCTATGTCTATTCCTCTCCTGACTAAATACCATGTAGTCTTACTGGCAACATGACCCCAGTTTCACTGCCCTACAAAAATAATTTTTTTTTGTAGGAGTACTGCTATTTATTCAGCCACTGATTAGCTGATTGAATCGGGCATGAACTCCACCTTAATTTATTTATTTATTTTCTTTTTATATTTATTTATTGAATCACTGTGAGAAAAGTTACTAAGCTTTCAGGTTTAAGTCTCGGTCATACAATGATCAAACACTTTTCCCTTCACCAGTACTCATTTTTCACCACCAAGAACCCCAGTATACCCCCCCTCCACCCCTCCAAATGCCTGTGAGGCAGATGATTTCTACTTAACTCTTCTCTACATTGATTACATTTATTATTTCGACAAATGATGCACCATTATTGTTTAGAATTTCCCCCCAAACAATCAGAATTGCTGAAAAGGCATTGTGAAATATTTTGTTTTCTATAGTTGGTTATGAGAATCATATAATGTCATGCGGCCACGATTTTGAATTTCTGCGAAGAGCCAGATAATTACGAGATTGGATTCTGTGTGTCTGGTGTTATGGCCGTGCTGGAGAGCCGCTCATGGGGGGTAACTCATGACCTCCGTAGGGCATGAAGGACGTGCTGGTATAGCCCCCCTTCCCATGAGACTGCAGTTACCCAGTCACCATAGGCTCGTACCTGGCTTTCCTATAAGCTCTGAGGTGGTGGCCACCTTGCTGCCAGGGGGGAAAAAGGCGGAAGGGAGCAACACCCTTTCTCTCCTGGGGAGGCATGGCGCCATAGTTTAACGCATAGTCCATTCACTTTTCTTCTGTAAGCTGCTGGGCTCTGGACTAAGTCCTTTTGCCTCTGGAGCCATGGCCATGCCAGAGAGCCACTTGTGGGGGGCAACTCATGACCTCGGTAGGGTGTGAAGGATGAGTTGGTACTGTCCCCCTTCCCATGAGACTGCAGTTGCCCCTTCACCACCGACTCATACCTGGCTTTCCAATAAGCTCTGAGGTGGCGGCCACCTTGTTGCCAGGGGGGGGGAAAGGCAGAAGGGAGCAACACCCTTTCCCTCCTGGGGAGGCATGGCACTGTAGTTAACGCATGGTCCATTCACTTTTCTGGCGCAAGCTGCTGTGTTCTGGATTAAGTCCTTTTGCCTCTGGAGCTATGGCTGTGCCAGAAGCCGCAAATGACCAATAATTTAATCTTTCTAAAACATGCCTTATGTAGGTCACTTCTGATTTCAGTAATCTAAAATAGCTTCCAAACATGGCTAGTCTCAGGGTCGAAGCATAACAATGATCTCACCAAATGTAAATTGAAACTCCAAGTGCAGGTATATTGATAAGTGCTCTAAGAAGCTGATGATGGGTTACGTGAATGCTCCTCAGCTATTATTTCTTCTTTCATGTGTTCATTTAAAGCATCTCATAAATTATTTGAAAATAAATAAATGGGATTTAATTTTGGAAATTTTCTTTTGTTTTGTTTTGAGCTTAAGGGGTGAGGAACATGATAAAGAAAGGATGGCCACTGGAGATTATTTTGAGTCTCCAGAAAAATACAATGAACCACACTTCCTCTGTAAGGACAGGTCATTCTCAGAAAGGAAGAGGATTCAAGCTGCCCAAATTGATGAGGAACTATGGCAGTGGCCTCATGTTGGCCACCTTCACCTCTACTAGTGAGTAGAATAACAAGTTAAAGTACTTTTTATTTTTCCACCAGAGTTCAATCTATTTGTCCAACTGAACAGAGGACTCTTAAAACTGGGTAGAAAATGATTATGACAGATAACACTAGAATTTGGGGGAGGAGGCTAATATATTCTCTTTGGGAAACTGTCTTAAAAAAGCAACAGGAAGGAGAGACTCTGAGGTCAGGGTCAGCAGAATCTGAGCAACTGAGGATGATTAAACTGTGCTGAGTATAAATACACAGGAATGTCAGGGGTTGAATGAGGTTAAGTGGAAATACTAGGAAGAGAGCAAAGGAACATGGTAGAAGGCTAGACCTGCAACCGCAGACCCAGCTGAAGGGTTTGCAGGGACAAGAATGGTCCGTGTTGGGGGCCAGAGCGATAGTACGGCAGGTAGAGCATTTGCCCTGCATGTGGCTGATCTGGTTTAATTCCTGGAACCATATTGATCCCTTTGAGCCCACCAGGAGTGATCCCTAAGTGCAGAGCTAGAAGTAAGGCCTGAGTATTACATGGTGTGCCCCCCACAAGCCAAAAGAAGTGGCCAAAATAAAATTTCCAACCATCTGTAATGGTGCAACCTCAGTCAATCTTCTGAAAGCTTCAGTGGACAAATACAGAGGCTTTTATGAGACTGACTCATTTGGTAGAAGGTAAGGATTAGACACTTAGTTCCTGATGGATGCCACATTTATCCCTGGGCTGCAGAATACAGGCAGGAAGCTGTATTTCCTCCCCAAGAGGAGATAACATCTTGTCTGAGATGCTGAAAAGATGGTGTTCAAGGATTTCTTTAATCTTTGAGCTTACTTAAGATCTAAACAGTAGAAGTGTAAGGTGTCAGTTAATTTAGGGTTTTAGAACATTAGTATCTTAAAATTCAGTTAAAATAAATGAGAGAAACTCTTGTGTATAAGCTGTTTCAAGAAAAATGAACACTATTTCTATATTTTAAAGACAAGAAATAATTTAATTGGCATTAGATTTCAATTTGAGCCTTCACAAGACATTTCACAGGGGGAGTTTTAGAGATATTTTTAGCATAAACTTAAAAAATCCGCTTACTTTCAGTAAGATTATTTGATTGATTTTTTCCTCTTTGGCATGAAGTTCCATTTGGCTTGACAACAAAGAGATGTCTATCCCAAAATCAGTACACAGACTGCCAAGTAGATAATTGGGCAAGTTAATATCTCTTATTTTAACTTTTTCTTCTTCCTCTTCTTCATCCTCCTCATGAAACTTTTTTACCATGGCAACTGTACTCTGGATTTCTATAGTTTCCTCCCGGACCTAAATTATAGAAAAAGATGACATGGAAGTTTTGCAGTCATCTAAGTTATTTAAAGAGACAATTTTGTGACAAGTTAATTTATCTCAACAATCATTTTAGGACACTAACTTGTCTTGTCAGCGAGTGAATTAAAAGTGGTATATCCTCTAAAGTAACAAAGTATGAGATTAATACCCAAGAATAGCTGAGATCAGCACCAGGAGGATTACTCCATAACTTAGAGGCCAGCCGGGTATCCTAGAGGAAAGGGCTGTTCAGATAGAGAAGGGAGCACCAAATAAAGGATGTTTGGAGGATCCTCCCAGGAGGGGAGATGCATGTCGAAAGTAGACTATGGACTGAACATGTTTGCCACTCAATGCCTCTTTTGCAGACCACAACACCCAAAAGGAGAGAGAGAACACAGGGGATTGCCCTGCCACAGAGACAGGGGGGATGGGGGGTGGGGGTGGGAGGGATATTATCCATGGTGGTGGAAAATGGGCACTGGTGGAGGGATGGGTATCTGATCATTGTATAATTGAAACCAAAGCACAAAAACTTGTAAATCTACAACTTTAAAAAAAATAAAATAAAATAAAGGGAAAAAAAAAGTGGTATATCCTGAAATGGATATAGAAGCGATGAAAATATTAGAAGCTGATGAACTCTGGCTACATCAAAAGGATCAAAGTTCTTATATATATATATATACATATATAATATTTATATTGTTGTCAGTTTAACAGTTGCATTAAAATATTTTGAGTCTTTTTTGGTACTTAAGCATTAAAAGCATATCTTCTCTTTATAATTCAGAAAGGAGTTTATTTGTATGGGATTGGGGAAATGCAGCTTAAGGTGAATGAAGTACACTTTCATTTTATGTTTCAGAAAAACATGGGAATAAAGTTCTGGACAAAATAAATTAGCATCAAAGAGTCAGTGTTTTTTAGTGGTACACTAGAAATTAATGCTTCAAAAAAAAAAAACTCTGGGGCTTTGTTCACGTCCACGTTCTCTCTGGAACAACTCTCTCTCTCCCTCTCCCTCTCTCTTTCCCCCTCTCCACCTCCCCCTCTCCTTCAATTTTACTAAACTGTCTACTTCATCCTTGGTAAATTATCCTAAAATATTAGCCCTTTATTTATAAGATAAAAAGAACATTATAAATGGGGGAAAAAAGGACAAGAACAACCCCCAAATCTAGTTTTTTTTAAAAAGTATATCCTCATATCATATGGCTGCTAGCATTGTACAGAGGATAGGTTTCTTGATTTAGTGTGTGGAAATGAGCTTCTATATCAATTAGAGTCTGTTCTACAAATTAACAAGGAATAAAAATACAACAAACAATATCTAAACATTTAAATTGTATTCCCACCTCAAATATCTATGAAGGCCCTGAAATATACACATCATTTATATAAATACACACACAAATGTACTTTAAAATATTTTGGTTATAAAAGGGAATAATGCCCTGCCAGAAAGGCAGGGTGGGATGGGGGGGATGGGGGGTGGGAGGAATAGTGGGATCAGTGGTGGTGGAGAATGGGCCCTGGTGGAGGAATGGGTACTCGATCATTGTATAACTGAAACCCAAGCACAAAAATTTGTAAGTCTACAACTGTACCTCATGGTATTTCACTAATAAAAATTAAAAAAATAAAATCTCCAGAAAAAAAATATATATGTTATGTTTTGGGACACAGCTGGGTCTGTGCTCAGTAGTGACCTCTGGCATTGCTTGAGGGACCATATGTGGTAGTAGGGATTTGATTGCATGCAAAGCAAGGACCCTACAACCTGTTCTCATTTCAAGCCCAATGTATTTTAAATTATACCTTAAGACATTCGTTTTCAACCTTCTTTTGATTTATAACTCTGTTTAATTCTGCCAGTTCTTCCTGTGTGCGTGCTTTCATTGGAAAATTCTCAACCACACAGGGGATATGAAAGCACTAGAAAAAAAAAGATGAAGTAAATTCATTTTCAGCATAATCTTGTGTACCTGGGGAGGAGCGGGAAGTAATTATCCTGCTAAAAATTCATAGGTTCCCTGAGTGAGATCTACAATGAAGTTTTCTTTAGAATAATGTATACCATTAATATTAGTGTAAACTATATGAAAATACTGTGCTTTTGTGAAGGATTGTTCCCTTAGTTGTCTCGAGTGATTTTGCTTTCTGCCACACAACTTTACCCACCCAGGCACACTGGCAAGGTCTGGAGATAGTCTTATTTAGGAACAAGGGAGAAGGGTGGGGAAAGGAGGGAGGGGAAGAGGGAGGAAGGGAAAAGGAGGGAGGGAGGGCTGGGGAGAGAGAGAGAGAGAGAGAGAGAGAGAGAGAGAGAGAGAGAGAGAGAGAGAGAGAGAGAGAGAGAGAGAATAAAAATGTCTACCACAGAGGCAGGGTGGGGGGCGCTAGTGGTGAGTGGGACAGGGAGTGGGGGAAGGAAACTGGGGACATTGGTGGTGGGAAGTGTACACTGGTGAATGGAGGAGTGTTGGAGTATTATATGATCGAAACCCAATTATGAACAACTTTGTAACTGTGTATCTCACTTGTGATTCAATTGAAAAAGAAAGTGGCCTTCAGTGTGGGGAGGAGCAAGGTAGACTTTGAGTGCTTTTCTATGTAGGGATTTTTTTTGAGGGGGGCTTCCCAGGCAATGATAAGGAGTGCTAGGAAACAGTTTGGCTGGATGACTCAGTGCAATTGGACCCAGCACGACTGGAGTAGGGGGGAGTCCTGTGGATAAATCCAATGAAGTCCAGGGGGTCTTGTGGTACTGGGAATCAAACTTGGGGCCTGTGCCCCTGCTCCCCACCCCTAAGCTATCCTGTACTAACAGCTGTATGGATTGTCTTTTTAAAACATTGAGTTTTATTTTCTGCTTTGAGACTTGAATAGACTATTTGGGGGCCACGGCACTGTTCCGGAGCTGCTACCTTGAGAGAGCGGCCTTTCACAGCCATGGAATTCCAGCACTCCTCTTTGATAAGTTCAGCCAAATATTTCTTGGTGAGGTTATTCATTTCTACATTGTTTCGTATCTTGAAGAAAACAGGTGAAAGAAAAAGGAGAATGAAAATGCAGCCACCTTAAAAAGAAAAATTCAACAATCGATTCATTAAGTAGGGTGATGGCACACTTAGTGATGGTGTTTTACCTTCCTCCTCTCCCTGTGTCCCACATGGAGTTCAGCCATTCTGAGCAGCCTCATAGCCCGGATTTTGAGAGCATTTTCTTCTGTCTGATCTGAAGACTGAGCCCTTGCATGCCCATGGTCACCTCTAAGGGCTGGAGATGCCCGTGCAGGGCCAGTTGCTCTGAGGACAGTTGCCCAGCTATGGTGGGCAGGTCACTAACATATCACAGAGTTCACTAGGCTAAACCATCCTATTTTTGTAAGTGAAATTTCAAGTTTGTATCTATTAAGTTGCTGGTTATTTAAATGTTGGCTTAATTCCCATCAATGCACATTTAAAGTGCCAACTCATGAACTCTGTTTTGGAGCTTTTTTTTATAGTTCACGTTTTCTATCCCAGCCTTCCATACCCCCAATTTCTCTCCTGATCCTCAGTTATGTTGGCAAGTTCAAAATTTGTTTCACTGGACATTGTATTTTCCCTTTTCTTTGTTTCTCTACAAACTGCAGATGAGTAAGATCACCAGCATTACCATTAATCTTTCTTCCTCTAACTTATTTCATTTTATATGATGCTTTCCAGTTCCATCCAAATTGCAGCAAACTGCAAGATTTTTCTTTTCTTGCAGTGGCACATGTATTTATACCAAAACTTCTTCCTCCACTCATCTCTCATTGAACATTTGCATTCCCTCCATCACTTGATCACTTGACATCCCGTTACTCATCGATCCACTTGAGCGGGCACCAGTAACGTCTCCATTCATCCCTGTCACGTGCTAATGTAACCCAATGGTGTCTGCCCATTCTAGGAACATGAACAGCCTCAAACCGCTTGACAAAGAAGTCTGACCATCTCATAAGTGGGTGGCCATGTGATCTTTTGACGTCCTGTGGAATCCAGTCAGTAATGGCTCTAGTCCAGCAGTAGTCTCCAAATCTCATTACGTGTCCAGCCAATCTGATTTTCAACGTCTTGGCAAACGAGACAGCATCCATTATTCTTGACCATCGACGGAGGTCCGAACTCCGGATTCTTTCTCTCACTTGAGTGAAGCGTGATACTCCAAGGATAGCTCTTTCTATTCCTCTTTGAGAGACCTGAATAGCGTTCTCATCCTGTTTTTGTAGGGCCCAGGTCTCTGAGGTGTATGTTAATGCAGGAAGAATAGTGGAATCGAAGAGATGTGCCCAGAGCTGGAGGTTCTTCGTCCTCTTAGCTATTTCTTAGACGTTCTTGAAGGCGTTCCAAGCTGGTCTCTTCCTCCTGTGCAACTCAGGTGCCAGGTCATTCATTATGCTGACTTCTCGACCTAGGTATACATAACTGTTGCATTCAGAGATGTTCGTCCCATTGAGAGTGAATGGAATGTCAGGAACAAGACTGTTTCTCACAAACATTGTCTTTGTGAGATTCAGCTGTAGTCTGACCTTTCCACACTCATGGTCGAAGTCGGCCAGCATTTATGCCACTTGGTTGATGTTTGATGTCATAAGAACAATGTCATCAGCTAAGTGGATGTGGTTTAGTTGCCGACTGTCTACTTCACTCCCATTCCTTCCCATTCCAGTCGTCACATGACATTCTCAAGGGTGGCACTGAAGAGTTTCGATGAAACAGTATCACCCTGCCGAACCCCTCTCTTGATGTCAATGATCACCTCCCTGTAGAATGGTGAGATCCTGGTAGTGAATCCGCAATATAGCTCACGGAGGATCCTGATGTACTGACTTTGAACACCCTGTTTGGCTAGGGCCTCGATGACTGCTTCCATCTCAACAGAATCAAAGGCCTTCTTTAAATCAATGAACGTTAGACAGAGCGGCATCTTGAACTCCCGAGAAACCTCAATCAGCTTGGTTATCATGTGGATATGGTAGATTATGCTGAATCCTTTTCAAAAACCAGCTTGCTCACATGGTTGTCCTTCATCTAGTGTTCTGCCAATCTTATTCAGGACAACTCGAGTGAACAGCTTGTAGATGACAGAAATAGGAAGATTGGGTGATAGTTGCCAGTGTTGTGAATGTCTCCCTTCTTGTATAGTAGTACAGTCCTGCTGGATTTCCACTGGGACAGAACCTTGCATTCAGACAGGTAGCATGTGAAGAGCCTAGCCAGTGTATTGATGAGTACTGACAGAAGGTTCTTCAGGTATTCGGGTCTGACCTTGTCTGGGCTGGGTGCTGTTCACTTCTTTACTGATGAAATGGCGTGTCGGATTTCGGAAGGGAGAACTTTGGGAATGACATATCCATCCTGCAGAATTTGGTATGTGGGCAGGTAGATGTGGCTATCAAAGAGATCTGAGTAGAAGTCATGGATAATCTTCTCCATTGCCCTTCTGGAAGATGTCATAGATCCATCAGGATGTCAGAGGGCAGTCATCTTGGTCTTATAGCTGGCGAAGGACAGGCAGGTGTTGTGAATGCGTTTCCCAGCTTCTGCCGCATCTGCCAGACTGCTGCTCTTCTCTCTTTTAACTCTTTCTTTATTGCTTCTCTGCACTGCTTTGCAAGCTGGGACATTCGCTTGCGGTTGCCTGAGGCTTGTGCCAAGCCATGTTGGCAAATGAGCTCGAGAGTTTTCGAAGACAGGCGTCTTTTTGTGGCTATCTCTCTCTCTCGGCATTCTTCGCACAATCATGGAGGTGCTAAACCAGTCCACCTATTCCTCGTTGATGTTGTCAACAACAGTTATCTTCCCATGTTGCCACAATAGTGCCAAAGAGATCCCAGTTGGTGGTCATTCTGGGAGTTCTCTTCTTAAACTTAAACTTTGCAGCCCTTTCTCCCTACTCTGTGAAGTAGAATTTTGCACGAAGGAGACGGTGGTCCGATCCCATTTGGAATTTTGGTACAATAGCGATATCGGTCAGGCAAGACTGTCGATTGAATATGATGTGGTCAATTTCATTGTGGAACCATCCACCAGGAGACTCCCATGTCCAACGTTTAGATTCAGTCTTCTGGAATTATAAGTTACCATGGATGGTCTTGGTTGACATGATGAACTCAGACAGTCTCTTACCCTGTTCGTTCCATTCTAGGCCATGGGTCCCAATGTGGAGTTCTTCAGCTGATCTTCTTGGTCCTATCTTGGCATTAAAATCACCCACAATGATCTTGTAGAAGGTGTGGTCTTCTTTATAGAACTTCTCCAGCTCCATGTAGAACTTCTTAATTTCTCCATCATCATAATTGGGCTGGAGCGATAGCACAGCGGTAGGGCGTTCGCCTTACAAGCGGCCAAGACGGCCGACCCGAGTTCGATTCCTCCGCCCCTCTCGGAGAGCCCGGCAAGCTACCGAGAGTATTCGATATGCCAGACACAGTAACAACAAAGTCTCCAATGGAGACGTTACTGGGCCCGCTCGAGCAAATCGGCGATCAACGGGAGGGCCTTTACCTTTACCATAATTGGATGTTGGTGCATAGACAACAAAGATAGAAACTGCCGGCAGTGAGCCACATCTATTCAAGTGTAATAATCCGATTTGGGTTGTTAGGCATTCAAATGAATCAATGTTTATGGCTAAGTTCGTGTTGACAAGGACACCGACACCACCGATGCCTCTTTTGTTGCATGTTCCGAGGAACAGTTGTTCCCCAGTGTCGAAAATGGCGTGATGTGATTGGTGTCTTCTCATCTCAGTCAGACCAATGTCGTACTTGATCTTTTGCGCTTGTACCATCAGGTCCTCAATGGATGCATCCGATGCCAGTATACGTACATTGGAAGTACAGACAGTCATTTTTGTCCTTCTTCATTTTGGCAACCTAGGTCGGCCCTGAGATTTTATCAGCCTCTCCTTCCTCACCCTTCTTAACGCTGCCATATTGGTGACTCTTTCAGTGTCGGGGGAGTGAGACCCATTGTATTTACTGGCTTTGGCATATCGAATACACCACGGATAGCTTGCCAGGCTCTGCCATGTGGGCAGAACACTCTCAGTAGCTTGCCAGGCTCTCCAAAGAGTGATAGAGTCTTTTAGGGCGACCTCTAATTGTCCTTGCAGGTGTTCTTATGTTCCAACCATATTTCAAAGCAACTGAATATGCTGCGGTAATCTTGTATTAAGTATTTTATGATGTGTTGCAGCTGTGCGGTCTGGAAAGCATCCTGGAGTGTGTGGGCGGCTGAGTAGTGGAGGTAGTGGAGGTAATGGAGGTCTGCTGGGCTGCTGGGAGCAGGCAGAGGATCTCTGCTCCTGGGTCTAGTGAGCCTGGAGTCCGAGGTCACAGAGTTCCGCTTCCCTGGCTCTCTGGGGCTTCACCCCTGCGTGAGTCCTGGCCTAAGTGTCCGGAAAGCATCCTGGAGGGCGTCCGTGGCTGGGTAGTGGAGGTTGTGGAGGTAATGGAGGTCTACTGGGCTGCTGGGAGCAGGCATTCCCTCCATATCCTGATTATTGTACTGAGCACTGAAATGAACACAGGTATGCATACATCATTTCAAATTGATGCATTTGTGTTCTTGAGATATATGGCAAGTAGTGGAATCACTGGGTGATATGAAAGTTTTATTAAAAAATTTTTTTTTGACGAATCTCTATACTGTTTACTGCAGAAACTGAATCAGGTAACATTCTTACCAACTATCTAAGATTTCTTTTCACCACATTTTCATCAGCACTGATTACTTCTGGACTAAAAAAAAAAAATCAGGCCATTCTCTGATCCCAGAGACTCAGGAACAAATCTTGGAACCCAGCAGGTTTTTGGCAGAAATTCCTCCAGATTTAATTGTTAAAATTTCGGAATTCCAAAATCGCCCGGCCACTACTGCGGCCGCACGACATCATATGTTATTCATAATCAGCAATATAAAACAAATTGTCTACATTTGCTTTTTAGGCAGATCTGAGCGTTGGGGTAAAATCCCAAATAACAATGGTGGGTATGATGTCAAAATATTGAAAGTAGAGAGAGAGTAATGTGGAAGTCATCTGCCCCACAGATAGGGGGAGGGTTTGAGATGGGGGTATACTGGGGTCTTTGGTGGTGGAAAATGGGCACCCTTTGGACAGGTGTTTCATCATTGTATGACCGAGACTTAAACCCAGAAACTTTGTAACTGCTCTCACAGTGATTCAATAAATAAATTTATAAAAAGGAAAAAAAAGTAAGGTGGAGTTCATGCCCAATTCAATCAGCCTAATCAATGGCTGAATAAATATCAATATTCCTACATTAAAATAAAAAAAGAAAAAATGGCCATTCTCACTTGGTGAGAGCAGACAAACACAAAACAAACACTGTCCTCCCGTTGTTCGTTGATTTGCTCGAGCGGGCCCAGTAACGTCTCCATTTTGAGACTTGTTGTTACTGTGTTTGGCATATTGAATACGTCACAGGTAGCTTGCCAGGCTTGGGCACGCGGGCGAGATACTCTCGGTAGCTTGCCGGGCTCTCCAAGACGGGCGGAGGAATCAAACCCGGTTCGGCCGGGCTGGGTGCACGCAAGGTAAATGCCCTACCACTGTGCTATCGCTCCAGCCCAGGTGTGAGCAGACATCTTATTCATTTGATTTTCATTTTCCCAATGATAACTGATTTTGGACATTTTACATATGCTTGATAGCCATCAGTGTGATGTCTTTGAGGAAGTATCTATTTAGTGTTCCCCATTTATATTATTTTAAAATTTTGTTTTGTAGTTTCATTCAGCTATGCTCAGGGCTTACTCCTGGCTCTGTATTCAGGGATCACTTCCAGTGGGGCTTGACAAAGTGTGGTGCCAAGGATTGAACACCTATGGGCCGCATGCAAAGCAAAGATTCAACCCATGTACTAAATCTCCATTTTCTCTTCTAACAATATTTGAAGGGGTTACCTTTCTCCTGTTATTGAGTTTTATGAGTGCCTTAGCCCATTGTATATTAACCCCTTTGTCAGTTATATGGTGTATGCAATTTTTTTCTCTCATTGACTCCGTGTTTAGCTGCCATTTCTTTTACAGTACAGAAACATTTAGTTTGATGTAGTCCCATTTATTTATTTTTGTTTCCATCATGCACTTTGGTGTTTCTTTCATGGTCTGACTTCTCTACCTGGATAGATTCATGAGGGTGGGAGCTATTTTCAGAACCTATATCAGTGTCTGGCACATAAAAGAGGTTTAGAAATAATGCAGAACGAATAAGTAATAAATGAACAGTTGTCCAGCTGATTCTATCACCCATTTATTTCCTTTTATTCTCAGCCTTACATCATTCACCAGTTTAACAAATCTACCCTGTTTTCATATCTTTATTCCAGCATAAATAAAAATATTCATAGGGCAGGGTCTTAGGGAATGGTGTGAAATTTTTCTCATAGATACATCAACAATATAATCAACATCCTTTTGTTTTAGTTTGTGGGTAGGGGATGTTTGGCCACGTGATTGTGCTTGAACTTACTCCTGGCTTTGTGGACAGAGACTGCTCCTGACAGTGCTCAGAGAACCATATGTGGTGATGGGTATCAAACTGGGGTCAGTCATGTACAAAGTAAACACCTTTGGTGCTCCAGCCCCAATCCATCTCCTTTTAGTATAAATGTTTAATTATTTACAATACACCTAAGTGCTCTATTTAATTCTATTGTTTTGCAAACTACTACAAATAGCCAAAGCAATCCTTGGGAAAAAGAAGATGGGAGGCATCAGCCTTCCCAACTTCAAACTGTATTACAAAGTGGTAATAATCAAAACAGCATGATATTGGAATAAAGTTAGACTTGCAGGCCACTGAAATAGAGTTAACCATCGTGACAAACTCTCAAACACATGATCATTTAATCTTTGATGAAGGAGTAAGAAGTATTAAGTTGCATAAGAAAAGAATCAACAAATGGAGCTGGGAAAACTGGGCAGCTATATGTGAAAGAATGAATTCAGATCTCTTTATAGTGCCATGCATAAAAGTCAGCTCAAAATGGATTAAAGATCTCAACATCAGACCTGAATCCATAAGGCTCATGGAAGGAAATGTAGGTAGAACCTTCCATGACACTGAAGCTAAAGATATCTTCAAAGATGATTGCAGAACAAGTTAGTTCTGTTCCCATTGCATGAGCCAAGTATCTGGAGATGTGAATTATCTGGAAAAGTTCCCTTTCCTGATTTCCTTCTACTTCCTTCATGAGACCTCTATGCCTAAGTTTACATTGGATGTCCATACCTTTGACACTTCTTCCTCACTTTGATGGTGAAGATTCTCTAGTTCCTCAAGATCCAAGGCAAACTCCTGTTGCTCTAATTTTGAAATACTTTCTAGTGTATCATTCTCTTCCATCATTTCCTGAATCTGATTTTTAAGAGGGAAGAAGGGAGAGAAAAGTACAAAATAAAACAAGAAAGAGATAATTGTCCAAGTGTCTTTCAACACTTGTCAAAAATGTATTTTTAAAAAATTGGATGTAAGAGATTCATAATTAAATATCAAAAAAGATCAACTAGTTGCAAAAAATTATTGGATACCTGGTCCTGGCTGAGACCCAGGTTAATATTCTGGATTTTCTGGAACACAGTTGTGAACTAATAGCTCAGTAGGAGCACACATATTGGATGTTAATATAATGTAGAAGCCAATTACTCTGCACTAACAAAAACATTAACACAGAAGGCTTAACTAGCAACAACAGCTTAGTAAACCCTCAGATAAGGACTTAATGTCCCCATGGTGAGATACAAAAATTTTCATTAATTTTATTTTACTGAAATAATTTTTGATCATTCCATTAGACATTTAGTGGTAACAAGCAATACAAAATAAATTATTGTGGGTCTGCTATGGGGGCTATGGGAGGGTAGTTGGGAAAATAGAGACAATGGTGGAGGGAAGGTGACAGTGGTGGTGGGATTGGTGCTGGAACATTGAATGCCTAAATCAACGGTATATGAACAACTTTGTAAACCATGGTGTTTAAATCAAGTGGGGAATTTTATTTGATTTTTAATTAAAATTTTTAAAAATTCATCTAGGGAATGATTGAGTGACAGGCTTACTGTGGTTATTTTTAATTCTGAAAAACACATTTCTCTAGAGACCAGCAAAAATATATTAGTCACTTCATTAAATAAAGACTGAACTATCTGCACTGTCCTCCTGTTGTTCATCCATTTGCTCCAGCGGGCCCAGTAACATCTCCATTGTGAGACTTGTTGTTACTGTGTTTGGCATATCAAATACGCCACAGGTAGCTTGCCAGGCTTTGCCGTGGTGGGGAGATACTCTCCATAGCTTGCGGGGCTCTCTGAGAGGGGCAGAGGAACTGAACCTGGCTCGGCTGCCCCCCCCCACACGTGCAAGGCACAAGAAATTGATATTTATGCGTGCTGAAGATATTGTGAGTACATGAGGAAATATATGTCTGAATTTTTGTCTTTCGGTGATATACATTTGAAGGTAAAATAATATGATATCAAGACTGATTTCAATCTGGACAGGGGAACAAAGAATATGGATAAAATAATACTGGCCAGTGGATTTATTACATTATACTCTGCACCAACAGACTGAGTCTTAGCCTCTCCACAGTACTGCGAAGCATCTTCTATCATAGAAAGGCTTCATAGCAGAACAAGAGCCGGTACTAATTTCAAGAAAAATCCAGCAGGGAGAAGGAAAACCAGAACCATGGCCATGGCAGCCCACATGGCTGAAATGGGAGTGCCCGCAGGACAAGGATTGATGGGTGCTTGGCAGAGGAGAGATCAGAGGGCAGAAACCCTCCCCCGTGTCCCCGCAGCGTCCGATCAAGCTGTGCCGCTAGTCTACTGAGTCACACTGTATCAAGACCCAGGTCCAGACAGGGGAGCGGACCCAAGGGGAAACTGTCAGCAGTTCTCTGGTCCATCATGCGGATTCTAGTGAAGAAATCCGTGCAGGCCGAGATGCTGCTTGAGGGATGTGACCACTAACTCTGTGGCCCCAGACTACTGAATTTGTCGAGTGACAATGTATGCCTTCAGTCAAGAAAGTGCATTAACACCCAAAAGGAGAGAGAGAACAAAAGGAAATGTCCTGCCACAGAGGCAGGGTGGGATGTGGGGGATGAGTGTGGGAGGGATACTGGGATCCATGGTGGTGGAAAATGGGCACTGGTGGAGGGATGGGTATTTGATCATTGTATAATTGAAACCCAAGCACAAAAATTTGTAAATCTACAACTGTACCTCATGGTGTTTCACTAATAAAAAAAAATAAAAGGGGAAAAAAAGAAAAAGAAACTACAACATCAAAAAAAGAAAAAAAAGAAAATGCATTAAATTAAAAAGAGACAGAATTTGGGGAAAGACAGAAGGCACTGTTGGTGTATAATGCGGTAGTGGAGACCCAGAAAACCGAGCCTACAGGCGGAAGTAAAAATGGTTATAGTTAGGTCCTCCTGGATGCACGAAACAGCATAACGTTCCAAAAGTTATTGGGAGGCCTGGCTCTGTAGCTCAGTCCTTGAGTCACCTGCCTTGTGTGCAGGAGGAGGACAGGTGCTTGTTCCCAACACCAAAACCCTGGACACAGTGCCTGGAGCCCAGAGCAGCAAGGGCATGGCCAGGGAACCCTGGAACTAGGTGAGGGACCTTGTACACTGCAGCACAACCACCAGCAAAGAGAGGGACCAGGAGAGAAATGTGTTTGGCTTGAGGGTCAATTTAGAAAATCATGAGCACTTACGGTTTTAGTCAAAGCTTTGATTCCTTTTTTAATCTCTTTTCTTGTACTAGAAAAGAGTCTCACCTCCTTCTGGATGGCCTGAAATGGAACAAATGTATCACTTAAATAAGCCAGCAAGAAAGTAAGAGGGAATAGATGGAATGCTTGCTCTGCCAAGCAGTATCTCATCCTGCTTTCCAACTTTCTAATGAGTTTTCATAGGAAACTAATCTGGCACAAAACGAATTATTTCAAGCTTCTCCCACGTTTTACACATACCTTCTGAGTTTTTTTTTCTAACCAGGGAATTTCCTCCATGTTTTCAAACTGGCGTGGTTCCTCCTCTTGCGATGAGTCCGTGCTTGGTGGGGTTGGAGATTCCTTAGAAGACAGATATACAGTTCACATCCATCAAGTTCTCTGTCCTGCTCCGCCCCTGCTTCATATGATAACTTTGAATCCCTTTGCACTTACTGCATTTCTTTTTATAATGCCACACAGCAGCCTGCCCCAAGCTGTAATGTTTTTGTTGAATTAATTCCTGCTGGTCTATCTTTGTATCAGTCACACTTTTCACTGTGAAAGCAGAAGTGATGGGCGGGACAGGTCCTACCTCCACAGGATCATGTTCTGTCTTCCCCTCACTGTACATACATGCACCATCAGCATAGTCCCAACGTTTGTGTTTAGGATCAAAATCTTTTGGTCCTTCATACTGTACATCTGCATCATCTCCTTTTCACTTCTACTCTTTCCCAACACTATAAATCCTTCCTAAATACACCCAAATATCTTCTATTCTAGGAAATCTACTCTCTAATAACCACCACAATCCCCTTAACTACCACCATCTTCTATGCTCCCTCACTGTTAGTAAAATGTCCCCCAGGAATTTTTAGCTGTCATGCTTCCCTGTAAACATACTGGCCATGCCTTCATAACCTCCTTTGTCACCCTGACTCTTCTCTACTGAATGCTCTATTCTGCTCTCTGCTGTTTCTGGACATCTGCTTTCCAACGATGACCCTCCCATAGTTTTACAGCTTTAAATTCCATCCAAAGATTTGACTCTCAAATCGATTTCTCCTGTATTGAACTCTGCCCAGAATTCAAGGCCCACCTACCAAATGGCCTGCTTGGAATCTCTGCCTGGATGTCTGACTGGTCTCTGAAAATTAGCAGGGAATACTCATTTGAGATTTCCTGCATATTCCAGACACCAGCTTCTCTCCCCATTATTTCCTCAGTTCCATGAATGATACCATCACAAACATAGTTGTTCAAATACAAAATCTAGTTGTCCGCCTTTCCCTTCATGTTCAAGCCATTAGTGAGTTCAGTGAACAAGACAGAAGAAACTTAATGGAAATCTTCTTTTCTTTCCTCTTTACAATGCTCTCCACCTGCCTTACTGTTTGGCCCTAGCCTTAGACACCCAGCTGATACCTTTGATTCTACTCTTAATCTCCTACAGTAAACACTCTCTACATAGAGCAAATCATAATTTTAAAATTTTAAATAAGGGGCTCAAGTGATACTACAGTGGGTAGGATGATGATCTTGCATGCAGGTTCTATCCCATCCCATATGGTACCCAAGCAAGAGTAATTACCGCCAAGAGTAATTCCCGTACCTGGTCTTTCCCCAGTCCCATCTACCACTCTTCTGCTCACTTTATTACAAGGAGTTTTTTGTTTGTATTTTTAGGCACTCAAACATGCCAAGTACTTTCCCCCTCAAGTACTTTTGTCCATTGCTTGTTGGTACCCTCTTTAATTCAGATCTCAGCTAAAAATATTTTTCTTGGGTCAGCTATTCTAGTCCAACACTTTCATTTCAAGCCAATGCACTTTTACTTGTTACTAATTTTTTTCTCTTTCTTTGTTCTTGCTTATCTCTCTTTGCTCTCCCTAATGACAATGCATACTCTATGAAGGTATTAAACATTTCTTTTTATTCATGTCTCCATCCTCTACACTTCCTAGGATTTTGATATATTTTTAAAAAACTTTTATTGGTGCTGGGTATTGGGACATACCCAGTGTTACTCAGGATTTATTCCTGGATCTGTGCTCAGGGATTACTCTTAGCAGTGCTCAGAGGTCCACTGCGGTGCTAGGAAGCAAATGCCTTAATCCCTTAAGTATCTCTTTGTCCTCTGTCAAATATTTTTTAAATGATTGGTTGAATGTACTAAAAGAAAAACCACAAACTGAAAACTGAGTTGAAAGAGAAAAAGAGCAAAAATGAGAGAATAAAAAACAAACCAAAGAGAAATATTGAAACTCACTTCTTCAAGGGGATTGACATTCTCTCCTGGTGACATATCTAAACAAAGATTCTCTTTTTCCATTTTCATCTTCAGAGAATTTAAAAGATTTCTGCCATAGTCCAGAGCTTCACTCGCTAAGCTTCCTCCTAGGCGCCTATATTGATTTTAAAAAATAGTAATTTTAAATGACCACAAAAATTACAATTAATGTTTTTATCTCCTTAAGAGCACTTAGGGGCCAAAAACCTGGAAAAAAAACCGAATGCCCAAGAACAGATGACTGGTTAAAGAAACTTTGGTACATCTACACAATGGAGTACTATGCAGCTGTTAGAAAAGATGAAGTCATGAAATTTACATACAAGTGGTACTACATGGAAAGTATCATGCTAAGTGAAATAAGTAACAAAGAGAGGGGCTGACATAGAAAGATTTCATTAATCTGTGCCTGGCTATTCCTTGCCGGGGCCCTTGGAGGGGAGCGGGTTGAGCTTTCCTCCCCGCCCCGGCCAGGGCCCCGGCAGCTGAAGACCTCCAGGACCAGCCAACACCATGCTGAGACCACTCTCCGCACACCTGAAGGTACCGGCAGAGGGACAAAGCCACGTGGGTTCCAGGGCCGAGATCTCCAAGCCTACTCGGATTGGAGTCGAGCATCCTCCACCCAGATCCTCCAAATTCCAGTAGGCGGGGGTCACACCCACCAACTGGCCCCCTGGCGCCGTGTAATCCCGTCAGCGGCCAAGACTCTGAGACTATAAAAACCAGCTCCCGGAACCGCGCGGACGCATTTGCGTCCGCGCAACATCTTATTATAACATCTCATTCCTACTTTGACAAACTGGCAGGCTACCGAATGTAGCCTGCCCACATGACAGAGTCTGGCAAACTCCCCGTGGCGTACCCAATATGCCAAATACCAGTAACAATGATGGGTCTCATTCTCCTAAAGAGCCTTAAATATAATCTCAGGGCTAGGATGAACGAGACGTTACTGGGGCCTGCTCGAGGCAATCGAACAGGATGATCTGTGATCTGTGATCTGTGGAATATAAAGTAACAAAACATGAGACTAATACCCAAGAATAGTTGAGATAAGTACCAGGAGGTGGTACTTATGGCTTGAAGGTCAGCTGCATGTTCTAGGGGAAAAGGCAGCTCAGATAGAGAAGGGAGCACCAAGTAAAGGGTGTTGGGAGGATCCTTCCAGGATGGGAGATGCATGCTGAAAATAGACTATAGACCAAACATGATTGCCACTCAATGCCTCTTTTGCAAACCACAGCACCCAAAAGGAGAGAGAGAACAAAAGGGAATGCCCAGCCACAGAGGTAGGGTGGGATTGGGGGGATGAGGAGGAGGGATACTGGAATCATTGGTGGTGAAGAATGGGCACTGGTAGAGGGATGGTTACTCGTTCATTGTATAAATAAAACCCAAGCACAAAAATTTGTAAGTCTACAACTATACCTCATGATTTTTCACTAATAAAAATTTTTAAAAAAGAGCACTTAGGGGCCAGAGAGATAATTCAGGGACTACGCACTTGCCTTGCAAGCAGATAACCCCAATGCTATATATGCACAACACTATATATGGTCCCTCAACGATAGTTAGATGCACCTCTCAAGACCCTAAGTACCTCTGAGCTGCCCTGGTAATCCCCTGCACCACAAGGACTGACCAACACCATATACTCAGGCCTTCTCCTTAAATCAAAAAGGAGTGGGGTGACAAGAATCACTGGGAGGAGCCTCTGTGTGAGATATCCCCCCCCCCAATCCCAACAAAAAAGAGAAGTTACAGAATTTCTCGATCTCATTACAGATGGCATTACTATCTTAAGGATGGTTCTTTCCTATCCCATTAGTTGATAGTTTTTTTTTTTTTAACCACGACTAGGTTTTTGATCTTGTTAAAAAAGCTTCCTATACATTTATTGATATGATCATATGATTTTTATCTTTCCTCTTTTTGATGTAGCCCCCAGCAATAGCACAGCAGTAGGGCATTTGCCTTACAAGTGGCCAACATGGCCGACCCGAGTTCAATTCCTCTGCCCCTCTTGGAGAGCCCGGCAAGCTACCAAGAGTATCTCGCCCACACGGCAGAGCCTGGCAAGCTACCCGAGACGTATTCAATATGCCAAACACAGTAACAACAAGTCTCATGATGGAGATGTTACTGGGTCTGCTCGAGCAAATCAATGAACAACGGGAGGACCGTGACCGTGAGCTTTTTGATATGGCTTATTACATTAATTTATTTGCATATGTTGAACAATCCTTACATCCTTGGTATGAATCCCACTTGGCTATGATGTAAAATCTTGCTAATATGTAATTGGATTTGGTTCACTAAGATTTTGTTGAGGATTTCTGTGTAGATGTCCATCAAGGAAATTGGTTTGAAAAACTCTTTTTAAGTAGTATCACTATCTGCTTTGGGTATTAGTGTGATGTTGGCTTCATAGAAGCTACTGGAAGGATACCTGTTTCTTCAATATTTTGGGAGAACTTGAGGAGTAAAGGTAGTAAATTTTTGAAGATTTGATAGAACTTACCAGTGAACCCAGAGAACTAAAAGAATTTTAAGATCATAGTAACCTCTCATAACATCTTGAATTTCTGAGGAATTTCTTATAATTTCTCTCTTTTCATCTTTAATCCTCTTTATTTAGGAATTTCCCACTCATGAGTATAGTCAAAGGTTAATCTATTCTATATTCTTTTGATGAACCACCTCCTAGGTTCATTGGCTCATTGTCTTAACACCCAAAGACTGATCCCAGATTGATGGTCAATTAATTTTTGACAAAAGAGCTGGGTATATGAAATGAAGTAAATATAGGCTACTCAACAAATGGTTTTGGGAACACTGAATAACCACATTAAAAAATAAAGCTGGATCTCTATCTCACACTTTACACAAAATTCAATTCATAGTTGATCAAGACATCAAGATCAGACCATAATCCATAATCACTGAGGAAAATATAAGCAGAATACTCCAAGATTTGAACCTCAAAATTGTTTTTAATGATATGACTCCATCAGCAATGACAACAGAAACAAAAACAAGAAAATAGAACTGCATCAAATTTAAAATTTTCTGAATGGAAAAATAAACATGGGCTAAAAGTGAAAAACACCTAACTGAATGGGAGAAAATATTCACACGCAATACATCAGTTAAAGGGTTAATATACAAGATTATATAAAGAACTCACAAATATTGGTAATCAAAAAAAATCCAAAACCCTATATAAAAATGGGAAGTGGTTGTGAACAGATACTTCTCTGAAGAAAACAGTAGAATGGTCAATAGACACATGAAAAATGGCTCTACTTTAATCAGGGAAATTCAAATGAAGATGACAGTGAGATATAATCTCATAGCAATAATAATGGTACATATCAAAATCCCTGAACGAATCTATGTTGGCAGGGATATAATGAAAGGGAAACCCTCATTCATTGCTGTCTTGTTCAACCCATATGCAAAGTTGTATGTAGATTTCTCAGAAAAGTAATAAAAATGACCCAGAAATTTCACTTCTTGTTACCTACACCCAAGACACAAAACATTCATTCAAAAGGACTTGTGCACATCATTAATCATTGTAGTACTTAGTACACAGCTAGGATATGAAATCCACCCAGGTTTACTTGTAAAATCTCCAGGCTCCCATGGAGCTGGAAATGGGTGACCTCCGCCCACAATATGACTGCCACGGTAGCCTGGCAGTCACACCCAGGAACTGCCTCTGGCACCATATAATCTCATTAATGGCCATGATCCAGAGACTCAGAAATAAATCTCTCAGAAGAGAGCACAGAACAATACACCATAAAGATGCCTCTCCACTCCAAAGTCACAATCCAATTTAAAAAATTAAATTAGGGGCTGGAGCAATAGCACAGCAGATAGGGTGTTTGCCTTGCACGCAGCTGACCCAGGTTTTATTCCCAGCATCCCATATGGTCCCCCAAGCACTGCCAGTAGTGATTCCTGAGTGCATGAACTGGGAGTAACTCCTGTGCATCGCCGGGTGTAACCCCCAAAAAAGCAAAAAAAAAATTAAATTAACCTCAACTGTATAACCATACTTAAAATTTTAGAACTCCTGGAGTGCACAACTGCATTTGTGGCTGAATGACATCTCATTCTTATACAAGGGTTTAATGGCTCCATGATGAAATATAACAATCTTCACATACTTTCCTTTAAGGAATTTTTTGGACCACTTTAGTGGATTATTTTTTAACAAGCAATACAAAATAAAGTATTTAGGTCCTGCTTTGGGGGCAGGGTTTGGGGGTTGGGGTGGAAACATTTGAAATAAGGTGTGCATAGGTGTAATGGTGGTGGGATTTGTGTTGCAATATTAAATGTAACAAATTATTGTGAACAACTTTATAAAAATAAAATTTTAAAAAATCTACCCATGTTTCTCAGGACAGATGTGTAGATAATGAAGGCATGGCATATATATACAATGAAATATTATGCAGCTGCAAAGAATGATAAAATCATGTGGTTTGCTGCAGCTTGAACTGGAGGATATCATGTGACATGAAGTCAGAAGAAAGACAAATTCTGGGTGATGATTACACTTATTTGGTATATAGAACAATAAGACAAGGGAATACTTGGTATATCAAAGGGGGAATGCCTTGATTACCCTTGAACCTAGATTACAAAAGTGAGGACAGGGAAGGTAAGACATCAAGTCGGGGAATAAGAAGAGGCAGATAGGAGGTAACAGGGGAAGGGGTGAGGGGTCCAGGTGTATCGGTGGTGTAGAGGTGCGGGTTATATATTTATTTAAACCACAGAGCCAATAACACTGAAAGCATGAGTTCCAAACTATAATAATCAAACTTAAAACTAGAGCCTGCTAGGGAGGCAGGCTAGGATGTGGGAGGGAACATGGGGATATTGATAGAGGGAAGGTGATACTGGGGCTGAGTCTGGTATTGAAACATTGTATGCCTAAAAAACTATTATGAACCACCTTGTAAATTAGTGTCTTAATGAAAACAAAATTTAAATACATCTGTGAACAGGCAGTTCCCTTTTGGTATTGTTTGTAGACGAATATTATCCACCCGAAAGGATTGGAGTTAATTAACATAAACATGCATTATTAGCATAATTAATTAACGTGGGTGTTCACTACTAGAATGTTCTTTAAAAATTTTATTCAGATATTTGACAAAATGTTCAACATTAATTGAATATACTGAAATCTCCTCCCAAGCATATGATCATCTAATCTTCAATAAGGGGGCAAGAAAAGTGAAATGGAGCAGGGAAAGCCTCTTTAATAAATTGTGCTGGCAAAACTGGACGGCTACATGCAAAAAAGTGGGCCCAGATTTCTGCCTAACGCCATGCACAAAAGTAAGATCAAAATGGATTTATGACCTCAACATCAGACCGGAATCCATAAAGTTCATTGAAGACAAAGTTGGCAAAACCTTCCATGATATTGAAGCTAATGGTATCTTCAAAGATGTCACACCACTGGTCAAGCAAGTGAAAACAGAGATAGACAAATGGAACTATCTTAAACTAAGAAGCTTCTGCACCACAAAAGAAACAGTGACCAAAATACAAAGACAGTCTACAGAATGGGAAAGGATATTCGCCAAAAACACATTTGAGAAGGGGTTGATATCAAGGATATACAAGGTACTGGTTGAACTCCACAAGAAGAAAACATCCAACCCCATCAAAAAATGGGGCAAGGAAATCATCAGGGAGATGCAGATCAAAACAACAATGAGATATCATTTCACACCACAGAGACTGGCCCACATCCATAAGAACAAAAGCAACCGGTGCTGGCGCGGATGTGGCGAGAAAGGAACCCTCCTTTACTGCTGATGGGAATGCCAACTGGTCCAACCCTTTTGGAAAACAGTATGGACGATTCTCAAAAAATTAGAATTTGATCTCCCATTTGACCCAGCAATATCACTCCTGGGAATATATCCCAGAGAGGCAAAAAAGTATAGTCGAAGTGACATCTGCACTTGTTTGTTCATTGCAGCACTCTTTACAATAGCCAGAATCTGGAAAAAAACTTGAGTGCCCAAGAACAGATGACTGGTTAAAGAAACTTTGGTATATTTACACAATGGAGCACTATGTAGCTGTTAGAAAAGATGAAGTCATGAAATTTACATACAAGTGGTACTACCTGGAAAGTATCATGTTAAGCGAAACGAGTCAGAAAGAGTGGGATAGACACAGAAAGATTGCATTCATCTGGGGAACATAAAGCAACAAAATGGGAGACTAACACCCAGGAGTGGCCGAGATAGTACCAGGAATTTTGCTCCATGACTTGGAGGCCAGCCACACGTGCCAGGGGAAAAGGAAGCTCAGAGAGAGAAGGGAGCACCAAATAAAGGGTGTTGGGAGGATCCTCCCAGGGTGGGAAAACATGCTGAAAATAGACTATAGACCAAACATGATTGCCACTCAATGCCTCTCTTGCAAACTACAGGACCCAAAAGGAGAGAGAGAGAAAACAAAAGGGAATGCCCAGCCACAGAGGCAGGGTAGGATGGGGGGAATGGGGGGTAGGAGGAATGCTGGGACCCGTAGTGGTGGAGGATGGGTGCTGGTGGAGGGATGGCTACTTGATCATTGTATAACTGAAACCCAAGCACAAAAATTTGTAAGTCTATAACTGTACCTCATGGTGTTTCACTAATAAAAAAAAAACTTAGCTATGTATAGGATTTGAATTTTCTTATTTTCATATGTTAAAATAATATCCAATACTCTCGGTAGCTTGCCGGGCTCTCCGAGAGGGGCGGAGGAATCGAACTCGGGTCGGCCATGTTGGCTGCGTGCAAGGCAAACGCCCTACCCGCTGTGCTATTGGATATGCCAGACACAGTAACAACAAAGTCTCCAATGGAGACGTTACTGGGCCCGCTCGAGTAAATCGACGATCAACGGGAGGGCCTTTACCTTTACCTTACCTTAAAATAATATGGCAATTAATCATTATAAATTGACTTTTGTTGATTTATCTTATGATAATTCCATTTTCCATATTTTTAAAGTTCTGTTGATGTAAACAGTATTAAATAAATGTGTTATACAGTATGAAAAAAATGTTCAACATTAAAAATGAGAAAATTCTAGAAACATATAAAAATGACTACTGATATTGTCTGAAAAAAAAGCAAACATTATAAACGTATACCTATTTTACCAAAGTAAGGGAATAAAAAATACAGAATGATCTCTCTCATATGTGGGATATAAAGTAGCATAGGAAGGGAATAACAAATGGTCTAAAACAACAGAATCTGGGACCTCATCTACAGAAGTGAGCTTACCATTGAGGTGAAGGTAGTGGGCAAGATGGGACCCAAGATAATGGTGGAAGGAAATGGACATTTTGGTCTGTGGTTTTGGAACATTGTGTGCATGACTCCCTATCACTGGCAATGTGTAAATCAAAGTGACTAAGATAAGAGAAAAATAAATAAAATAATTTCTTGATCTCATGCAAAAAAAAGAACTCGCAAAGACACTGGTAGTGATTTTTTTAAATTGGGTAATGGGCTACAGTTTATTTTTCCTTTAAATGGTAAGGATAAATTTTATATACAGTACCCTATGCCTAATATATTTAATAAAAACAAATACTTGTTTTGCTCTTATGTCACACTTTGTCTCTTTATGTTAGGTTAGAAAGCTGACTTACTCAGAGTTCTTGAGTCCTAATAAGTGTAACTGTCTACTTGGATTCTCTCTTGGGGAGGGGGAAGAGGTTGGGTCATACCCGTCTGAGTCAGAACTTATTCCTGGCTTATGCTCACAGATCATTCCTGGTGTGTTCAGGGATCACTCCTGGCTAATTGCTCTGTTCATCATTAGGAGAGGAATAAGGTGAGAGTGTGCGCCTACATATTACAATTGCTGAGCATTCTTTTTTCCATTTTGCTCTTTTCTCTCCCCTTCTTCCTTCAGCCCATTCTCACCCAGCAACCATCCATCGGTTTGATGCTTTGATTTCTTACCCTGGAGGAAAGGCACTTGCAGGATTGGCCATTCCTAGAGCACAACTAACCCTACTTTCAGGTGCAAATCAATTCACCTATATCCTTTAGCCTCAGTCTACTCCGATTGAATTTTCATACTCAGACGCACTGGTTCCTTATCCTAGGTCATCCCATATCCAAAGAGAAATAGCCCGTGTGTCCAGAATCCAGTATAATGATCCAAACTCGCCTGCCAAGTTTGCCTTTTCCTACCATGGAAGCTGATCTTTTTGTCTCCTTGTCCATGCTGTTGTCTTCCCCATGCACACACTCCCCAGAACATAGTAAAATCCTTCTCTTGGGATCTCAGCACAACAAATTCTTTTCAACGGTAGTTGTCTCCTTTTATATTGGTCTTGCTATGCCCAATTTATAGCAGAACCTCTATTTTAAAACACCATGCCAGGGGAAGTTGCTTGCTGTGTGTCGTACATACCTCCATTTTATGTTAACTAGAGTGCCATCATTCTTTCCATTCACCAGAATGGTGTGTCCGTCTACGGAAATTTTCACTGACTGGATCCCACGGCTCTGGTGAGAATGACTCCGAAACCGAGCAAAGGTTTCCTTCATAGTTTTAGAAACAAAGCACAGAAAATCATAAATGCAATTCAACCCTGAGGTGTTCCCACCCAGGTTACATGTAAATATTCAAGTTTTATGCCTTTGGGAGTATGATTTTCTACTGGCTAGGAGCATTCAGTTGGCCTGGAAGTAGCCTCCTCGCAACACAGCACTGATAGCACCTAATTCAAAATAACTCCACTGATACTGGTGTTCCCGCTCCCATTTGTACTGTATAGAAGAAAGAGAATTGGTATCATTAATTTATAGTTAGAAACTCAGATACGAAGCAGTGAATGGATTTCCTGTGGACCTCAGGTGTGGAGGAATGGCCTGGATCTGGCCAAGGGGGTGAATGCTGATGCTTTCAAGAATCAAGAAGAGTATCTTTGTGCATGAAGTGGGCTTGCTGATTCATCATTTGAAAAATCATCGTCAGGGACTGCCCCTTTTGCACACATGTACAAAGCTGCACTTCTTGCTCAGGTGAGTGGGGATGCTGTGTACATGAGCAGGGCTCTGGAAGAGCAGTGTCAGATGGAGGTGGTTCCTAAGTCATAATCATAGACTGCAGTGCATTGTTCTTGATGTCAAGTACAACATTGTCTCAGAATCTGAAAAAGCACCTTCCATCCTTTCATGAAAGGATTTCACTTCCCCCTCAGTCTGAGAAACTGGGAAGTCAGTGTATTCATAGCCTTGATGGCACTGAGGTCTGCAAGTGGGGCAGTACAGTGATCTACTACATCAATCCCATATACTTTGACATGATTGTAATCAACTTACATAAACTATAATCAAGTTTCTAAAAGAAAAGAAGTTTACCAAATTCTGAATATCTCGGATAGACAGAACCCCACATTTAGCTGTTGAGAGGAGCCACAGTCCATGTGGAGACAGAGAGAGTGTTCCAGATCCATAATGCCGGCTTGGCAGTTTTTGGGATGGCTTCAGAATGAGAATACCAACATGCTCCTGCCAATCAAAGAAATGACCACATTGCAGAAAAGTCTAGGGATCTGCAACTTCAGGTTTGCAGTTCTATAGTCAGGTTCAATCCACAAACTCGGTCATTGAAAATAAACGAATAAAGTGGGCATCTGTGTCCTATCACACTTCCCCTCTTTGGTTGCAAATAAAAGTTTGGGCCAAGTAGGAAATGCCTTCTCTGTATCTCCATTACTATCAAACATCCTAGCTGATACTGATTGTCTATTTTTCACTGATAGTTTTCCTCCCCATGCTCATTTCAAAAAGCAAATGAGTTGATATTCCCTAAGATCTCATGTTCCTACCTCTTTGCTTCTATACATGCTGCATGTTGTGACTTTTGTACTTTTTTCATCCCATCACTAATCTTATGCCTTCCCTTCCTTCCACTGAAGCATCCCCAACTCCAAACTGTATACATTATTTCTCCTCATCTAAGTTTGACCTACTCATCAAAGTCCAGTTGAAATACTACTTCCTCCTTGAAGCTTCTCTTGACATGCTCCCTGGTCTCTTTATTCTAAGTCATTTTGTCCTTTTCTGAATTTCTGTGTCTTATATCTTGATAATTCTCCTGCCCCCGCGCCTGGCTGTCCTCACCGGGGTCCCTTAGAGGGGGGAGGGTTGAGTTTTCTCTCCCCTCCCCCACCCCGAGAGAGCCCCAGCAGCTGAGGACCTCCGGAGCCAGCCATGGCCATGCTGGGACCACTCTCCACACGTCTGGACGGGCCTCATGCATGAAAGAACTGGCAGAGGAACCCAGGCATGCGGGTCCCGGGGCTGAGGTCTCCAAGCTTACTCAGATTGGGACTGGGCTTTCTCCACCCAGAACCCCCATCTTCCAGTAGGTAGGCATCACACCCACCAGCTGCCAACAGTGCCAGGTTGGTCCCATCAACGGCCAAGATGCAGAGACTATAAAACCCAGCTCCTGGAGGAGAACAGCGCAGTCTTCTGCCCCCGCTCCTGGCTGTCCACACCAGGGCTCCTTGGAGGGGGGAGGGTTGAGTTTTCTCTCCCCCCCTGCCCCGAGCAGAGCCCCAGCAGTTGAGGACCTCCAGAGCCAGCCATGGCCATGCTGGGACCACTCTCCACATGTGCAGACAGGCCTCATGCATGAAAGAATTGGCAGAGGAACCCAGGCATGCAGATCCCGGGGCTGAGGTCTCCAAGCCTACTCGGATTGGGACTGGGCTTTCTTCACCCAGACCCCCCTATCTTCAGTAGGTAGGCATCACACCCACAAGCTGCCAACAGTACCAGTTTGGTCCCATCAATGGCCAAGACGAAGAGACTATAAAACCCAGCTCCCGAAGCGTGCGGCCGCATTCGTGGCTGCACAACATCTTATTATCTTTCCTTTGGAGAACCTGGCAGGCTACAAAAAGTATCCTGCCCGCACAGCAGAGACTGGCAAACTTCCCGTGTCATACTGAATATGCCAAATACCAGTAACAATGATGGGTCTCATCCTCCTAATCCTGAAAAGAGCATTGAAATGGCTCTTTTTAAAATCTCAGGGCTAGGTAGAAGGAGACGTTACTGGTGCCTGCTCGAGACAATTGATGAACAACAGGATGATCGTGATCGTGATATCTTAATCTATTGTCTGCTGTAGGAGAGAAGGGCTTTTACTGAAGGGTCAAGAGAAGTGGATGGATAATCTGATCTACATAGCAGGAAGTGACATGATATAGGAGAAGGTGGAAAGGGTGTGATAAAGGAATGCCAGAGTCATAAGTTCCATTGAAACTACAAACTCTGCTAGCTTCTGAACCTTGTGAAATAGATTTTTTAACTTTAGATATTTTTTAAACGCAGTTGCCTATTTATTTGTGCCATCTGTGTGTTTATCTGATATTTCTGATGTATGAGGTACCAGTGTGAGGTGGTTCAAATGTATTTTGTGATGGATTAATATGTTGTATTAATATTTATCCCTTTTAAGAAAATTATGTTACTGTAATAAAGCCATTTGTTAACTGTAATGTTAAAAGATGGCTCACATGTGATTAATGTCGAATGTCACTCTTGACTGCTAAAATAAATAACAGCAGGCTTACGACTTGACGTACATTTTCTGGGAGCTCATAGCTGCAGATGTACGGCACGTCTGAGCAGAAGCCATAGACTCGGTGACTTTTGTAGTCCAGCACTGCCGAGGACAGGGTGTGCTCGATCTCATACAGGAATGTATGAATTAATTCATTTCTCATCCTCCCTCTTTCATCAACAAAGCCCATAGTAACTATCACATTCAGAGAAGAAGAGAGATCATTTGCACCAAAGGTAGATTTTCACTTTTTAAACCATGATGAACAAATATAAAAAGCAAAATAAAAACAAAGAAACCATCAATACATAGGCAATCTTATGATAAAAAAAACTTAAAACTTGGTTTCATAAGAAATACTTGAGCATAAGATGCAAGTAAAATATTTTTGTAAGGCCTTGGTTCATTTTATCAATTAGGGAGGGGCATAGCCTTAAAAGAAATTCATGGCAACCTAGGGATTCTTAACTAAAACAGAAAAGCACTCATCCCTTAAAATTATACACTTGCAAAACTCCAACCTACATAATTCATTATATAAGACAAAGGGTATCTATTTTATCAGACTACTTTACCCAGAAAGTTTTCCTCATAATTTTATCATGATAGTAATTACACAGAAACCTACCTGGATTTATCTACATACACATAAAGCTACAAAACTACCGATGCCATAAAATGGCAAATCAATTTGGCAAAAGTGTCAGTTTATTTTCTGTTTTTCTGATCCTGTTTTTCTTCTTTTCCTGACCCTATTTCTTTCTTTAGCAATAATATTCATGAGTGATAAGGGATAATGTCTATATTTCATACAGTTTTAGCACATGGGTTATTTTACCTCTACAGAGGTTATGAGGGAAAGATCCGGTGGGATGGATAGTGGGGGGTGGTACATCCCAGAGGTGGGGGATAGGGGTCCTCCTCTGGACTCAAGACAGAATTGGTTGCTTATTTTTCTTTACCTTGTGGTAACATTCTGGGCAAAACAAATGTTTCCAATCTGGTTCTTTTGTTTGGAAGCACGGACATCACCATCACTTCCACTATGTCTGTTTCCAGAAGAGACACTGTGGATATTTGCAAAATGTTTGTGGCCACCTCTGAAAGCAATTGAAGACCAACAAAGAGATCTTTGATAAATTCAAAGCAATATTTAGCTTCTCAAGTTAGATACATCCTAGAACTGCCTTCACTAAATCTTTTGATCCAAATTCATATACTAAATGTCAAAGTTACTTTTAAACCCAAGTGATGGGGACATTTTAATGAACACAGGGCAAAGTCTCCTGGTTAACAGGACTGGGTAGACAGGTTCACTTTCATTGCAAGCTAGAGAGGCCTCAGAGCTGCTGTATCCACCCTACTCAGCAGCATCCCCAAGCTTTGTCCCCTTGAAACTCAACCTGACTGGTTTTCCACTTCTAATGAAGGATAAACTTAGGCATCAGAGGGTAAGGTATTGCCCCTTGAGTGTATCACATTATGAGTTGGCCCCTCTTACCGCAGGGAATCTGCCTGCTTCCAGGCATCATTTGTTTCCACATTCTCATGAATGAAGGGGTGAAGGGGTGGGGTGCTGCCTGTGTCCCCTTCTCAGACCCCAATGTCAGCCCCTCCCCTCATTTGTTCTTTGGATGACCACCCTCTTAATATGGAAGATGGAGAGCATCTGACACAAATAAACTGAGATTTCTCATCCCAAATCCTGTATTTTCTCTTTGTTCCCAAAGCTCTTTATTTCCTAATGTTTTTGTGTGGAACAGAATGCTTGATTTAAGCCAGTGCCTCTAACCTGTTGGACATGTGCTATCAGTGAACTCTTTTTATTTTCTTATGTCTGTTACCTTTTTATTTTGTTGTGTCTTTAGCTCTTCAGACTCCCTCATTTCCCAATAATGAGCTTCCTTCATCCTTCTTTCTCCTGCAATTACCCACAATTTTGCTCTCCTCTGCAAACTTCCGAAAGGACTGACTGTCTACTGACTCCATCTACAGACAACCATTCCCTTGGGATATCTTTGTCTCCCTTCTCCAAAGAGGGAATCCTCCCAGGGACCACCTGCCCATTGATAAATCTAGGAGTGGCTGCTCACCCTAGCCCCATACTCGGGCCACAGACTCTACCATTCTTTGGCATTCTAAGCTCCTTCAGGGTGGGAGAACTTTCGGTTCCTAGTCCTTTTTGTCCATACTCAGTTTAGTTTATTACCTCATCTTCCTCTGTCCTCAAGTTCAGTTAAATGTGCTCAAGGGGTTTGACCCAAGTTTTTCCCACACTATTCTCTGACTCACCAGACACGTTTTTAAAAATGAGAGTGTTAGGTAGGGCTTGAAGTCACTTTGAATCCATGTGGATCAAGCACACTTGCTGTTATCCAAGTACACATTTAGATTATCCATTTGGACTCACTAAGAAATTGGCTTTGAATGTACTTTTTAACTTAAGCCATCAGTTTCAATGGTTTTAAGATCAAAATTCTACATAAGTCTTGAGAAATAAATGTACATCTTCAAACATATGGCACATTTTCCCTCTAGGAAGAGTTTATTTACTCTAAGGCTACAGAGCTTACCTCTCTCACTTTCCATTTTCAATTTCCTTTTCTTTTGAGCTCTTTCTTACTTTCAGTTATCATAAACCTTCATATACTTTCACCATCCAGGCTGGAAATTTTGGAGTCACTACTGACCCCTCTTTGTTAAAGATAAGGGAGTACAAAATCTTCTGATTCTGAGTGAGTCTGCATATCCTGGGTCAAACCTGGAGTCAGTCTATCAAAGTTTTAGTCCAGGCTCCACTACCTACTTCCTAGCGGTGTGACTTTGAACATGCATGCAACCTCCCTGTGCCTCAGTTGTCTCATCCACAAAACGGATACAATAGCTTCTACCTTACAAAAGTTGTCTGTAAGAATGAAATGAATTAACTCATGTCAAGTGCTTAAGATAATGACTATCATAGTGAGGAATCCCTAAAAAAATGTCAGCCATTGTTATATAGTCAGTCCTTTCTCTTGCCTGTTTCCCAATTCATCTTTTATCTTCTTTTTTTCCTGTTCTGTTCCATCTTTCTTACTTGCTATGCCGGAGATATTCTCTAAAAAGCAAGTCAAATCATGCAGTCCCATCCTGAGAACCTCTGATAATTTCTCATTAGCCTCAGAACACAGTCAAAATTTCTTGACATGATATTCAAGACTTTGTCTCCTACAGATTTCATTGCCGTGACTGTCACCTAGTGAACTCTCTTACTGATACATCTATACAGACTACTAACCTTTCCTTTGTGCAAACATTTCTCTCAAATATTTCTCATCTGCTACTTTAAACCATGCACAATATTCTATCTCAATCCTCTGCACCCCTTATTGATGCCACACCTATTTCCTTTCTCTACTCATTTCTGGTAGAATTACCTCTTCCTCTGAGCCTTCTCTGCTATTGTTCCTCTGCTAAATTATCTCCTTGGTCTATGGAGACAGGGCCTAGATTTAGCATTTTATACTGACTAGGTTCTCAGTTAAATTCAAAATTCAATTAATGGGTTTAAATACATATTTTAGAGTAAATACTTATATATTGGATACTTAAGGCTAGACATAAAAGTATTAGTGCTTTTTATGTAAGTGTTTGATTGTCTTTATATCTGTCGTGAGCTGGGTACCAGCTGGACATTTCCTGGACATTTCTCCCTGGAAGCACATTATTGAATAGGGTGAAATATCATTTTGTTTAAAAAAGAAGCATTAAAAAATAAAGGAGAAGCATTAAAGATACAAGTAATCTCATTCAGATACCATTGTGAGAAATTAAATATTATCTTAACTATTTCAGCAACAACCCAAGTTCCTATGTATTAGATATCATTAACCTTTTCTTAAATTGACTCAAGAAAAATTATTTAGCACCAAATATGAACCCAGAAACATTTGTATATGCTATAGGAATTCGTCTAAGTAATTAAAAAATACATAAAAGTAATTTGTAATTTTACATTGTTCTTTAGAAAATACGCTGGAAATATTTGCTTCACTTTGGTCCCATTATGATACCCTTAAATTCTTTGAAATAAAATAACCAATAATTTAAATAAACACTCCATGCAGACCTACAAATCCAAGAATCTTAAAGAGGCTGGAAGGATGAGCATCAATAACAAAGACATAGCCTTCTGATGTTCCAGCAAATAGGTACATTCCTTGTTGATCATACCTAGAAAAGAAAAAAAAAACTTAACAAGCAAATTGTACTGATTTCACTAATAAACTGGTCAATGGTTGACACATTTACTGAAGGACAGCATGGAAACACATCCAAAGTTGGACATTCTCATGGCTTGTGAATTTTAGTATGAACCAAATTTATTAAAGCCAGATGATTACAAGTGATCATTACTTTCTAGGCTAATGTGATTATCCCCAAGCATACAGCCAAGAGATTCAGTGAAAACAGGCCATTGTTCATTGTAGGAGAATGAAATGTGGCAGTGTTGTTTGTTTCATATTTCAAGCGGGGATGAGTCATGTGAAAAGAGAGAGAATTTCTGTATCAGTACTTTATCCTCCCAGGACCTTTGAATAATGGTCCAGTGGTCCTGGACCAAGTAAGGAGTCCAGGGGGTCCTCAATACTGTTGAGAAATGAGTCAAATTAGAAAACGTGGAAATGCCAATATGAGATAGAGGATATGGCACCACAGGTAGAGGGTGTAAAGAAGGGGGGCTCTAAGGCCCTCCCCCATCGGGCTGCAGGAGGTAAGCTTGACAGAAACAGCATAAGTAGCAGAAACCTGGCCCTTTAGGTGCAAGCTGTGTCATTATGCACAGACACCCCTCTTACCTCTCTGAACTGAACTCCCTGATTTGAGATGCCTTACATAAGCAGGATTCCCTCTGACTGAAGGGATGAGGGTTACATTTGATCTCATATGTAATGGCCTCACAGATTACAGAGCAGGCACAAATGTCTTGTACTAGTAGGATGATAAAATGAATGAACAGGAGAACGCTAATGGCAACAATACAAGGCTAAAATCTAGGATTTTTGTGGTGCTTTCTTTAAAATGTGATTTCTAAATATCTGAAATAATCAAAGTGCCCATCCATATATAGTATTTTTAAATGATGATAGGCTCATACAATGAAATCACTTAATCACTTAACTTCCCGTTAGTCGTCGATTTGCTCTAGCGGGTGCCAGTAACGTCTCCATTTGTCCCTGTCGCGTGCTAGTGTAGCCCAATGGCATCTGTTTGCTCTGGGAACATGAAGAGCCTCAAACCGATCATTCATGATCTTGATGAAGAAGTCTGACCATCTGGTAGGTGGGCGGCCACGCGGTCTTTTGACATCCCGTGGAACCCAGTCGGTAACAGCTCTAGTCCAGCGGTCATCTTTAAATCTCATTACGTGACCAGCCCATCTGATTTTTGACACCGTGGCAAATGAGACAGCGTCCCTGATTCTTGATCGTCGACGGATGTTGGAACTCCGGATTCTTTCTCTCATTTGAGTGAAACATGATATTCCAAGCATAGCTCTTTCAATTCCTCTTTGAGAGACCTGAATAGCGTTCTCATCCTGTTTGCGTAAGGCCCAGGTCTCTGAGGCATATGTTAATGTAGGAAGAACAGTGGAATCAAAGAGATGTGCCCGGAGCCGGAGGTTCTTCGTCCTCTTAGCTATTTCTTTGACGTTCTTCAAGGCGTTCCAAGCTGCTCTCTTCCTCCTGCGCAGCTCGGGTGCCCGGTCATTTGTCATGTTGACTTCTCGACCTAGGTACACATAGCTGTTGCATTCGGAGATGGTCATTCCATTGAGAGCAAATGGGGCATCAGGAACAAGGTTGTTTCTCATAAACATTGTCTTCGTAAGATTCAGCTGTAGTCCTACCTTTCCACAATGCTGGTCAAAGTCGGCCAGCATTTGTGCCGCTTGGCTGATGTTTGGTGTTATTAAAACAATGTCATCAGCAAAGTGGAGGTGGTGTAGTTGCCGACCATCTCTTCACTCCCATTCCTTCCCATTCCAGTCGTCGCATGATGTTCTCGAGGGTGGCACTGAAGAGTTTTGATGAAATGGTATCACCCTGCCGCACCCCTCTCTTGACATCAACGATCACTTCTTTGTAGAATGGTGAGATCCTGGTAGTGAATCCACAATACAGCTCACGGAGGATCCTGATGTATTGGGCTTGAATGCCCTGATTGGCTAGGGCTTCAATGACCGCTTCTGTCTCAACAGAATCAAAGGCCTTCTTTAAATCAATGAACGTTAAACAGAGCGGCATCTTGAACTCCCGAGAAACCTCAATGAGCTTGGTTACCGTGTGGATATGGTCGATGGTGCTGAATCCTTTGCGGAACCCGGCTTGCTCGCATGGTTGTTCTTCATCTAGTGTTCTGCCAATCCTATTTAGGATGACTCAAGTGAACAACTTGTAGATGACAGACAATAGGCAGATCACGCGATAGTTGCCAATGTCATGGATGTCTCCGTTCTTGAACAGTAGTACAGTCCTGCTGGTTTTCCATTGGGACGGAACCTTGCATTCAGATAGGTAGTGTGTGAAGAGCCGAGCCAGTGTATTGATGAGTACTGACGGCAGGTTCTTCAGGTGTTCAGGTCTGACCTTGTCTGGGCTGGGTGCTGTTCGTTTCTTTACCAACGAAATGGTGTGTCGGATTTTGGAAGGGAGAACGTTGGGAACAACATATCCATCCTGTGGAATTTGGTATGTCGGCAAGTGGACATGGCTATCGAAGAGATTTGAGTAGAAGTCATGGATAATCTTCTCCATTGCCGTTCTGGAAGATGTGCTGGATCCATCAGGACGTCAGAGGGCAGTCATCTTGGTCTTGTAGTTGGCAAAGGACAGGCGGGCGTTATGAATACTTTTCCCGGCTTCTGCCACTTCTACCAGCACTTCTACTCTTCTCTCTTTGAGGTCTTCCTTGATCGCATCTCTGCACTGCTTTGTGAGCTCTGACATTAAGATTACGGTTGCCTGAGGCATGCGCCAAACCACGCTGGCGAATTAGTTCAAGAGTTTTTGAAGACAGGCGTTTTTTTTGGCTATCTCTCTCTTAATAACACCAAACATCAGCCAAGCGGCACAAATGCTGATCGACTTTGACCGTGAGTGTGGAAAGGTAGGACTACAGCTGAATCTTACGAAGACAATGTTTATGAGAAACAGCCTTGTTCCTGACGCCCCATTCGCTCTCAATGGAACAACCATCTCCGAATGCAACAGCTATTTGTACCTAGGTCGAGAGGTCAACATGAGAAATGACCTGGCACCCGAGCTGCGCAGGAGGAAGAGAGCGGCTTGGAACGCCTTCAAGAACGTCAAAGAAATAGCTAAGAGGACGAAGAACCTCCGGCTCCGGGCACATCTCTTTGATTCCACTGTTCTTCCTGCATTAACATATGCCTCAGAGACCTGGGCCCTACGCAAACAAGATGAGAACGCTATTCGGGTCTCCCAAAGAAGAACAGAAAGAGCTATGCTTGGAATATCACGTTTCACTGAAATGAGAGAAAGAATCCGGAGTTCTGACATCCGTCAACGATCAAGAATCAGGGACTCTGTCTCATTTGCCAAGGTGTCCAAAATCAGATGGGCTGGTCACGTAATGAGATTTAAAGACGACTGCTGGACTAGAGCTGTTACCGACAGGATTCCACGGGATGTCAAAAGACCGCGTGGCCGCCCACCTTCCAGATGGTCAGATTTCTTCATCAAGATCATGAACGATCGGTTTGAGGCCCTTCATGTTCCCGGAGCGAACAGATGCCATTGGGCTACACTAGCACGCGACAGGGACAAATGGAGACGTTACTGGCGCCCGCTCGAGCAAATCGACGACTAACAGGAAGTTAAGTGATTAAGTGATTAAGTGATCTCTCTCTTGGCGTTCCTCGCACATTCATGGAGGTGCTGTAACAGTCAATCGTATTCCTCGTCAATGTTGTCAACAATGGCATCTTCCCATGTTGCCACAATAGTGCCAAAGAGCTCCCAGTTGGTGGTCATTCTGGGAGTTCTCTTTTTAAACTTTGCAGCCCTTTCTCCCCGCTCTGTGAATTTTGCACGAAGGAGACGGTGGTCCGATCCCATTCGGAATTTTGGGACAACAGCGACATTGGTCAGGCAAAACCGTCAACTGAATATGATGTGGTCTATTTCGTTGTGGAATCGTCCACCGGGCGACTCCCATGTCCATCGTTTAGATTCTGCCTTCTGGAACTGTGAGTTACCATGGATGGTCTTGGTTGACATGATGAACTCAGACAGTCTGTCACCCTGTTCGTTCCATTCTTCACATGGGTCCCGATGTGAAGTTCTTCAGCTGATCTTCTCGGTCCTATCTTGGCATTAAAATCACCCACAATGATCTTGTAGAAGGTGTGGTCTTCTTTATAGAACTTCTCCAGCTCCATGTGGAACTTCTCAATTTCTCTTTCATTATAATGAGATGTTGGTGCGTAGACAACGAAGATGGAAACTGCCGGCAGTGAGCCACATCTATTCAAATGTAAACGTCCGATTCGGATTGTTAGGCATTTGAATGAATCAATGCTCATGGCCAAGTTTGTGTTGACAAGGACACTGATGCCTCTGACACCTCTTTTATCGCATGTTCCGAGGAACAATTCTTCTCCAGTGTCGAAAACGGCATGGTGAGATTCGTGCCTTCTTGTCTTGGTCAGACCAATGATGTCGTACTTGATCATTTGCGCTTGTACCATCAGGTCCTCGATGGATGCATCTGATGCTAGCATACGTGCATTGAAAGTACAGACGATCATTTTTGTCTTCCTTTGTTGTGGCAGCCTAGTTCGGCCTTGAGATTTTATCGGCCTCTCCTTTCTCATCCTTCTCAGTGCTGCCATGTCGGTGAAGCCTTCAGGGTCAGGTGAATGAGACCAGTTGTAGTTACTGGTTTTGGCATATCGAATACACAACGGATAGCTTGCCAGGCTCTTCCGTGCGGGTGGAATAATCTCGGTAGCTTGACAGTCTTTCCGAGAGGGATAGAGGCTTTTGGGGTGACCTCTAATCGCCCTCATAGGTGTTACCATATTTGAGCCCTGTCAAATATGGTACGACAATTCTGGAAGATGGGTATTTAGTGTCTTATGATGTGTCGCAGCCGCGCGGGTCCGGAAAGTGTCCTGGAGTGTGGCGGCGGCTAGGTAGTGGAGGTAGTGAAATACACTATGAAATTGTAGAATGAAATTATACAATGAAATACACTATGAAATTGTAGAATGAAATACACTATGAAATTGTAGAAATTGAAGAACTCTAAGTGTGGACAGAAAACATTCTCCAAGACACATTTTAAAGGGGGGAGGTAGGGGGAGAGAGATAGAGAGAGAGAGAGAGAGAGAGAGAGGAAGAGAGAGAGGGATAGAGGAAGGAAGAGAGGGAGAGAGAGAGGGAGAGAGAGAGGGAGTGAGATAAAGAAAATTATTTGCTTTGCAATCCCTTTGGAGCCCAGATATCTGGATTCAAATTCTGATCTATTTGCTGTCTATGATTGTAACTCAGTAACTTAAATTCTTTATGTCTCATCTTTTTCACCTGTGTGATAGACAAGAAGTACCTTGCTCACCAAGTTAATACAACAGAAGTGCATGCCATACTCTTAAGTGCTTGTACAAATTGTATAAATAAAAATGAATGAGTTCTCTTTTTTTGCTTGTTTATGTACTAAGCACTAAGTACAATAGCTTGTATAAAAAATAACCTAAATGTCCAATGACAGATGAATAGATAAAGCAGCTGCAGTGTACATACACAATGGAATATAATGCAGCTATAAGATAAAAATCTTGCAATTATTGAAACTTAGATGATACCAGAAGGCATCATGTTAAATGGAATAAGTCAGAGGGAGGACAAAAATCAGTAATCTCACTTATTTGTGGTATGTAGAGGAACAAAACAAGGGAATAGAAGACAAGCCTTTACTTTTTTTTAACTTTTATTAGCGAAACATCATGAGGTACAGTTGTAGACTTACAAATTTTTGTGCTTGGGTTTCAATTATACAATATTTGAGTATCCATCCCTCCACCAGTGCCCATTTTCCACCACCATGATCCCAGTATCTCTCCCATCTCCAACCCCCCCCCCCATCCCACCCTGCCTCTGTGGCAAGGCATTCCCTTTTGTTCTCTCTCTCCTTTTGGGTGCTGTGGTTTTCAAAAATAAAGCCTTGACTTTTGAGCACAAAATTGAAACGACCAGGTAGTGGAATAAGAGGGAAAAAAAGAAAAAAAAGCAGACTAGGAGTGACAAAAGAACAGGTGGCAGGTTTTGGGTTCTTTGGTGGCCATGAAAATACATTAATCTTGTATAAAAAATAAAAAAGTTCTCACTACTATAACCAAGTTTCTAAGGTAAAAATTAATTTTCCATAAGGCATTTGTATTCCTATGTTCATTGCAGTACTATTCATAGTAGCAAAAATCTGGAAATAATTTGAGTGTCCAAAAACAGATGACTGGATAAAGAAACAACGTACTACTACTCAGCTATAAGAAAAGATGAATCCATGCAATTTGGATGATTTGGAGAGTATCATGCTGAGTGAAGTGAGTCAGAAGGAGAGGGATATATATAGAATGATCTCTCTCACATGTGGGATTATAAAGAACCATAGCAAGGGGATAAATATGGAAGACTAAGAATTGGTGAACAGAACTGAGGCTCACAAAACAGAGGGAGACTGAGATAATGATAGAGGGAATGGACACTATGGAGAGAGTGTAGAGTTGGAACACTATATGCAAGAAATCCTATCATCAAAATTATTATAAATCATGATGCCGTAAATATAAACAATTAAATTACAAATAGAAAAAGTAAAGAAATAAAAAATGATGATCAAGGTCAGAGTTTTCAAAGGGCTGGGGCGCATGTGTTGTATAGAGGAACCCAGGTTTCTATCCTAGCACACTGCCAGGTGTGTCCCAAACATCAACAAGGAAACAAGGCTTCCAGGAGAGTACTTACAGGAGGTGGTCCACAGGCGCTCTGGAGAGAAATATCTTGTGAATGATACGAAGGGAGCTGGTATTACGGAGGTCAAGGAACTGGACAAAGCCAGTTACTGTCCCTACAACTGCTGAGAGAGATGAGGGTGAGCACGCCAGGACACTTGTCTGTGGAAAGAAACCCGCAGACCCTTCACTTCATTGCACCAGAAAGGAGAACCTTTTCTCCTACAGAGGACTTCTATGGTTGACTTGTAAATCCTGAGGAATGGGAAGAGTGACAAATGCTGTACGTTTTCTTTTCTTTTTTTAAATTTTGGGCCATGCCCAAGTTGACTCCAGGCTCAATGCTTGAGGGTTCTCTCAATGGTGCACAGGGGACCATACAGTGATGGAGACTGAACACAGGTCTCCGACATGCCAAGCATGTGTTCAGGCCATTGAGCTCCCTCTCCATCCCTCATGTGTAAATTCTTACAAAGTAGTGACTCAACATTCCCAAGCTAATATATCGGTTAAGAAAACACAAGAATTGCACATCAACTTCTTGAATCCTCAAATTAGAATAAGAATATAAAGAAATTGGAATGGGGGCAGGCAGATTCCCCTCTGCCTGAAGGCAAAGCAGCCTGCAGCCATACCTCATACCCTCCAACATAGAACTAGCCCAGATCCACAAATCGAACCCCATTAAACTGCCAAGCCACCAAATTGCTCTAGAGCTATAGCTTCTGGACCACTCAGCTGCATATGGGGGTGCATAACCTCTCCAAATTTCTTAGTAATGTCAGTCCAGTAGGCTCACAGCAAATCTGATGGGACGTTGCATAAAAGCCCACCAAGCTCAAATAGCCTGAACAATAACACTGAAGGCTCAACTAGCACTACAGATGCTCAGACAATGGCTGCAGTAACACCACTGTGATATGTAACAATGATCGTCAATTGACTCTTTATTGATCTAAGTTTTGATAATTCCATTTTCCTTTGTGTTGTGACCAAAAATATGAAGTAAATTTGTCGGTGCCTGTTAGGGAGCAGACTGAGGTGGTGGGTGAGAAACTGGTAGAGGGAAGGGCAGCACATTGGTGGTGGGATTGGTGCTGGAACATTTAATGCCTGAAACAACTGTTTTATAAACAACTTGGTAAATTATAATATAATTTAAAAATTTTAAGGAAAAATAAATTTATCATTGGATTCTGGAGTCAGTCCTTAAAAAAGTAAAAGAGCTCACAGTTTCTTGATCATCTCTGGGGGCTGGAACCGGTCCTTCTCCCCACCTGGACGAGACCCCAAGTTGCCACCCATGATCAGCTCCTCCAGCTTGTGAATTAAGCTATGGCCCCTGTGCTATTCTGGGCGGGGAAGGGGCGTTGTTCCTTCCGCCTTCTTCCCCTCCATGGCATGGTGACTGCCATCTTTCAGTCTACTGGACTAAGAGGTACGAGCCTGCAGTGATGAGATATGCGGGGCCTCACGGGATGGGGGCTGGAACCAGTCCTTTTCCCCACACCAATGAGACCCCAAGTTGCCATCCACGAATGGCTCCTCTGGCTCCTGAATGGCCATGATTCCAGAGGCACACAAACCCAGTGGCTTCTGGCAGAAATCACTCTGGACTTAATTACTAAAATATCAGAAATCCAAAATTGTGTGGCCACGCAACATCATATGCTCTTCATTATTAGCAATAGAAAACAAATTATCTAATGATGCCTTCTTGGCAGGTCTGAATGTTGGGGGGAAATTCCAAATTATTATGGTAGATCTTCTGTCAAAAAGTTGAATGTAATCAAAATAGAGAGAGTAAAGTGGAAATCATCTGTCACACTAGCAGGGAAAGGGTAGGATGGGTGGTATACTGGGGTTCTTGGTGGTGGAAAATGTGCACTGGTGGAGGGATGGGTGTTTGATTATTGTACGACTGAGACTTTAACCTGAAGGCTTTGTAACTGTTATCACAATTATTGTTCTCACAGGTCTCTGTTTTTGTTTTGACTTCTGGACCACACGGGGTGATGCTCAGCTATTACTCTTGGCTCTGCACTCAGGATTACTCCTGGCAGTGCTCAGGGCACCATAAGGAGTACCAGAGATCAAACCTGGGTTGGCCGCGTGCAAGGCAAATGCCCTACCAACTGTACTATTGGTCTGGCCCCCAGAAACAGAAAGATCTTAACAGAGTATCATTTCACAGAATAGATTTTTATAGAAAGTAGACGCCGAGAACAGTCCAGCAAGTTTTGGCCCCAGAACCGCATGGCTGATGATGGAGTACAGGATCAAACTCGGGTGTCCTGCCTTGTTACAATGTAATCTCCAAACTAAAAAGCATTCGATTTTAATTTTAAAAGTTTATTTTCTGAAATTTACCTAGTTTGAACTAGCAGTACCTCAGTGTAAAACTGAAAATGAAATGGTAAGGGTTTTTTTGTTTTTTATTTTTTAATTTTAACTGAAAACCTTGAGAGCTTGGTGTCTGTGCATGCATTTGTGTATATATACGGACATGCATTTGTGCATGGGTATATGCGCTCGAACGTGTGTGTGCGCGTGTGTGTGTTTTACTTGTTGCCAGAACCCCCAAATAGCCTACTACAATACATTATATAGCACCCCAGCCTCTAGAAAGTAGCTCAAGGAAGGAGCTCATGAGTTCTATGAATCACCTGGAATAGGCACTGAGCCTCCTCTTCAGTTTCACCTCTGGTTGTAAATAGCAAATGAATTCTCTTTGGTTACTGAAAACAGGACTAATGCATGTCATTTGTAAAATTACAAGGACCTAACATGCATGAATTCTTAAAAGTGGGAGTACCATAAGCCTTTGCCATGCTGGTGCCACATACACCTATATGTACCAAGACACAAGTGCCAGAATACGCATACGCTTATGTCATGCAGATGATGGGAACACTCTTATTTCAATCTTTTGCTCACAATATTTAACTTCCAAGGCAAAAGTTTGTATAAACCTTTTCATGTTTTATCTATCTCATTCAACTATGCATCTTTTGCCTCCTCTTATGTGAAGTGTGATGATTTGTCTTATTGTATAACATACTTTAATTTCATAAAGGGCCAGGATTGTAACCTCCCTGCCTATTCCCAGGATTCAAGTCTCATCAGGAGCCCTGTTGCACATCGAATGATATTTTAAGGAGCGTTGGTATAGTTTCTTGATTCTTTTGTAGTTAAACAAGTGTGTAATCTTATCTGACTACCAGGGGCTATGGGCTCTTGTGCTTTGCCATTCAAGAGCCAGGTACCTCCTCTGGAAAGCTAAATAGCTAGTGAAAGACCATCTCTCCTCTAGCTCTCAGGACCAAATAGGATGGATTTGACTCCCATTTCCTGGGCTAAGATTTTAGTCACTTAGCATTTCTCATCTGTGATTAATGCACGGATGTTAAGACATTGGAACTGCCGGAGAGATAGTTCAAAGGCCAGGAGGCCATGCTTAGTATGAGGGAGCTCCAGGTTCAATCCTCAGCACCTCATGGTCCCACAAGCACTGCCTGGAGCAATCCCCTGAGCACAAAGATGGGAATAATAGCCCCAGCACTGCTGAGTGTGGCCCCAAATAAACAAAAGACATCAGAAGACATTTCCTTAGTCTTCTGTAAAGAAAGACTTCTCTACCTCAGGAAGCCTTATTCCCAGACACATCTGATGTGAGGATTTGGGTTCCACAGAATGAGGCCTAAATGAAAGGCCCAGTACCGAGGCAAAGAAATAAAACAAGATCCTTGGAATATAATTCAGATTGCTGAATTCAACAAATCCAAGGCCAGAAAGGCTGTGTAGTCTATAGTAGACTCGGCCAGTAAGCCCCATTTAAGCTCTTTTTGGCTCAAGTTGGTCAAAGTGACGATTTCCTTTCATTTCTAACTTGTCCCCTTGCAGTTTGAGGGCTTTAAGGTCAAGAGGGTGCTTTGTTTCTGAGTAAAAGCACTTAAAGACTAATTCAAGACCTACCATGTCTCTTCCAGATAACGTGCTGAGGCGCTACTTTCTGGGGCGAACACTGACATCTGCTTGACTCCTGAGAGACCATGTGACTGTCCACAGGGGACTCACAGCCCCAACTAAGACAGAAACCACCAGGACTTCAGAAATGACTGCCACCGCAGAGAAAGGTGCCTTGTTCTCTACACTAGGAAAATACCTATGTTCTACCTTTGTGGAATAGACTTCATAAACAAGAGCTACTCTATATATAGGTAATTAAAATGCAATAAGACAGCTGTAACAAGTATTTCCAGTCTATTACCTGTACTAAGGGGGTGAGGGCAGTGTCATTATACTTGAATTAAGTATTTTTATAAAGTCTATTTATTAAAACACTTACTGGGGTGTTTAGAAAAATCCTGCTGACATTTGAAGCATCTTCTATATTCCAAACGGAAACTTCCCCCATAGGTGAGAGGGTCTGTAAAAGAAAAAAACAAACTCCAGCTGGAAAACAAAGTTTTGTTATGAAAACATATTTTAACTCCCCTTTTCAAGTATGTCAGTCACAATGATGTTTAATATAAATTTTTATTTTACTCATGTGGATTATAATCACAACTTAGATATCAATACTTTTGATTTGAATAAACATTTTTAAATGTAGGAGTAATGCTTTTTATTCAGCTATTGATTATGCTGATTGAATTGGGCATGAACTCCACATTACTTTTTTAATTTTTTAAAAAATTCTGTAATTGAATTATCTGTGAGATAGACCATTACAAAACTGTTCATAATTGGGTTTCAGTCATACAATGCTCCAGCACCCATCCCTCCACCAGCGTACATTTCCCACCACCAATATCCCCCATTTCCCTGCCACCATCCCCCAACACCCCTACCCCTAGCCTCTGTCTATGGGAGGAAATTTCCTTCTCTCTCTCTCTCTCTCTCTCTCTCTCTCTCTCTCTCTCTCTCTCTCTCTCTCTCCTCTATCTCTCTTTTTTCCTTTTGGACATTATGGTTTGCAATCCAGGTGCCAAGATGTCATGGTGTTTGTTCAGGGCATGCAGTATTTTTATCGGGACTATAAGGCTGGAGTAGCTTTTCAGTTGGGTGGCTGCTTTGAGGTGTGGATGTGACTGCTGAGGCTTCTGGAAGAACAGGGAGGTGGGGGGAGGTAGCCCATCCTGACCCTCAAGAAAGCCTGGAGATTTCAGTCACAAAACCTGCATACCCAAGTTTTCAGCAGATTATGTCTTGGTGAGGTCGGTCCTGAGATGGTGGAGCTGGGCTGGGGATATGGCGGTGATTTTGGATTGTAGAAACTAGCGGCTGCCAGGGACTCTGATTGGGTGGGCACAGGCTAACCTGGCCCCCTCCAATTTACCCCGGACTGTTCAGCCATGTGCAGGTCTGAGCTTAACTTCGACTTTTGATCTCTTTCGGGATTTATTTATGGATCTCTGAAATAAGGCCAGTAAATGAGCTTGTATAGCTGAGCTGGTTTGTGGGAATGTTTTCCACATACCCATAACTTTTGGCCATTTAATTTTTGGTAAACTTGGCCCCAAGTTTCTGGGGTCTGGCTAAAGGCACAGCAGCAATTTCGGGGTATCAGGAAGCCTGAAGGCACCATCAGGCTGCTGGTGCACTCACTCTGCAGGTACAGATTGACCTGCTGGTGGCATCATACCCCCTTAAACATTATTTTTAATACAGTTTAATAACACATAATAAAAAAATTAGTATTAGAAAGCTAAAAGTTTCTCAGGGTAACATACTGGAGATAAAAGTGACTTGGAAATTCAATGGGATTACTGTCTAGTGACAGAGGCCAGGAATATGAAATTACACACTGCCATATTTTTAATTTCTTGACGTTTTAAAGATGTTTTAGGATGATAGAAAAATTGAGTTTTACATGCTCTACTCTTACACACACACATACACATTCACAATGTCTCCTATTATTTTTCCCTCCCCTCCCCTTCCCTTTGTTCTACTACCTGCCTTGTGGTGTTGGCAGGAGTAATATTTTCAGTATCCATGGTCTTGGTGCTTGAATATGGTTATGCCTCTGATCAAATTCGAAACCTCATACATGCAAAACAGGTGCTCCACCACTGAGTTCATTCTGGACCCAGTTTGCCCAAACAAGTAGATGACATCTACTTGTTTGGTACATTTGCTGCATACTGATAAGCCACTATTGCTGCAGATAGTGATAGTTTAACAACTTCTTTTCCAATTTGGATGCCTTTGATTTATCTTGCCTGGTTGCTATTGCAAGGACTTCCAAAACTGTATTAAAAAGTAGTGGAGAAATGAAATCCTTGTCTTGTGCCTTATCTGAGAGGGAAGGCTGCAGTTTTTCATCAATGAGCATGATGTTCATTGTTGGTTTATTATAAATGACCTTTACTATCTTGAGGTACCTTTCTTCTATCCCTATTGTGTTGAAGGTTTTATAGGGAGAATGTGCTTGTTTTGAGGCCACACCAGCCGTTCTCAGGGCTTACTCCTGGCTGACTCAGGAGATCGTATGGGATGCTAACAATTGAACCTGGGTCAGCTGCATGCAAGGCTACCCATTGTATTATCTCTCTGACCCTTATTTTTTTTCTTAATCATGTAAGGTAAACCTTGTCAAAAGCTTTCTCTCTGCATCTATTGATATGATCATATTATTTTTATCTTGCCTATTGATGTGGTGCATTAAATCAATTTATTTGTATACATTGAGCTATCCTTGCATTCCTGGAATGATTAGCCATGGTATAATAATCCCTTTGCAAAAGGGACCCTCCTTCACTGATGGTGGGAATGCCGACTTGTTCAGCCCTTTTGGAAAACAGTATGAACAATTCTCAAAAAATTAGAAATTGAGCTCCCATTTGACCCAGCAATACCACTCCTGGGAATATATCCCGGAGATGCAAAAAAGTATAGTCGAAATGACATCTGCACTTGTATGTTCATTGCTGCACTGTTCACAATAGCCAAAATCTGGAAAAAACCTGAGTGTCTGAGAACAGATGACTGGTTAAAGAAACTTTGGTACATCTACACAATGGAGTACTATGTAGCTGTTAGAAAAGATGAAGTCATGAAATTTACATACAAGTGGTACTACGTGGAAAGTATCAGGCTAAGAGAAATGAGTAGGAAAGAGAGGGATAGACATAGAAAGATTGCATTCATCTGGGGGATATAAAGTAACAAAATAGGAGATTAATACCCAAGAACAGCCGAGATCAGTACCAGGAGGATTACTCCATAGCTTAGAAGCCAGCCGGGCATTCTAGGGGAAAGGGCAGCTTAGATAGAGAAGGGAGCACCAAATAAAGGGTGTTTGGAGGATCCTCCCAGGAGGGGAGATGCATGTTGAAAGTACACTATAGACCAAACATGAATGCCAGTCAATGCCTCTTTTGCAGACCACAACACCCAAAAGGAGAGAGAGAGAACAAATGGGAATGCCCTGCCACAGAGGCAGGGTAGGATAAGGGGGATGGGTGTGGGAGGGATACTGGGATCCATGGTGGTGGAAAATGGGCACTGGTGGAGGGATGGGTATTTGATCATTGTATAATCGAAACACAAGCACAAAAAATTGTAAATCTACAACTGTACCTCATGGTGTTTCACTGATAAAAATTAAAAAAAAAAAAAGAAAGAAACTTTCGTACATCTACACAATGGAATACTATGCAGCACTTAGAAAGGATGCAGTCATGAAATTTGCAAACAAGTGATTCTACATGGAAAGTATCATGCTAATTAAAATGAGTCAGAAAGAGAGGGACAGACATAGAAAGACTCTACTCATCTGGGGAATATAAAGTAACAGAATGGGAGACAAACACCCAAAAATAGTTAAGTACCAGGAGGTCTGCTCCACGGCTTGGAAGCCGGCAGCACATGCTGGGGGAAAACACAGCTCAGATAGAGAAGGGAACACCAAGTAAAGGATTTTTTGGAGGACTCACTTGGGATGGGAGACATGTGCTGAAAGTAGACTATAGACTGAACACGATGGCCACTCAATACCTCTATTGCAAACTACAACACCCTGAAGGAGAGAGAGAGAGCAAAAGGGAATGCCCCACCACAGAGTGGGGTGGGGGATGGGGTTGGGGTGGGAGGGCTACTGGGATCATGGGTGGTGGAGAATGGGCACTGGTGGAGGGATGAGTACTTGATCACTGGATAACTGAAAACCAAACACGAAAGTTTGTAAGTCTACAACTGTACCTCAGGATGTTTCACTTATAAATAAAAATAAATAAATAAAACCTTTGCTATAATGTCGGACTTGATTCACTAAAATTTATTGAGGATCATTGCATCAATGTTTGTAAGGAGATACTAGTCTGTAATCTTCTGCTTTAGTAATATCTGTCTTGCTTTTGGCATTATAGTAATGTTGGCCTTATAAAAGCTATTAAGAAGGATTCCTGTCTCTTAAATATTTTGGAAGTGATTAAGGAGTATGGGTAGTAAGTCTTCTTTGTAGGTTTGGTAGAACTCACTAATTTGAACCAGGGATTTTGTTCTTGGGGAAAATTTTCATTACTATTTCAATTTCTTTAGTTGTGATTAACCTGTTCAGGTTTTCCACTGCCTCCCAACTCAGTCTTGGTAGGATATATGATTATAGGAATTCATCCATATCTTTTACGTTCTTCAAGTTAAAGACATAAAGTGACTCCTAGAAACCTCTTATAATATTTTGCTTCTGAGTTGTCATTTTTCTTCATTTACCTTTGACCCCTGAGCAATAGCACAGCAGGTAGGGCGTTTGCCTTGCACGCAGCCAACAAGGCCGACCCGAGCTCGATTTCTCCGCCCCTCTCGGAGAGCCCGGCAAGCTACCGAGAGTATCTTGCCCACATGGCAGAGCCTGGCAAGCTATCCATGATGTATTCGATATGCCAAACACAGTAACAACAAAGTCTCCAATGGAGACGTTACTGGGCCCGTTCGAGCAAATCGATGAACGACGGGAGGACGGTGACAAAGTGACAGTGACCTTCGACCCAGTTTTTCTTTTTTCCCCCTTCATGAGCCTAGAGAAGTTTTTGGCAATATTGTCTATTTTTTTTTAAAAAAGCTTCTGATTTTATTAACCCTTTGTATTGTTTTCTGATTGATATGTCATCAATTTCTGTTCCAGTTTATATTATTTTCTTTCCTACTTTCTTTGGGTTTTATTTGTTATATATATTCTAGTTTCTCAAGCTGTGAGGTTATTTCATTGATTTGAGTTCTTTTCTTCCCTTTCTTCGTGTAAACCTGCCTTGCTGTGCACTCAGCCCCACAGTGTTCCATGGTTTCTGACAGCTTGCACTTCATTCGTACCTTCACTCTTGTTCATTTTGAAGGAACTTTTCATTTCTTCTTTGATTTCCCCTTTGACCCAGTAATTACTTAACAGTATATTGTTTAATAGCCAGTTGTTGGCATTTTACCCAACTTTTTTTATGATTAATTTCTCTCTTTAAATGTTTGATAGAATTCACCAAGAACCCATCTGGGCCTAGTGCTTTCTGTCTTAAAATGTGACTATTAATTACTGATTCTCTTTAACAGATAAAGTCTTTTTCAAATTACCTTTTTTGAATGAGTCTTGAAAGATTGTCTTTCAAGGAACTGGTTCATTTCTGAATATCACTAAATTTGTGGGAACAGAATGATCCAGAGTACTTCTTTATTCTCCTTTTAATGTCCATTATGAAATAAGATTATGTTGGTTTCATTTCTATTATTAGTAATTTGTGTTTACTGCCTCAAATTAACCTGGTTAGAAATTTATCAATTTTATCATCTTTTCAAAGAAACTTCTTGATTCTTATATTTTTGGTTTTCGTTTTTATTTTCTTTTTGCTCTGATTTTTATTATTTATTTTCACCTGTGAAATTTGAATTTAACTTTTTCTTCTTTCTACTTTAAGAATGGAAGCAAGGAACCTACTGATTTCATTGCTCTGGGGAATCACGTCTGGAACCACTGAACCAGGCAGTGTCAGACTGAGTCTGGCATTTCCCACCTGCGAGGCATTTGCTCTTTCACTAAAGCTATATCCTCAGGTACCCAGATCGTTGATTTCCATTTGTTTGTTTGGGGGCCACACCCAGCAATGCACAGCACTTATTCCTGCACACAGGAATTACTCATGGCAGTGATCAGGGGACAATATGGGATGCAGGGAATGAACCCTGGCAGGCCTTATGCAGGGCAAGCACCCTACATGCTGTACCATCTCTCTGGCCCCAGATCATTGACTTTAAAGTCCCTTCTTTTCCAATGTGTGCTAGCATTCAATGCCATATATTTCTCTTAAAACACTACTCACCCACAAAATCCCACACGTATTGAAAAATTGAATTTTCTACTTGCTTTAAGTGTTGCCTAGTATTGCAGTTAATGTAAAGAGCTAAAATTTCCTCTGGGAGTCCTTAATTTTACTTCCTTTCTTGTTACAAGATTTCCCTTGAGATTACCTGTATAAAGACTCGGATGTGCAGTTTCCCTCTGCTATAATCCCCTGGTCCAGCAGAAATTCCTATTTCTGGGCATCTGCTATAGGAGATGGCGTTCCTCAGTGACAGTTTGTCCGTGTCTAACATTTTGTAGAAAGTATTTTGCCCTACAATCTCAATTCTCTGGTGAGTCTAAGATTTTTGATTTTAAGAGTGTGCAGGATTTTTTTCCTGTTATGAGGCTTCTTACCTGACATACTAGAAATCCATGGTTCATATTGTTATCTTTTAAAAATAACTTTTATTCTTTTATAGGATCAAGACTGAACTCAGTTCAAAGTAACTGCAATGGGATACTATTTAAGTGCTATTTCTTGAATACTATGGAAGAAGAAAGAAGGATCGAGCCTCTAAATCCTAAACAAAATTTTTGTATGTGTTTTGTTATTAGCTGAAAAATCATTAATAATTAGTCATTCTTTGGAGATGTGTGAGCTAACCATGCAGTGCTCAGAGGCTATTACTGGATCTGTGTTAAGGAGTGACCCCTGGAAGTGCTTGGGAGGAACCATAAAAGGAGCTGGGTATTTGAACCAGGGCTGGCTTCATGAAAGATAAGTATGCTGTATCCCTTGTATTATCTCTCCAGTTCCCCAAACATATATAATTCTTATCAGTGAACATCTCAAAGAAAAAACCATGTAGTCAGATTTCAATATTCTAAGAAGCCCTAAATTTTATTTGTTCTATTGCCTATGTATTTTTTTTACTACAACCCCCAACCTTAATGTATTTGTTAATAATCTTTAAAGTGAAAGGGTTTTTTAAGCTTGACCAAAGTCAAACAATTAAATATCAGAAAAAGTGTCCTCTGGTGAATGTTTCAATATCAGACTTGAAAAGCCTAGATGGTGGATACCAAACAGGATGGTGTCTAAAATTTCAACTATTTTGGCCGTTTTCAAAGACTCACTTTCATAAAGTCACAACATGAAGACTCTACTAACTGGAGAGTAAGATTTGATAATGGAAGTGATAGACATTTCTATCATATTTGTCTCCTACTTACATTAGGTTGCAGAGAAACTTACAAAGTTTCATCTTTGAATCCTACTGTAGGACTAGAGTGATAGTACAGGGGTTAAGGTGTTTGCCTCGCATGCAGTCATCCAATTTGATGAAACTTGAGCACAGAGCCAGAAGTAAGCCCTGTATACTAACACGCGTGGCCCCAAACAAACAAAACAACAACAAAAAAGTAGACTTTAAAATCCTTCTGTGAAGCGATAGTCTATGCCTTACCAAGAATTCATGTCCAGGTATGATAAAGTCGACTGAGTGAAATTTATCTTCACAAGATTCTAGGATTTTATCAAGGACTGGCTCTTCAGTCAAAGTGCAAATATATACACATCCCTGAAAGAGAGAGAGACAGAGAGAGAAAGAAAGAGAGAGAGAGACAGAGAGAGACAGAGAGACAGAGAGACAGAGACAGAGACAGAAAGAGAAGAAAAATATAATTATGTAGGTAGTTACATATTCACTAAATCAAAGATAAATTCTGGAAGATCCTGGCCATAAAGAACTTAGAACCTAGATTTTAACTTGTCATTCATCATTTTTTAAAAATCGATGAAAAAAAATAGGACTTTCTGGTTTTCAACTCTAAGTATTTTTTAATTTACAAAACTGAACAAAATACTCTGTTCTGAATTTCAAAAATAATTGTCTATTCATGTAGAAAATCTAGAACATTGGGAAAGTTGTTCAGATTAACCAAATCCTATCATTTACTAAAGCATGGTGGGCACAAATGAAAACTTTTAATATCTCTGTGGAAACTGTGATGTGACTGACTGTCACTTTTTGACTTACCATTATTTTCAGATCCTAAATTTCCCATTTGGCAAAATCCTATCATCTCTACCAAGTAACTATGCTATGTGATATGATCACTGCTCTGGCAATCAGAGGTCTGCTTTCGACCAGTCATGAGTTCTTCAATTCATGAGTTGAATATAAATAGCTTTGCTCTTGTTTACTTAAAAGTTATAACTCCCTGGCACCTCCAAATTGGTAGATAATTGCTGGTTTTCATGTTTTATTTATTATTGTTCGGAATTGTTCTAAAATCTGGACAAAAGAGATCCAAGTCAAAAATTTCTTTTTTTCCCCTTATACTTATATTTTTAAAAAGGTACTTCTCAATAGGTATAAGTCCAGGTGATTGTTCTCTTATTTCACTACATGGGGGTCAGCAAACGTTGTCTGTAAATTAACAGATATGCTAAGCTTTGCAGAATATGTGAACTCTGTCACAACTACGTAACTATACATAGAAAATACATTTAAAATTGGTGTGACTGTGATTCAAATAAAACTTTATTTACAAAAACAAGCAGCAGACTGTTTCTGACCCATGAAGCCATAATTTGCTTGATGACCACTCTGGAAATTATCATTTGACCATTCTCTTTTTGGCATTACTGCACCAGAGAAGTTATTTGTTAGTCTAGTCTAAAGTCCCTTTAAACGACCTTTTATTTTGTGCCATCCCTTTGCTTTAAGATGTTCTTCTCTGTCTTTAATTTTCAACAAATTAATTTTGTTTAATCTAAAGTATAGATATCTTTTTATGCCCCCCTCCTTGAATTTGTTAGGCTTCTTAAATTGTTGATTCATGTAATCAGTTATGGAAAAAAATTCCAGCTAATGTTGCTTTAAATATTGCCTGTGCCCTACTCTCTTGCCTTTCTGAGGTTCAAATCAAACATACGTTAGATCTTTTCACTATTAACTTTTTTTTTTTTTTTTGCTTTTTGGGTCTCACCCAGCAATGCTCAGGGATTACTCCTGGCTCTACATTCAGGAATCACTCCTGGCGGTGCTCGTGGGACCATATGGGACTCTGAGAATCGAACCCGGGTCGGCCGCCTGCAAGGCAAACACCTTACCCGCTGTGCTATTGCTCCAGCCCCTCACCATTAACTTTCATGTCTCTTTCACACTTATATTTCCTATCCTTTGGTATCTCTGGACTATATTCTGGAAACATCTTCTGGTGCATTATCTAGCTCATTTATTCTTTAACTATGTCCATTCTTCTGTTAAACATATTTATTTAATTATTATTTAGTACATTTTTCTATAAATTTCTACTTGAATGTTATGGTTTTTTATTGTTTCCTACTCCCCATAGATAATTTGAGTTTGTCATTTATCAAGACATAGCACAGACTATCAGAAACTGAAATCTTTCCATGCTTAAAATTCCTCTAGGTAGAAAACTATTCACATTTATTTGCAAGACAGCTAAAATCTTTACCTAACAATATAAAGTACTGCTCACCTTGACCTTTGAGGATTATATCATTAATTAGAAGCTTTTCTAATGGTACAATTGAGGTGAACATTATTTTTTATCCTGAATTTATTTCTAATCTCAACCCCCACCTCCCACCCGCCTTCCACCCTTCCTTTCTTATAGAAACTGTATTTTCCTTCGACAAGTATCTTTATATGTCCAATAACAGCCTGTATCTGGGTATTTTAAGCCTTCCCAGAATCTAATGGTAAGCATGTGACTTTATGTTCAATCCACTCAGGGTTTAGAATCTCCTTGAACTGACCCACTAGTAAGAGAAGTGCTTCAAGTTAGTCTAATGAGCCTAGACCCCAGGGCTTATTTCCCAGAAGGCATTTTTCATCAGGTCACTAAAAGGACAGAGCCTGGGGAGTTTTCAGGAGTCTCTCCTGATACCAAACAGAGTGAGTGCATGAAAAGGGAGGCAGCAGATAGGAAAGACAGGCAATAAATGACAGAGAAAATTAAGTGGCCCCACTGTAGCTACCTGGCTTCATTGAACTTCCTGGTACATCAATTACAAGCACAAAACAAATAAAATTCCTTTGTTATTTAGCCTTTTAAATGGATTATTTATTTTCATATGAAGCCCCTAACAAGTTCTGGATAGTAGGGAATCAAGCAACACACTCTACTTTCATCTGTCACAATGTCTGAGGGAAAGGATACAGTTAATAGTAGAGTGTATACACCATAAATTCATTCCTCAGAAACTAATAGTAGGGACCAGAGAGACAGTACAGTGGGTAGGGAACTTGCTCTGGTATCCCATGTGGTCCCCTGGGCACTGCCAGCAGCAACTCCTAAAAAGAAACCCAGGAGTAACCCCTGAGAATTTCTCGGTGTGGCCCCAAAACAGAACAAAACAAAAAAGAAATTATATTAGTAACAATAACAATAAAATAACTGAAAAAATTATCTCAAGAAATCACTATATTTTTTTAAGGAATCACTATTTAGCATACCTTACTTGTCTGTAACAACAGCATTTTGTAATTAGGAGAAAATGTCATATATTGCAAAGATTCTTCAACCTCAAAAAAATCTTTGACAGTACAATTAAAATCTTTAATAGTACAAGAATATATTAAGCCATCCTAGAGACAAAAAATGAGATAAATGCAAAAAATCAGTCAAAGAATATTATAGTTTCCTTATCAGACAAGTTACAACTTATTGATCACTATCTATTGTTTGTTTTTAGAATTGTCATCTATGTTTGCATGGTCCAGAATGTGCTGTACTGTTACCTTTCTTAGGTAACTTTTTACCATGTTATTCAGCAAAGTTTCAATTTTATCTCTTTAGTAATATGTTTTTTGGAGTACCTAAATTTTTATTGAACTCTCCTCTCTGAGAACTTCTTTAGCATCTATCTTACTATAGCCTTCATTACACTGAAGGTGGACCAAAAGAGCGAGAGTTTATTGTGGCTTATTCAGAACAATCACCTCACTTCAAAGGACTCTAGTTAATGCCTGTTATTTAATGCGCATTTCTTAGATGACCCAAAGGTAGGGACTATGATGTTTGCTCCTTAGTTTTCTCCTTATCTATTCTCAAACATGGCTAAAATCAGCTCAAGATAGTTGGTGGTCAGATACAGATTTAAGTTGATTGAAACTATTCTCAAGGTGTGTTTTTTTTGTGGGGGGGGGAAGAGGGGCAGGTTGGGGTTTTATGTGATTTATTTTGGGTTTGCGGGGCTTGGGCCACGCCTGATGGTGCTCATGGCTTACTTCTGGCTCTATGCTCAGGCAAACACCCAAGCTGTTGTACTATATTTCCAGTCCCACTTTTTCTTTAAATTGTAAAGAAGGTTTGGACAAATTCACCCATCATTTACAGATCAGTCAGATCCTATTATAATTAATAGTATTTGCAGAATGGTTGAGGCACTTAGGACTTGAGGATTAAGGAGAGTATATTCAAGATACTTTAGCCACGCTCACCACCACCTTTCCTTCTTTGCTAGAGCAGGTAAATGCAAATTTCTTTAAATTACGATAGCACAGCGGAAAGGCATTTGCCTTGCATGCAGCCAACATGGCCGACCCGAGTTCGATTCCTCCGCCCCTCTCGGAGAGCCCGGCAAGCTACCGAGAGTATCTCGCCCGCACGGCAGAGCCTGGCAAGCTCCCCGTGACATACTCGATATGCCAAACACAGTAACAACAAAGTCTCACGATGGAGACGTTACTGGGCCCGCTCGAGCAAATCGATGAACAACCGTGACCATGAAATACTAAGCATAGCCACGCAGAGGACAAGAGTCATAAAAAGCACAAATGCAGATTAAATAGGGAAGGCAGTTTGTTTCAATATGGGACACTTGTAGGTTGCGTGAGTTAGTGTTCATAATGAGATAAGTTTATGAACTCCAGATTGCTTCTCATTGGTAGAACTACAACTCTTACCTTGAATACATGGCCTGGCATCCCTCAGAGTCCTGGAAATGTGATATGTGCATTAGAGACAAAGCAAATAGGGGTCTCTAGAGAGATGCCAGTGGACCTGGGTGTTGGTTGGTTCACTACAAACCTCAGCAACAATAGATGACATGAGCAAGGAAAAGTAATAAAAGAATGACCCCTTTTGCTGGTTGCTGAAACCATGTGCTCTGACAAATCTGAGCAAAAACTTTGGAATTTGACACTCCTCAGTTCAAGTCCTAGCCTCTCTCCTTATTGGCTGTAAATACTGAGAGACTTGGTTCCTTTATCTGCGCAATATCTGACTAGCACAATCCTTGGGAGAACCAATGAGAATGTAAAAACCAAGCACCAAGCTTGATGCCTCGCACAAGAAGATGAAGGTTATCAATATTAATTAGACTATAAACACTAAAACATAGAGGACATTGACTTAAATGAGCATGTACAAGGGGATAAGCTGAAGTCTGGACAAAAAGTCCATTTGTGACTGAACTCAAATATCAAGTGTACAATTAGGCATGTTATTGATTGACAGATACTGGATATTTGGTGTTAGCTTTGTTTTGTGAGCTTTATTATTGTTTTGGGGGGAGGTGGGGGCACACCCAGCAGTGTTCAGGACTGACTCCTGTATCTATGCTCAGGAATCACTCCGGGCAAAGCTTGGGAAAGCCAGGGATTGAATCCAGGTTGGCTACATGCAAGACAAGAGCCCTACCTACTATACTATCTCTGAAGACCCAGGGATACATGTAGGTTTATAAAATTCTATTTTTATTTACTTGTAAAAAATAAGTATATGAACATTCATTTTAGCATTCTTTTACATATTTTAAAATTCATGTTGAAAAATTTTGTCATATCATCCTACAAAAAACAACCTTAATTAATACATTTGCAGAATTTGACATTCCAAACTCAGACTCATGATTCTATATGGTAGCAAATTAAATTATGTATATATATATTTAGAATTTTTTGAATTAAAAATACATTACAAGTCCAGAAGCAAGCATTCCTCCCTTCTGATATACCATAGTCATTGGAGCCATCAGAGTTTTATCTAGATTTGGAAAAGAAAGTGAAGGTAAAACAGGTGCCATGGAATTAAAAATGCAGTACAAAGTAATTCATTTCATTTGTTTTTCTAGAAATATTCATTCCATTTCAAAAATCATCTTCATTTAAGAATATAGGTAGTAATGTATTCCGACTAATGAATAATAAAAACTTCTTATACAAATCACAGGAGTTTTTAAAAGTTCATCAGATCTACGTAACTAACATTGTGGAATTATATAACATATGCATTTTTAGTTTTTAGGAAAACATTCAGATTTTAACAGGTCAGATAAAACTAAAACTACATTATCAAGCTGCAAGTAGTAAGTAATATGAAATAAATTTGACATATACCTCCCCAAAACTTTAACTCCTTATAAGACTATTTTGAGGATTACATAAAACATGCAATTAGAATGATATCAGAATGCCTAGAACACAGAACACTTAATAAACATTAAGTATCTATAAGGAATACCCACAGGAGAAGGCAACTAAGTAGAGAATAAAAGAGAAGGAGGAATAAATATGTCTTTTTTTTCTGTTTGAGTCACACCTGGTGATGCTCAGGGGTTACTCCTGGTTCTGCACTCAGGAATTACTCCTGGCAGTGCTCAGGGGACCATATGGGATGCTGGGAATCTAACCTGGGTTGGCCGCGTGCAAGGCAAACGCCCTACCCGCTGTGCTAGCATTCCAGCCCCAGGAATAAATATGTCTTTAAGAGAAAAATATATCGTCAACTGCAGGTTGATGTTGGCTACACTTCTGGGCAAATGAAGCAAAGCCTTTTCTTACTCTTTAGAGAGTCTTCTATCATATTGAGGATAGTCACTTGTGAGCTTTCTCCATTAAACACTAAAATAAGACCCTCTTCAGAGCCAATATATAGGTCGCTTGATGGAGTCCAGCAATGCACAGTAGGATGAATTAAAGAAAACAAATCGTCTTTAGGCTTCAGGAAAAGATAAAAATTTTGTGTTAACAACAGTACCATAGTTTAAGTACCAGAAAAATAGCTATCAGAATAATTTCTGAAAATAAACACATAAATTTCAACCTACATACATTCATGGGTCCTGCTATCCCCCAGAACTAAGGGAGAGACTTCCTTGCTCCCTCTCTCTTTATTCCCCACCCCACCCCCATTTTGTTTTATTTTCTTTTTCAAAATTTTTTATTAGTGAATCACCATGAGGTACAGTTACAGACTTACAAACTTTCACGCTTGTGTTTCAGTCATACAATGATCAAGTATCCATCCTTCCACCAGTGCTCATTTTCTACCACCAATGGTACCAGCATCCCTCCCACCATCCCACCCCGTCCCCTCCACACCTCTCTCTCTCTCTCTCTCTCTCTCTCTCTCTCTCTCTCTCTCTCTCCTTTTGGGTGTTGTGGTTTGCAATAGAGGTATTAAGTGGCCATCATGTTCAGTCTATAGTCTACTTTCAGCATGCATCTCCCATCCCGAGCGGGCCCTCCTAGCACCCTTTGCTTGGTGGTCCCTTCTCTAACTGAGCTGCCTTTTCCCCCAGCAGGTAAGGCCGGCTTCAAAGCTGTGGAGTAAACCTCCTGGTACTTATTTCTACTATTCTTGCCCACCCCCATTCTAATTCGCCAGAAAAAAAAAGTTTTTGCCACAAATCAAGTTCTATTGTCACAAAATTTTGTGAAAGTTATGAGTAATAACGTTTAGACTTTTTCTTGGTGGACTTTATTAATTTTAATCTCAAAAAAGTCATTGTCTGATTAAAATCATTCCTTTGGGGGAAAACTTGTCAACATTTCTCTCCCGGCTCTCGGCAGAGATGAATGTGGTTTTCCTTCTGTTGCTGTGGAGACCTTGGCCTCCCTCATCTGCAGGGGTAGTTTCCATGGAGCATGAACAGAAGATTTCTTGTCCTTTTCTTGCTATTTCTTTCATTAATCTCAGGAAACATCTGACTAGATTTTGTTCTTTTTCTGGGGGGCCTCGCTGTGTTCAGGGCTTAGTCTGGCTCTATGCTTAGGGATCACTTCTAGCAGTGTTTGGGGGATATTTGCAGTGCAGGGTTCAAACTGGGGTCAGCTGCACACAAAACAAGTGACTAAAACTCTGACCCTGACCTGATTTTGACTCCATAAAAAACTCAAAGAGAACGTACAAAATATATGGAATGTGTCTAAAAGAAAAGCTGGCCTAGGTGATGAAAAAGAACAGGTACCTACTCCATCACCCCTCCCTTTTTTTCACTACACTTGAAATATAAAGGAGGAAGAAGAAAGGAGGAAGAGGAGGAGGAGGAGGAGGAGGAGGAGGAGGAGGAGGAAGATTACAAAAACATCCAAAGTAAAAAGAAAAACAAAACTCTGCCTTCAATGGCAATACCCCAGTGTGTCCCACAAGGGAGAGAGAGGCTTTTCTGTCTGCAGAGGGCAGGGCTCTGAGGATGCCTAGAACCACTTTGCTCTGGTTCCTGAAGGTTTAGATAGCTGTGACTGCTATTACGGGCTTGTGTCCCTCATAGCATTAATATTTAATTCCTGGTTTGTGTACCATACCTGGTGTTCAGGACTTACTCTTGGCTCGGTGCTCAGGGATACAGGGGTACAGGGGCTTGAACCCAGGTCTGCTTGCAAGACAAGCGCCATCCCTACTGTATTATCTCTCTGGCCCTGATTAACATTTTTAGAACTATGGTATCCCTTTCTTTCTATTTAAACAATCTCTCCCTTTCTCTCTCTTTCTCCCTCCCTCCCTCTTACCTCTCCCATAACATGTAGAGCTACTAATGTGGTATATTATTGTTTAGAATTTCATTAACTACATGTCTATTTTTACCCCTTAGTTATTCTTTGCCCATTAAAACAGAAAGCACTCCCCTCCATTTATTATCACTCACCCATCATTATTTTACAATATTATAGAATTTCTAGCATACCATAGACATTTTATTGGTGGGAAGTTGGGTCTCACTTGGTGGTGCTCAGGGCTTACTCCTGGCTCTGTGCTTAGGAGTGACCCCTGGCAGTGCTCAGAGAACCATATAAAACTGTGGGAGATCAAACCAGTTTTGGTCATGTGCAAGTTCCTTAACCCTTATACTATTTCTCTGACCCCCCAAAAGAATTTAAATAAGCTATTTGTCAAATTAACAGGAGTCTAAATTTCTTGAGTGTTCCATGTTTATTGCATTCTTTCAGTTTGCAATTTATCTAACAAATAGTAGACACGTAACATTTAGGCACATTCTAGGCATAGGAAATCAGCAGTGAAGAAAACAAACCAAAAAATCATGAATTTCAAGGATCTTACATCTTGGTGGTAATAAGAAACAGAGTGAAAATAAGAAGTTAAATGTATAGAATGTTGGCTGAAAATGCTATGGAGAAAAATTAAATGCTGGAATTGGCTCCAGATTTGGAGAACAGTGAAACCTGTAATTTTTCATTCAAAGTTCTTCAGAGTATGAAAATGCCACCTTTCTAATAAATACAAAGTTATCTAAATAGTAAATACTGCATTAAAACATAGGGAAGGTTTTTAGATACAAGATAAACCTGGGGTAGTATTGCCAAAGTAACTAGTTCTAATTTTTAGGTTCTCAATTGTATAAATCTGTTGTGTAATTTTAACAGATATCAATTGTTGGTTATGTACTAGGCAATGTGCCAAGATTGAAGGGTCAATTTTCTCAGTAGGATAACCCCTACTGAAAAAATTATCAAAAAATACCAGAATTACAAAATATGGGAGGGTAACATCAATGAGAAAGCAACTGGTTTCTGGTGAAGGAAGCATAATCAATCAAAAACAGTAATGTGAATTCTGAAAATTCTGAGAATCACTAAAAAAGAGGTGCCAATCTAGTTTTAAAATATTTTTTGAAATATTTCTGGGGAAAGAGCACATGCCTGATATACTCTAAGACCCTGAGTTTGATGCCTGGCATCACCTGACCCCCTAAACACCTCTGGGGATAGACTTGGAGGTCTCCAAACACCACTGGTTCAAACTTTAGGCTTGCACCAGTAGGCTAGGCCCTGCAGAGCATGGATATTATGAGAGAGAGAGAGAGAGAGACAGAGAGAGAGAGAGAAAGAGGGATTAGTAATAGAATATTTGTTGAAAATGCTACCCCACTGTTCAGTTACCTGAAATCATAAATCAAACATTTGGGTCACTTGAAATTCAAACATGAACAATTCATGTACAACTCCTTCATGTTGCTTAAAAATTCATTAGTACTTGAATAGGTCTTGAAAACAGGAGTTCATAAAAGAGATTTATACTCAGCAACTTGTTTTTAAATGTTGGGGGCAGGAGAAGCAAGAAAGGAAACTCCATACACTTGAGATTCATTACCTGGGATCCAGTTTCTTCCCAGGTAACATCTTTGATTTCCCCCTTCCACAGAGGATGCTGTTTATCCTGCCCTAAATAAGTGTGTTCTGTGACAGAGGCCTATTTATTTATTTTTGGTTTGGGGAGCCACACCCAGATAGCTCAGGGATCACTTCTGGCTGTACTCAGGAGACCATTTGGGGTGCCAAGAATCAAACTCAGGTTTGCCCTGTGTGAGGCAATCACCTTACCTTCTGCACTCTCTCTCTGAGCCCCAACAAAGGCTTATTTTAATGCCTGCATAATGTGCTCTTCTAATATTAGCTTCAAGTGGTCATGGGTACAGGAATGTTTGTAATTTTTAAGATATATATATAATTCAAGTCATTACTGCCCGGCAGGCTGCTGAGAGTGTCTCGCCCGCACAGCAAAGCCTGGCAAGCTACCCGTGGCGTATTCGATATGCCAAACACAGTAACAACAAATTCGCACAATGGAGATGTTACTGGGCCCGCTCGAGAAAATCGATGAACAATGGGAGGACAGTGACAGTGACTAATTTCTTTGCCATTGGTGTCCAGGTCACATAAATGCCATCCAAAGGGAAGAACAGAATCAAGAAATTTGAGTCATTCTCCTTGGTTTGTTTATCCATGAGGAAAACATAGCATAAAAAAATAAATTTCTAATTTAAATGCCAGCCTCTGTGTGATTTAGAGATGTCAAACTTTAATGTTAATTTTTTTTTCTAAAATAAGGTTAAAATATACTGAGTACAAGATACCTAGGAAATCCCTCTATTTATAAGCATGTGAAAGATGAGGGCTCCTATGGAAATTTATTGCAGAAAAATAAAAAATATTTGAGATAGTTGAAAAATTGAGGTCCAGAACATCAAACATTAAACACAGAGCCATTTTTTTCAAACTGAAGTTTAAAGCCTGATGTGTATGTTTGGACTCTGCTGCCCCAGTGTGGCTAAGAATGGCTAAGATCTGTGCTATGAAAAGGGACAAGTCGTTTTCTGTAGTTAAGCAACTGAATAATTATCATCCTTTAAAGTGGCATTTTCCAGACTTCTTGCACTTCATGCCAGCACCCATCCTGCATATCAGTCCACGAACCAACAGCTATAACCAGGGCTGTAGACAAGTGGTTTTTGACCTTTCTTGACTGAGAACTGGTATAGGCCCATGGATCGATGATTGGAGACTGCCACTTTAAAAGAATAAGTGCATACAGTCTCTTATGCCAGAGATTTTTAAAAACAAGCTTATTACCACAGTACTTGCCACAAATAAGAATTATTTTTAACATCTAGAGTCATGATCAAACACATTTGAGAACCTCTGCCTCTTCATCCATGGCTTGGAACTTTCATACAAAGGCCAGTACAGCAGATCACAGAAGTTTAGCAGAACCAACCTCATTTCCTTCATACCACAGGTACTGCATATGCTCATCTCTTGAACATCACTTCTTCCTCATCTCCCTTCATACACTGTGCTCAAGCCTCTGATCTTTTCTCACCTCCAGCTCCTCTGATATGCTGATTTCTTCCCATGATCTTTGCACATACAGTTTCCTCTGCTGGTACCCTTTCACCCTGTTAGTGGCAGGATGAAGGCCTCCTTGTCCTTCAGAACTTCTCTCCAGATTCTTTCTCCCTTCTCCCTCTGTCCCTACCATTCCACTCCCAAATTTCTTTCTCTTTCTTTCTTTCTTTCTTTCTTTCTTTCTTTCTTTCTTTCTTTCTTTCTTTCTTTCCTTCTTTCTTTCTTTCTTTCTTTCCTTCTTTACTTCCTTCTTTTCTTTCTTTCTTTCTTTCTTTCTTTTTCTTTCCTTCTTTCCTTCTTTCTCTTCCTTCCTATCTTTCTTTCTTTCTTCTTTCCTTTCTTTCTTTTTCTTTCTTTTTTCTTTTTCTTTATACCTTCCTTCCTTCCTTTCCCTTCCTTCCTTCCTTCCTTCCTTCCTTCCTTCCTTCCTTCCTTCCTCTCTTTACTTTCCTCTCACCTTCCCTGTCTTTCTCCCTTCTTTCCTTCCTTCCTTCCTTCCTTCCTTCCTCTCTTTACTTTCCTCTCACCTTCCCTGTCTCTCTCCCTCCCTTCCTTCCTTCCTTCCTTCCTTCCTTCCTTCCTTCCTTCCTTCCTTCCTCTCTTTACTTTCCTCTCACCTTCCCTGTCTCTCTCCCTCCCTCCCTTCCTTCCTTCCTTCCTTCCTTCCTTCCTTCCTTCCTTCCTTCCTTCCTTCCTTCCTTCCGCTCTTTACTTTCCTCTCACCTTCCCTGTCTCTCTCCCTTCTTTCCTTCCTTCCTTCCTTCCTTCCTTCCTTCCTTCCTTCCTTCCTTCCTTCCTTCCTCTCTTTACTTTCCTCTCACCTTCTCTCACCTTCCCTGTCTCCCTCCCTCCCTCCCTCCCTCCCTCCCTCCCTCCCTCCCTTCCTTCCTTCCTTCCTTCCTTCATTTCCTTCCTTCCTTCCTTCCTTCCTTCCTTCCTTCCTTCCTTCCTTTCCTTCCTTCCTTCCTTCCTTCCTTCCTTCCTTCCTCTCTTTACTTTTCTCTCACCTTCCCTGTCTCTCTCCCTTCCTTCCTTCCTTTTTCCTTTATTTCCTTTCCCCTGCCTCTCTTCCTTCCTTCCGATCTTGAAAGCCACTTCCAGTATTCTTGGCCAGCTGTGCCAGTGGTTCAGTGCAAAGGCCTAAGAATGTGTTGCTGCTTAGGCACCGCAATTCCAGGAGCCACCCCAGCAACAGTCAGGGGATGTGGTACCAGGATCAAACCCAGATTGGGTAGCCTGGGTTTACCTGAGCAGCAAAAGTTACTCTCTTCCACATTATTACCATAGAATAGTTCCATGATCACACTTGGCATTGAGCTAACATATCTTCTCTTTGGGTGCTGCTGCTGTGTTCTTGCTCAGTCTCCCTGAGCAAACTCAGGAAGTGGGATGTGGCGCATGCAACAGTGCTGCTACCTAGGAGCCTGCAAATTCCTGGAAATACCTGTGGGAATGAGTGTGCCATTCTGTCGGCAAGCTCCCCATGAGCTTTCTTTCCACTCTCTTTCTCGGTTTCATTCTCTCCTGGATTTGCTCTTCCTTTTGTGACTCCTTCTTCTCCGACTGTCCTCCCTCACACAAGTGGCCATCTGTTTCTTCTCCAACACATTGCCCATCACCCCTGCCCCAGCACTCCCACCGTCCTCTCTGGGTAACGACCCAGACAACGTGTCTCCAGCCTGGACTCCTCCTGCCAAACACCAAGTCACTTCACTATCACTCATCCAGCACCCCAACCAGACTAGCCTTCCCCGTGCCCCAAAGTTGGGATTCTCAGAACTGAACTCACACCTGGATACCCTGTTCTCCCTCTCACATGGGCTAGAAACTCAGAGTCCATTACTCAGCCACTGAAAACCAGGACGGTGCTCTCAAGCTAGCTGGTCTCAAGGGATGGTTGCAAGAGGCGCCAAGGAGCAGGCAGAACAAGGGGCCAGGCGATTACCTTGAATGTTTCTGCCTCTTTGTCCACGAGCCCAGCAATGGCTGACAGTGGGAGCACCGGACCATAGATCAGGTCCTTGGGCAGCGACTGGGGGAAAACATTGTCTGTCTCATTGTCAAAGGTCCCATCTTCCAAAGGCAGTTTTATTGTTCTAGAGTAGAAAGAGAATAATCGGACTGACAGAAAGAAGTGTGAGTGGTAAGCAAGGTGGGGACTTGGTGTCACTCACAGCCAGTCAACCAGGGAGCAGATTCCAAAATATAGACTCTGTGGCTGGGTGTTTGCTCCAGATGCCAGAACCCAAGTCTGAACCTGGGCACCAAGCAACAAAGGGTGTGGTCCTGGAGTCCCCCAGTTCTGCAGGACCCAAGCAACTCTTTATCCTCAGAACAGAGTGATGAATTTCCCAGCACCATTGGTCAATTATCTCCAGGGATGACCCCCAACCCCTGAGAACTTGGGAGGACTTCCCAAAAAGAAATAATAGAGACTAAAGGCCAAGTAACATGCTGTTATAAATTAAGCCCATAGGGATTTTTGTTTGTTTATGTAGGGGCTACATCCAGAGGTGCTCAGGACTTACTCCTGGCTCTGTGCTCAGGGGTAATTCCTGGCAGAGTTAGGGAGACCATCTGGGGTGCTGGGGGATTGAACCCAAGTTTGTAAGGCAAGCACCCTACTCAATGCACTACTATCTCTTCAGCTCCTTAAGCCAATATGTATTTTTTGTTTTAATTTCCAAAGTTATTGTCTAAAGCAGAAATTTGACCTTTAAACACTGATAGGGGTCTGGCAGGTAATGTCCACCAGCTGGGAACTGTGACCAATGGGTAACAGTTTTCCCTTGAGGGAGCAGTAGCCACAGTCAAAGCGTTTTCCAACAAGTGAGATTTTTGATCACAAAAGTCAAAGATACAACCATAATCTGTATATTTAGAAAAATCTCAAACTTTACACATTGGCGACTAATTCAAATAAAAAATACTATGGACTAAAACAAGCCTGTGTGGAGGTTATTCGTTTGAAAACTCGGTCTTGGAGATTCGTTTTCAAATGTCCTACCAATCTACAAAAAGAGTAGCATAATTTGGAAAAAATTATGATATAAAAACATTACCTGCTACCCCAACTCAGACACAAGTATTTTTGAAGCCTGTTTTGCTTTCTAAACCACAGCAACCCACTTATTTTGTCTCCCACTTGATTTATCATGGAAAAGTCACTCTGCAACAGTTGGAACAAAATATCCCAGGAAAGGAAGAGAAGGAAAGTTGGGCTAGATGACTTGCCCTCCCCAAAGGGATCAAGGAGAGCCCTCTCTCCGTTCAGGAACAGGTTATGCTGTCAACTCTACCTAGAGACAGATCAGGCTGTTCAATGATGCTTGTAAAAAGGAAATGAAAACATAAAGTGTATTGGCCAGGAATAAGTGCCTTTCTGAGGACCCTCCATTTAGAAAACTTTATTGGCTGGTTTTATCGTTCTCTTAAAAAAGCAGTTTTTTAAAAATTGCGGTTTCAAGGAAGCACATGTCTAATGTCTTTGTCTTTAGCCTGGTACTTCTTAGAGTAGACCAAGAGCATTAAGTCATTTAATTCTTTTTCATAAATGGACATTCTATCACCATTCATAGCATAATTTCTCTTTGATCCAGTTCTATTTAAGCAAGTAACTTCCATGACTCCACTATCTGGAGCTACCCTTTTTGATTATAGATAATGATACTGAAGAGATAACATTTATATATTTTTCATATCTGAAAATTTCTTTTTCTTTTTTTGAGCAGAGCATTAAACTTATAGCCAAGAGTCCTTTATATATACTAAGCATATTTTGAAGAAGTAACTGGGCCCGCTCGAGCAAATCAAGCAAACATACATCAAAGTTTGGGAGATTAAACATGGTTGGAAAAAGTTGTAGGAAGACTTAATATTTAGAAGAAAGTCATGGGGAAATCAAGTAATAGAGAATCTTTCCAAAGTGCAAACAATATCAACATAATTATACATGCCAAAATTCTGAATTAAGATGTGTATATATGCAGAGTATAAAGAAACAATGAAAGTGGTGAGGCAATCCTCATGGCAAACAAACCCTGAAATATGATTAATAGAATTGGAAATTGGGTGGGTAAAGAAGGAAGAAACATTGATGGGAGGAGTAGTATAGTGGGTCTACAACTATAAAATGATGACTTTAATACTATTGTAAACTATGATATTGTGATGAAAAAATTCAATGAGAATAAAATGGTCCTCACAGGGTGAGGAGGATCTTTCCTATATCTACTAAAAAAGTAGTAAAAATGAACAAAAGTAAAAATATAAATCACAAATAATTAAATATAAAAAGAAAAAAGAAAATGTATTATTTACGGTAAGCACAAAACCCCTTAATTCACCAAAGTGCTCACTTGCATAAACACCAGTGAAGAACACCAACTTTGTGTGGAAACAAATGCTCTTACTTCGATTTCAAATGATGAACCTGGTTACAGCGTTCAATGGTCCAGAGAGTCACTGCACTGGTGCTTGACAAGCATAGCTGGCGCCAGTTCATGGGGTTGAATGTCATCTGGTTCACATCTGTGCCAGGCTGTGTCTTCTTGCACAGAATGACATTCATTTTCCAGTCCCTGAGAAGGAAAAAAGGAACTTAAAAAAAAAAACCAAACCTCATTTGAATTTCATTCTTGAGGAGCAGGAAGCAAGGGGACAGTATGGCACACTTAACAGTGATCAGAGGAAGTGACTCCTGACAGTGATTGGGAGAACATATGTGATGCCAGGGTTTGGACTAGGGCTGGCTGTATGTCAGGTAAGTGTCAGGTTAGTACCTTAATCCCTGTACTGTTTCTAGCTCCTTGGATTTCATGTCTCAAGAACATTTATTCAATTACTTGAGAACAATTTCTATAAAGTAAGGATGTCTCATGAGTGATAGTATAATGGGTAGGGCACTGCTTTGCACACAGCTGACCCAGGTTTAATCCTTGACACCCCATATAGTCCTCTGAGCTTGCCAGGAGTGATCCCTGAGCATAGAGCCAGGAGTAAGCCCTGGTGTGTGTGTGGGGGGGGGTGTCTCTGAAGGGTAGATATTCTATACAAAATGGTGTCCACTGGGGCCAGAGAGATAGGAAGGGGTTAGGGTGCTTCCTTTGAACAGTCTACCCAGGTTTGGTTCTCAGATTTGCATATGGTCCCCAGAGGGATCCCTGAGCAGAGTCAGGGATAAGTCTGAGCACCACTAGCTGTGACCCCAAAGCCAAATAAAACCACAGTGGTTCCCAGTAATCATTTAAAAATCTCTAGTACTACACTTTAAACAAGGTCATCCACCCACCCATTAGAGAGAATGTTCTCAGTCCTTTCCATGAGGGGGCTCTCCATGGAAGGAGAAGGGAGAATTCGCTTTAGCTCTCACATAGGAGACAAGATTCCTTTTCTGCATGTGAATGAGAAGCTCAAAGATGAGGAGACACCATGTCCCCAGGCTCCTGTTCCTGTCACAATGTCATTTTGCCACATTAATCTCTGCTGAGATTTCCTGGTGTTCCCTACGTGTGTGTGTGTGTGTGTGTGTGTGTTTGTGTATGTGTGTGAAGCAAGATAGACTTTACTGAATGAAACTTATTTAGAAAAATGTGAGGGGAGAAAAACACAGAAAGCACATGATCAAGAAATAACATGAGCTTCTCCAGAGTGGAAAAAGCAAGCAGAGAGACCTAGAGACAAGTGAGATACTTGTTCAAGGGAGAACATGGGCTTGAAGACTAAAAGCCTACTTTCCAGGTTTCGGTGGCTTTTTTGTTTGTTTGTTTGTTTGTTTTTTAATTTTTCTGCCTCAGATGCCTGACAAAACTTGTTAACCCCTGCTAGATTCAATACCTCAAAATGTGGCCATCTTTGGAAAGAAGGGTTTTACCAGGTTAAATGTGGTTATTTAGTATGGTCCTACTCCAATATAGTAAATATACTTCTAAAGCACTGGTGGAGGGATGGGTGTTTAATCATTGTGTGATTGTAACCCAAACATGAGAGCCTGTAACTATCTCACAGTGATTCAATAAAATTTTTTTTAAATGAGCTAATGAGAAAATAAAGATATTTTCTGAAGGAAAAAGAAAAAAGTTCTCATACGTGCTCCCTCACAGAGCTTCTCTGACACACAGTCATAGAAACCTCGCTTCTAATTTTTTCTGGCTTGTGGTGGGGGTTATATAAGGCAACGTTCATGCTCTGACTCAGGAATCATTCCTAGAAGTGCTCAAGAGATCATATGGGATGCTGGGGACCAAAGCCAAGTCAGCTGCATACAAGGCAAGCACCCTACTGGTTGTACTATTGATCCAACCCCAACACCTCGCCTCTTAGGAAATTTCAATTGTTTGCTTTGTGGTTACTTGGGCACTTTGTTAATAGCAGTAATAAATAAATATATCCAGCAACAGGTGAGTGAAAGAAGCAGGAGTGATAGTACAGCGGGCAGGGCGTTTGCCTTCCACATGGCCAATCCGGGTTCAATCCCCAGCATCCCATACGGTTCCCCACACTGTCACTGTCACTGTCACTGTCCTCCCATTGTTCATCAATTTGTTTGAGTGGACACCAGTAATGTCTGTATTGTGAGACTTGTTGTTACTGTTTTTGGCATATCAAATACTTCATGAGTAGCTTGCCAGGCTTCGCTGTGTGGGCACGATACTCTCGGTAGCTTGCCAGGCTCTCAGAGAGGGTAGGAGGAATAGAACCAGGGTTGGCCCAGGTCGGCCTCAAGCAAGGCAAATGCCCTACCTGCTGTGCTATCACTCCAGCCCCCACCAACAGTAATTCCTGAGTGCAGAGCCAGGAGTAATCCCTGAGCATCACTGGGTGTGACACCCCCCCCCCGCCCCCCAGAAAAAGCAAAAAACAGATTTGTTTTGTTTTGTTTTTGCCTTTTGGGTCACATCCGGCAATGCACAGGGGTTACTTCCTCCGGGCTCTTCAATCAGGAAGTGTTCAGGGGTGTTCAGGGGACCATATGGGATGCTGGGAATCGAAACCAGGTTGGCCGCATGCAAGGCAAACACCCTACCCGCTGTGCTATTGCTCCAGCCCATAAAAACAAAATTTTTGAGTGAAAAAGCAAAATGTGATAATGATCACACCATGGAATCAGAATGAATCAACTATCAGAAGGAATCACCTCATAGTCCCTTGAGCATCTCCAGAAGTGACCTATGAGCATAGAGCCAAGAGTAACCCTTGAACATCACTGTGTGTAGCTCCAAAAGAAATTTAAAAATCCAAAGCATATAATGTATGACTCTTTATGTAAGAAATGCTAGAAATGGCAAAACTAATGCAGAATGACAGAAAGACCTAAGCAGATGTTGGAACAAGGGATGTAGATGGGGTAAATGTGTGTGTGGCAGGGCTAACAAACAGGGAAGCACCTGAGGGAGCCCAAGAAAATTTGGGGGGCATGATAGATGCAGATACATTTATTATCTTGATTCTGATTATAATACGGATGTATACATAATTTAAAACTTAGCTAATTACATGATTCACATATGAGCAGTTTATAAGATATCAATTATACCCTCAACAAAGCTGTTTTTCAATAAAAGAAAATTTGTGTAATCTAAACTCTGAATGAGATCATTACCTTCATATGGAAAATTCTGATGTATAGGTGTATCCAAACTTATTCCTAGAACAGTTTGCATTTCCCCTAAATTTCACCCGGCAGGGTTTGTATTATTATTTCTACTATAGGTGGCAGAGGGGCCCAGTAGAGATCAGAGCTTTGCCTTATCCACAAACATTTCCTATGCATCTGGCAAACATGATGTGATCTTCCTCTCTTTGAACATGGAATTGTTCTAATAGCTCTAAAATCCATCAGGGACCCCTGGACATTGGTCAGTGAGAGAAGCGGGGAGGCGATTTCAGCAGAGGCCAAGGGTTTAATCTCTGAACAGCCCCATGACCCTAAACATCACAAAAACAATAATAGGAAAGGAAAGGTAAAGTAAAAAAATTAGTCCAACTGAGCTCTAAGAGCATCTTAATTTCAACACTAGTGAAGAATACACAACTCAAAGGTACCATTTACTACGTGGAAAAATGAAAGTGTATATACTTTCAAATGCATGTTTTACCAGATGAAATACCTTAATAAAAAGATAAAGATGAAGTAAAAACCAAAAAAAAAAAGGATAAAGATGATAATTAAGCTCTCATAGATTTTTCCCTGTCAAATTTTATGCTTAGAAGTAGCAATTACATTAAACTTTATTCTTAGGGTTTTTATTTCTTCTGAAACAAACAAGAAATTGTTTCAGAATTCTCATAATGTTCTCTGATAAAACCTATCAGAGCAAGGAAGAGTCAGAGTGACAGTGCGGTGGTTAGGACACTTGCCTTGCATGTAGCTGACCCAGATTTAATTCTAGCATTCCATATGGTCCCCAAGCCCTCCAGGAGTAATTCTGAGCACAGATCCAGAGGTACCCCCTGAGCACTGCCAGGTGTAGCCCCCAAAATATAAAAAACAAAAACAAACAAAGAAACAACCTACAAGGACAAGGTTTAGCTGTAACTCAATGGGAAAAAATAAAATTGTGCAAGATAGATACCAACTCACCAAATGGCCAGTTCAAATTCTGGGAGAGAGGAATAACTTGCCAGATAGGTGCCACAGTAACTGAATGAAAGTATTGTGTAGTCCAGAAGAACGTTGCCTATAACAGAAATGCATTCCGAGGATTCAATGATCGTATCCAGATTACAGCTTTTCATCATTTATTTTCCTACTAATTTTTACATGAATGCAAAAATATTTTGCTTTTGGACTAAGATAACCAGCTATAAACAGAAAACTTTCCACAAGCAAAGTGAAAGTCTGTTTTGAATAGATAGTGAACGAAGACCATTAGGTTACTATGTCTGGACTTCAGTACAGAAATGATCACTCGGCCTCGTGTCTGATTTGAAATAATCCCAGAACTATGAATAAGTACACAAATACATGACGTGCTGCAATTAGAAAACTTATTAAGACAACTGAAATACCTTGGGGAGCTGTAATAACCTGCTTATGCCTGGGGACACACACAGGCAGACACACACACACACACACACACACACACACACACACAAATACAAATATATTACCCTTAGCTTAATTTGTTTCTTAAATACCTTGGAGAGCTGCAATAATTTACTTCTCTATGCTTTGGGCCATTCATGCACAACGCGCACGCACACACCAGAGGATGCTAAGGAGAGTTTCTGCTCCCTATGTAGAAACCCTGGTTCCCCTTTCCTGGGTTTCTCTGCAGAGTGCTTCCTACAGGCAAGCCGGCCTGCTCCTAAGTCTTTCTTTTTCACCCTCATTACTCTGCTAATTTGTGTACTTTCTCCAGTTCTCTCTCTCTCTCTCTCTCTCTCTCTCTCTCTCTCTCTCTCTCTCTCTCTCTTATTCTCCCTTTAACTAGAATATAATGCTAAAGTTTAACATCTGTGGAATTTATTTAGCATAACCCAACAAAGAAACCAACCTATATTTACTGATAATTTGGTGCAGAAATTATCTTGTCTGTAATATAGCAGCCTTAGCAGAATGATTTTCTACCCTTTCGTTACAGAATTTTCCCTATAACTAGAGATTATTCATTTGATATTTTCTTTTTTTTAATTTTATTATTTTTTAAATTGAATCACTGTGGGAAAAGTTACAAAACTTTCAGGTTTAAGTCTTGGTCATGCAATCATCAAACACATTTTCCTTCATCAGTACTTATTTTTCACCACCAAGAACCCAATAACCGCCCCCCCCCCCCCAACCCTCCCAATGCCTGTGAGGCAGATGAATTCTAGTTAACACTCTATCTACTTTGATTAGATTCACTGTTTCGACAAAAGATGCACCATTATTATTTAGAGTTTACACTCCCAAATCAGACCTGCTGAAAAGGTATTGTGAAATAATTTGTTTTCTACAGCTGATTGTAAGAACTAAATGATGTCGCGCAGCTGCTATTGCGGCTGCGCAATTTTAGATTTCTGGTATTTTACTTTGCCAGACAAGTGGCCCTGTGTCCAGTGAGTGGCTTGCACTTCTTCCTAATCACTTAATCACTTATTGAATTCTGGTTTTTATAGTCTCTATAAAAACCAGCTCCCGGAAGAGAACAGTGCAGTCTCCTGCCCCCGCGCCTGGCTGTCCTCGCCAGGGCCCATTGGAGGGGAGCAGGTTGAGCTTTCCTCCCTGACCTGACCAGGGCTCCAGCAGCCAAAGACCTCCAGGACCAGCCACCACCATGCTGAGACCACTCTCCGCACACCTGAAGGTACCGGCAGAGGAACAAAGGCAAGTGGGACCCGGGGCCGAGATCTCCAAGCCTACTCAGATCAGAGCTGAGCATCCTCCACCCAGATCCTCCGAATTCCAGTAGGCGGGGGTCACACCCACCAACTGCCCCCCTGGCGCCGTGTAATCCCATCAACGGCCAAGACTCAGAGACTATAAAGACCAGCTCCCTTATTATGACATCTTATTATCTTATTCCTACTTTGGACAAACTGGCAGGCTACTGAATGTAGCCTGCCCACACAGCAGAGTCTGGCAAACTCCCCATGGCATACCAAATATGCCAAATACCAGTAACAATGATGGGTCTCATTCTCCTAAAGAGCCTTGAATATAATCTCAGGGCTAAGATGAAGGAGACATTACTGGGGTCTGCTCGAGGCAATCGACGAATAACAGGATTATAACGTGATTCGTGATTCGTATTTTACTTATTAAACCTAGAAGTATTTCTGCCGAGAGTCAGATAATTATGAGGTTGGTTTATGTGGCTCTGGAGCCATGGCCGTGATGAGAGCCGCTCATGGGGGGCAATTCATGACCTCAGTAGGGTGTGAAGGACAAGTCAGAACGCCCCCCCTTCCCATGAGGTTTCAGTCGCCCCGTCACGACCAGTTCATACCTGGCTTTCCAAAAAGCTCCAAGGCGGCTGCCACCTTGCTTTCCAGAGGGCTCATTTGATATTTTCTTTACACTTGTTTTAAATTTTTAAAATATGTTCATTTTTGAAGAAAATATCCCTCAGAAAGCATAATAAGAGCAATGTATCTTTTAGGGGTTGGAACGATAGTACAGTGGTTTTAATGTTTGCCTTGCATAAAGTTAACCTGGATTCAATCCCAGCATCCTATATGGTCTCCTGAGCATCACCAGGAGTAATGCCTGAGTGAAGAGCCAGGAGTAACCCCTGAAAATCTCCAGGTGTGGCCCCCCCAAAAAAAGGGAAAAAAAGAAAAACATCTTTTATAAGACTAATAAATTTAGTCTATTTCTTACCAGTGTTTGTAAGTTTGCTTGTAAAACTGCAGATATATTATTTCTTCTAATATAATTTTGTTGTTATATAGTATTAATGAATTACTACATAATTTTTGGGGGGGATCACACCCAGTGATGTACAGGAATTACTCCTGGCTCTGCACTCAGCAATTACTCCTGGCGGTGCTTAGGGGACCATATGGGATGCTGAGAATTGAACCCGGGTTGGCTGCATGCCCTACCCACTGTGCTATCACTCCAGTCCCATACATAATTAATTTTTAAATAAAACTGAATCACATAACATTATTTCTACTGAGTTTTTATTTACCTTTGGAGTGATAGCACAGCAGGTAGGGCGTTCGCCTTACAAGCGGCCAACATGGCCGACCCGAGTTCGATTCCTCCGCCCCTCTCGGAGAGCCCGGCAAGCTACCAAGAGTATTCGATATGCCAGACACAGTAACAACAAAAGTCTCCAATGGAGATGTTACTGGGCCCGCTCGAGCAAATCGACGATCAACGGGAGGGCCTTTACCTTTACCTTTACCTTAACATTCTAATAGATATTTGAAATGTTGATTTTAATGTTCATATAATACCCTTTCTATGGAACGTTTTACTCAATTATTTTCATGTTACTGGAAATATATACTATTTCCAATATTTTAATCATATTTCTGATTATAACCTAAAAATTGAACTGCAGTTCTTAAAACTGTTTTAAGTTGGTTAAATAGAGGAAACAAACACTTCCCTGAAGGATCATATTAATTTGTATTCCCATCTTCAACAAAAATGTAATACCAAATTTCAACACAAATTAAATATTATGTTACAATAAAATTCCCTGGTATGATTGAACACTTCTTTACCCATAGGCTACAAAAATAAGAGAACTTCAGTCTTTTCGGAGCTTTCTGTCCATTATGTTTTCAATCTAGTCATGAGTTGGGGTTAGCATCTAGTATTCTGAGACTCCTCTAGCCTCATAATAGTAGATGAGTATCAGCCCATTCTGGGTCAGCTGTTATCTATAAATGAATCAATAATAATTCAAATGGTGGATAACAATGATAGATGTCACTTATCACCACCATAATTTCAGTAATAGTTACCACCATTGCCCTCACTTCACAGAAAAGGAAATTGGGACTATCTTTAAAGATTAAACATCAGTTCCCCTGGGTTTCAATCATCAGGGAAGGAAAAAAAAGTTCCGAAGGTTTTTTTTTTAACTGCATTTAATGCTGCAGTAGATTCTTCTCCCTCCCCCACTGCTTCTCAGTCAAATATGCTTATGAATCACCCTAGGGAAATCTTGTTAAAATGTAGATTCTGATTCAGTGGGTCCCAGTGGGAGCAGGGTTTCTGCAGGGATAGCCAGTGTCCAAGTACTGTAGGAAAGTGGTGCAGACTTAGAATGGCAAGGCTCTGGTCCACTGCATGAAGTACTCTATGAGCAGCCAGACTCCTTTCACAACACACATCATAAAATTTTTTTTAAAAAATGAGGCCCTCCCCCCAACCCTTGATTTCCAAAAACTATATTTGGTCACATCCTATAACAAAATCCTCTAGTTAGGGCAGAAGAAGGGTCTTGTAGGATACCTTTCAATTTCATCTTTCTGGTCAATTCTGGAAAGTTGTATATGTAGATGAGAGGTTTGAGTTTCCGGTCAGAAAAAGCCACAACTTGATGAGGAATGTTCGTTGCCATGACCCCCACAATTCCATTCATACACTGAAGAATACTCCTTTTCTTGGTCTCAATATTAATAAACACTATGAAGTTTCCACAAGGATAGCAAATGGTTTTGTCATTCATAAACTGGACTTTCTGTTTAGGGAATCCTAGTACCCATCTTTGGAAAAAGATATGACAAGATCAATAAAGTACATTTCAAATACTTAAGGAAAATAAATAAATACAAGGTCATCAAAATCTTTGAAACACTTCTATTTTTCACCCCCTCTCTGACCAAAGCAATCTATGAAGTAAAAGAACGCAGGCCAACCACGAAAACAGTTTCAGGCTGTGCACTATAGGATTTTAAATGTATACCAAAATTTCCTTGGGTCTCAAGAGCCTTCTCCAGAGACTTGGTTGGGAATGCAAATCATTTGATTAAACGTGAGAAAAATTTCTGAAGGATTTTCGCAGTGTTGTATGCTTGAAGGAAAAAGTGAAAATGACAGAGGAAAAAAAAAACTGGTTCCTAAAAGAAAACAAGACATAGTCTTGGGCCACCCTTTTAGGATTAGTTTTGATTAAAAAAAAAAAACCTAACTTTAGAGACATCTTGCGACATCTTATTATCTCATTCTTATTTTGGACAACCTGGCAGGTTACCAAATGTTACCTGCCCACACAGCAGAGTCTGGCACACTCCCCGGGTCGTACCCAATATGCCAAATACCAATAACAATGATGGGTCTCATTCTCCTAATCCTGAAAGAGCCCTGAATATGGCACTTTTTAAAATCTCAAGGCTAGGACGAAGGAGACATTACTGGGGCCTGCTCGAGGCAATCGATGAACAACAGGATGATCATGATCATGAACTTTAGAGACCAACTTTGACTAGGAGAGCACGCTTTACAGTTGGTGAGCGGTGTGGGAAAACTGATGCTTTCCAAAGAATGAAGCGATTGCAGCCATAGTTTCCATCTAAAAAAAATACAGATAGGAGGGGACTGGGGCAATAGCACATCAGGTAGGGCGTTTGCCTTGCATGCTGCAGACCCGGGTTCGATTCCCAGCATCCCATAGGGTCCACCGAGTACAGCTAGGGAGTAATTCCTGAGTGCATGAGCCAGGAGTAACCCCTGTGCATTGCAGAGTGTGACCCAAAAAGAAAAAAAATATAGATACAGGCAGAAGAATATAAGGAATTAAGCCAAGAGGAATGCAAAGAACACAAAAGAGCACAAAAGCACACACACATACACAACATACTTGTAAGTAAGGAGAGTGTGGTGGCTGTCTACTAGGAGGAAGGTTCCGTTTGAGCTCTGAGGAGAGTAGAAACACGCAGAAAGACGGTGGAGAAGGCAAAGGAAGGAAGCACACTGGTGTGGTGAGGAGGAAGCTCGAGAGACACCAGGGCCGGGCTGCACAAGGCAGTGTGGCACAGAACGCGGAGGAACATTCTAGAATGTGGACGGAAAGCCTGAATACTATTCCAGATCCCTGCTGTGTTGTGCTATATTAGCCTCAGAGTCTAATACAAATGCTAATAAATCTAAAGGTCCACTGCTAGGAGTTGGGAAGGGAGGGACAGAAATCCCAGCCCCTCGCTTGGGGAGAAATCACCCAAGTCGACGCGGGTGGGATGGGCGCTGGGCGTCGGGGTGGGGGTGAGGGTGGGGGTGTGAGGGTGGGGGGGGGCACCGTGAGAAAAGTCAGGGGAAACTGATGACTGAGGAGGGGGCGGGTGAGGAAAGGGAGGCGAGAAGAAGGCTGGAGACAAGCCGCGCGGAGGGACGAGACGGGGCTGCCTGAGACACGGCTGGGGTCCGGGGAGTCACCCGCGCGTGGGGTCACCTCACAAGGCGGCCGGGCAGGAGGAGAAGGGGACACGGAGGGCAGGGGTCTGAGGACGGAGGGTTTGGGGGGCGAAGGAGAGGCCCGACGCCCCGGAGAGCGGGTCCAGGAGGGCGCGGAGAAAGGCGACCCCCAGGGGCTTTCCGCGGGGCCGAGGGCGCCGCACCTCACAGACAGCGTAGTGCTGGGGGAGGAGGGGGCGGCCTCGTCGCGCTCCTTGCCGTGAGCCATACGGGATGTTTCTTTCCGCCGGGCCCCCGCGCGGGTCTGCAACCGTCGCTCCGAGCCCGCAGCGGGGCAGCCCGGCAGCCCCGGGGCACTGTTTGGGTCTGTCTCCGGGAGACTCTGCCCTGGGCGCCAATTGGCTCCGCCTCCCCCCAGAGCACTGCGGATTGGTGGAAGCGCAGCCGGCTGGCCAATGGGCGATTGGCGAGTGAAGCGAGAGGGCGGGCCGTGGGTGCGCGCCGAATCGGTCCAGCAGGGTCGAGTAATTGGAATGTGAAGACCTGTGAAGAGTCGGAAGCACAGTTGAGGGTTAGCCATGCTAGATGGGCTTGTGTTTTATTGCTGTTGTTGTTTTTAATTTTTTTTTATTTAATCACTAGGAGATAAAAGGTAAGGTAAAGGCCCTCACGTTGTTCCTCGATTTGCTCCAGCGGGCCCAGTAACGTCTCCATTGGAGACTTTGTTGTTACTGTGTTTGGCATACCGAATACGGGAGCTTGCCAGGCTCTTCTGTGTGGGCGAGATACTCTCTGCAGCTTGCCAGGCTCTCCGAGAGGGGCGGAGGAATCAAACTCGGGTTGGCCATGTTGGCTGCTGCAAGGCCAACGCCCTACCGCATAGACCGTTAAAAAACTGTTCATGATTAGGTTTCAGTCATACAGTGTTCCAAAACCCCAACAAGTGTATATTTCCCAGCATTAGTGTCCCTGGTTTTCTTCCCATCACCCCCTCACTTTCGCCAGCCTACCTCTATGGCAGGTGATTTTCTTCTCTTTCTCTGTCTCTTTGTCTTTGTGTCTCTGTCTCTGTGTCTCTGTCTCTCTCCTCTCTCTCTCTCTCTCTCTCTCTCTCTCTCTCTCTCGCTCGCTCGCTCTCTCCCCCCCCCATTATGATTTGCAATACAGATGCTAAAAAGGTTATCAGGAATATCCTTATGTTTCTTTTAGCACCCAGTTCTTGTCAAGCATGATCATTTCCAGCTATTATTGTCAAATTGTTCTCTTCTCTATCTTAACCACCCTCCACTCCCCACCCCCCACACACACTTGCAGTTGATTCCAACCAAGTCCAAGTCCAAGTCCTCCCAGCCTGCGTTTTTCCTGGCCACGAACATCAGTCTTTTAATCACAAATGAATGTGTTATTCTATATCTGTCCCACTCCTTCTGACTCTCTTCACACAACATGATACTCTCCATGTCCATCCATTTATAGTCAAATTTCATGACTTCATTTCTCCTAACATCTGTGTCGTATTCCATAGTTTCTCTATCCATTCATCTGTTCTCGGGCACTCAGGTTGTGAGTGGCTACTGTAAATAGTGCAGAAATGAACACAGGAGTACAGATGGTCTGTGCTGTGTTTTGGGCCCCCCCCCCCCAAGGTATATTCCCAAAAGTGGTGTTGGTAGGTCAAATGGGAGCTCAGTTTCAAGTTTTTTTTTGAGGACTGACCATGTTATTTTCCAATAGACGTTGTTTAAGGCATGGAGCATAATTTTTTAATCCTTAAAATCCTGCAGAGCCCTATTTTACAGATGAGGAAAGAGGATAAGAGAAGTTCCCCAGGCTGCAAAATTGAGTTGAATCTAAGCTAAGTGCAGTCTAAATTGACAGCTCCAAACCCTTAATTCCTGCATTAAATTTTCAGATGTAAATTTATTATTTGGAAGAAAAAGACAGCTTCTGGAAGTAATCAAAACATAGTTTGGACAGGTTATCCCTTTATCCCTTTATCCCTTTATCCCTTTTGGCCTGTTCCCACTATTTAGAAGCTATTCCAGATGGAGAAATAGAGCTCAAGAATAACATTAGAGACAAATGGGACTATCTTAAACTAAGAAGCTTCTGCACCTCCAAAGAGATAGTGACCAAAATACACAGACAGTCTACAGAATGGGAAAGGATATTCGCCCAATACACATTCGACAAGGGGTTGATATCAAGGATATACAAAGTACTGGTTGAACTCCACAAGAAGAAAACATCCAACCCCATCAAAAAATGGGGCGATGAAATGAAAGGAAACTTTCTCAAAGAAGAAATCCGAATGGCAAAAAGGCACATGAGAATATGCTCTACATCATGAATCATCTGGGAGATACAGATCAAAACCACAATGAGATATCATCTCACACCACAGAGACTGGCCCATATCCAAAAGAACAAAAGCAACCAGTGCTGGCGCAGATATGGAGAGAAAGGGACCCTCCTTCACTGCTGGTGGGAATGCCGACTGGTTCAGCCCTTTTGGAAAACAGTATGGACGATTCTCCAAAAATTAGAAATTGAGCTCCCATATTTGACCCAGCAATACCACTCCTGGGAATATATCCCAGAGAGACAAAAAAGTATAGTCGAAGTGACATCTGCACTTGTTTGTTCATTGCAGCACTCTTTACAATAGCCAGAACCTGGAAAAAACCTGAGTGCCCGAGAACAGATGACTGGTTAAAGAAATTTTGGTACATTTACACAGTGGAGTACTATGTAGCTGTTAGAAAAGATGAAGTCATGAAATTTACATACAAGTGGTATACATGGGAAGTATCATGTTAAGCGAAATGACTCAGAAAGGGATAGACATAGAAAGATTGCATTCATCTGGGGAACATAAAGTAACAAAATAGGAGACTAACACCCAAGAACGGCCAAGATTAGTACCAGGAATGTTACTCCATGGCTTGGAGGCCAGCCACACATGCTAGGGGAAAAGGGAGCCCAGCTAGAGAAGGGAGCACCAAATAAAGGGTGTTGGGAGGATCCTCCCAGATGGGAGAAGTATGCTGAAAGTAGACTATAGGCCAAACATGATTGTCACCCCTTGCCTCTTTTGCAAACCACAACACTCAATAGGAGAGAGAGAACAAAAGGGAATGCCCTGCCACAGAGGCAGGGTGGGGTGGGGGGATGGGGGGTGGGAGGGATACTGGGATCCGTGGTGGTGGGAAATGGGCACTGGTGGAGGGATGGGTATTTGATCATTGTATAATTGAAACCCAAGCACAAAAATTTGTAAGTCTACAACTGTACCTCATGGTGTCTCACTAATAAAAATTAAAAATAAAAGATGGAGAAATAGAGCTCAAGACTAACCTTAGAGACAAATGGGACTATCTTAAACTAAGAAGCTTCTGCACCTCCAAAGAGATAGTGACCAAAATACAAGCACAGTCTACAGAATGGGAAAGGATATTCGCCCAATACACATTCGACAAGGGGTTGATATCAAGGATATACAAAGTACTGGTTGAACTCCACAAGAAGAAAACATCCAACCCCATCAAAAAATGGGGCGATGAAATGAAAAGAAACTTTCTCAAAGAAGAAATCCGAATGGCAAAAAGGCACATGAGAAAATGCTCTACATCATGAATCATCTGGGAGATACAGATCAAAACCACAATGAGATATCATCTCACACCACAGAGACTGGCCCATATCCAAAAGAACAAAAGCAACCAGTGCTGGCGCAGATATGGAGAGAAAGGGACCCTCCTTCACTGCTGGTGGGAATGCCGACTGGTTCAGCCCTTTTGGAAAACAGTATGGACGATTCTCCAAAAATTAGAAATTGAGCTCCCATATTTGACCCAGCAATACCACTCCTGGGAATATATCCATATATCCCAGAGAGGCAAAAAGTATAGTTGAAGTGACACATTTCAGGCAAAAAGTATAGTTGAAGCATCACAGTTTACAATAGCCAGAACATGAAAAAAACTGAGTGCCCGAGAACAGATGACTGGTTAAATAAACTTTGGTACATCTACACAATGGTGTACTATTCAGCTGTTAGAAAAGATGAAATCATGAGATTTATATACAAGTGGTACTACATGGAAATTATCATGCTAAGCGAAATGAGTCAGAAAGAGAGGGACAGATATAGAAAGGCTGAATTCATCTGAAGAACATAAAGAAACAAAATAGGAGACAAACACCCAAGAATAGCCGAGATAAGTACCAGGAGGTTTACTCCATGGCTTGGAGGCCAGCCGCACACGCTAGGGGATAAGGCAGCTCAGATAGCGAAGGGAGCACCAAACAAAGGGTGTTGGGAGGATCCTTCCAGGATGGGAGAAGCATGCTGAAAGTAGACTATAGACCAAACATGATTGCCACTCAATGCCTCTTGAAAACCACAGCACCCAAAAGGAGAGAGAGAACAAAAGGTATGCCCTGCCACAGAGACAGGGTGGGGTGGGGGGATGGGGTGGGAGGGATACTGGGATCCATGGTGGTGGAAAATGGGCACTGGGGGAGGGATGGTTATGTAATCATTGTATAATTGAAATCCAAGCACAAAAATTTGTAAGTTTATTCCTCCGCCCCTCTCGGAGAGCCTGGCAAGCTACCCAGAGTATCTCACCCGCACGGCAGAACCTGGCAAGCTACCCGTGATGTATTCGATATGCCAGACACAGTAACAACAAAGTCTCCAATGGAGACGTTACTGGGCCCGCTCGAGCAAATCGATGAACACCGGGAGGACAGTGACAGTGACAACTGTACCTCATGGTGTTTCACTAATAAAATTTTTAAAAAAAGAGACTAACCTTAGAGGACTCCACACTCCCCCTACCTCAAACCTTCCTTTTCTTTCTCTTGCCTCCCTCTAGAACTGTTATTTGGTCTATGTACTCTGCCCCCACCCTGTGCCCCTCTTCAGGAGGAAATAACTCAGCACCTCCCTGGAAATCTACCTTCTTTTAGCAAAGAAAATAGAAAATACCTCAGACGCTCAATTGCACCCAGGTCTCTACCCCATCACACACTTTGGGAAACACTACTCTGTAGACACCTCTGAATGTTGTATTTTGTTTGTTTGTTTAGGATTTGTTGAGGGGGGAGGGGGACTACGCCCTGATGTGCTCAGGGCTTTTGTCTCTGTGCTCAGGGATCAATCCTGGCGGTGCTTGGGGTACCATATGGGATGCAAGGAATTAAACCAACGTGGCCACGGGCCACTCCCATCCCTCCTGAATGCTGTTTATTACTTGCTTT